ATGTGTCTAGAAAACCAGGATCGCATGAAAGTATAGTTGAATATACGTATGGTCTATTTTCTGTGTGTGGTCCATGGCATCTTTAAATCATAACGAATGATGTATATACACGGTGATGACTGCCTTGATGTACTTCCTATGAGTGATCTTTATTTCATTCGTTATAACCTACTTATGCTTATGTGTTTTATTGCTTCATGGTGTATCCTACAACTTCATGCATAGGCGGGTCATGAGGTGCGCAAGTATGCGCGTTTGACGCCGAGCACGCTGAGTGCGAGTAACTAATTTATTGCGGCATGTATGGTCTTTGCGTACACGCAGAACACGTGCAAGAACCCGCTTGTAACCACCTGTCCTTCTTTCGCCGATTGGGGGTGCACTTCAGCTCGGGGCGGATCACAGACATAATAAACGCATAGACCACCAAGCCCTATTCAAAACTACGGGGGTTTTCGTGACCTGCCCGGCGCCCGACTAGAATCAAAATACGGGCAAATTCACCCTCCGGCATAGGGAATTTACGCACAGTTGAAGAATTCCATTTTCAAGATGTATTTTTTTGTTTGTTTTTTGTTTTTTTTTTGTTACATAAAATGAAGAATTCCAGCCATAAAATTTTTCTATTGTAAAATAACCTCTCTCTTTACTTAATTTGGGATTCAAAACAATGTGGCTGCAACAGTTGAAAAGAACAGATAGCAGTACCGAAGAGCAAAAAAAGGTGAACGTATTTGGAAGCTCATATAGGCCTACATGTAAACAAATACAGGCAATGTAAGTGCGTTGCACGTCATGCGCACTGGACGCGCTGCCATCCGTCGTTTTGCTCATTGTTTGCCCATACTTTTCAAAATCACGGTTTTACGCGCAAAACCGGCGGTCTGTGCGTTTACATGTCTGTGGGGCGGATACTCCATGGCCTAGAATGAAAATTTCATTAGTACAGTGAAGGCCTATCACGGGTCTATTCTGTCTTCACCCGCAAACAAACCCTTTATGTTTGAAAACAACTAACGGTTCTGAATAAAGTTGCTTTACAGTTTGTGATGTGGAGAACTGTGATACTAACTTTTGAACTAAGACCTCGGGTGTTGAGGGGTAATGTGAGACCGGTCATTCACCTTTTGTGGTGCTGTGTAGTAAAACTATCTTACTATAAGCGACAAAAAAGGTTGCCTTGCTCTAGCCCCCACTGTTGACGTCAGCTGAACTATGTAGACTCGTCCCTGTTATTGATCAACGAAATGAGTGTAAACTGAAGAGTGTCTTTTTTGAAAATAGATATTCCAAGCCAACGCAAAGGAAGAATTTGTCAATTACTTTACCCAGTCACCTCTCTAAGCGGTCAGTGAACTTGCCACGCGCCGCCAGCGCCCTGCAACGAATGACAAAAATTTTTGTGACTGATGCCCACAGCATCTTCACACGTCCGTAAAGAGGACTGGTTGAAATGTGGCTTGTTATCGACAACACCAATCCATGCGCAGTCCTCGTGGACGCAGCGCTCGTGATATCCGGCTGGGACACGTGATTTGGATGTTTTTTTTTCCTTTTCTCCCGAACGTGACTTTACACGTATGTTCGCCCCTTAAGTTCCACTTAGTTGTTGCGCATGCGCTAAAATTCGGCAAAGCCGTGGTCACTTTCTGTTGCTTTCTAAAATAGCGCCAGTAAACGACTATGCCAAAATCCATCTGCGGAGATCTTCCGCATTGTGTAAAAGTTTGCTGAATTTGTACCAGAGAAATATAATCAGGGTTCAGATTTCATTTTGCAACGTGTTCCTTGTTAATCATAAGTGATTTCGGAGAAAATGGGATGAAAGATGTCAAGTCTGTGTACGTTACATTTCCGAACGTAAAAAAAGGTATTTTTAACTCGAAAATTTGAAGTGTTTTCCAGTTTTTCCATACATGCTTCATAATTGAAAGAGAGTTTGAAAAAGGTAACCATGTTATGTTTAAGCTATTGCGAATTGGCCTGTGTTTTGATCAATTTCAATTTTGGCTCTCTGCTGACCGGCCGGCCATGATTAATGTGTGCACAGGTGCACGTTCATGTACAATGTACTCCATCAATGTATACACGCAAAACTACACGGCCAAAGTTATTCTCGCGCAAAACATTCAATTCGCAGTAACTTGAAAATACTACCTATGTTTTTATTGGGGCTTAATACACACGGCAATTTATTTTGTTTGGATGAAGTAGAAAAGTTGTTTTAAAATGGGAAAGACGGTGGACGTATTTTCGTTAAAATCTGATCTTGTTTATTTTTTAAAATCTCTTTTGCAGAATTTGTTTCAAATTTTGTGCAGCTGGGTTCATATAATACGGTGGTTTAATGTTGTCTTATCAATTTTTAGTTACCAGGTTATGTTTGTGAATTTTGTTTGTCTGTATATTGTTAAAAATAAATTATGGTCTCCATCTGCGGAGAGAAGTGTCGGAACGGTTAACATACGTTGGGTACGGGCAAAATCGTTATATATATAATTAACATCTCCCCAGCGCAAAAAAATACATCTTGAAAATAGTTCGCGGTACCCGCTGCTTCATTTGACTCGGACCGGCCAGCCGACCCCGGCAAGCTCGGTGGTGGAGTGGTTAAGACATCTGCACTAGTAAGCAGGAGGTCGTGGGTTCGAGTCCCACCCGAGTAGGCTTGTGAGTTTTTTTTCGCAAGCTCTCGGATAGCACTGAGCACACAGTGCTTATTAACATACGTTGGGTACGGGCAAAACCGTTTTATATATAATTGTCGGAACGGTGCCCACGCCGCCTGCCTCGAAATCCACAGTAAAGTTATAAAGTGCACATGCGCTAATTCTCAACTAGGTGGTGCACTAGGGCATGGGAGTGTATAATAGGCTCAGGTTTAGCGGTGAGAATCTACATGTAGTCTGATAGCATGTTAACCTCCCATCGGCTTTATGCAGGCCCATTCTAAGGCGCAGAAACATCCGATTTTCTAATGTGAAGACAGCATCGTGTGTATTTTCTGAGTTCCAGCAGTACATATATGAACGTTAACTGTTCTTTTAAATCTAAGATGATGCCGAAAGACGTACATGTATATAGGTTTTCTGATTTTTTTCTTTGCGCGCGACATAAAGAATTGCCCCAATGTGTTCTCTGCCATTTCCCAAACATCTGCATTATCGACCTATTCCGAAAGCACTTTGCTTTGTTTTTCAGTCAGTCCAAATGCTGCTAACCAGCATAGCGAACTAATGTCCAGTTAATTTTCCTGTGGTGCAGGAAACAACAACAGCCTCACCAACAACTTGAGCCAAAGGCAATGTTAGCTTTATAACAGAAAGCACTAATTGTTAAAGGCAACAGACTCCTTCGGAATTTTGAACGAGGACAGCTGTTACCAGCACGACTGCCATCATGTGAATCTTTTCAGACGGACTTTCTAACTTCACCACTCATTTTGCAGGTGAAATTACAACAGGCCTGTGGCCTGATGTGGAAGGGTACTAGACACACACGGCTCAGAAGAAAAAAACCCAATCAGCCTTTTACTTTATGTTTATATCGGGCTCACCGACCTTTTCCTATAATATAGGTTTTCCCGGCCAATTTTGGAAAATGCGCGATGTCATTTGTAAAACAAGATTTTAATTTAGATTTTGAAAACGACTTAAAACCTGGTTTCATTTTCGCAATAACAATTAAGCACTTGGCTTCGTTTCGCATCCTTCAAAGAAATGAATGTGCATTACACTTCATTTAATTAAGATGTTACAAATACGTGATGGGATTTCGGATTGACGTATTCCTTGCCAATTACAATAAATGTGCATTCTTTTTCGTTAAAAATCTGTCTTTTACTGTGACCCTTTGGAAGTGAGTAATCATTTTGCATTTGCTGTAGTTTAAAATCGCAAAATATACGTTCAATTTGATTAGAACGTTTTACAAAGTTACACAAGTTATAAAACACTTTGATAATAAATGCCATGTTACTCATTAATAGTGTGTTTGTTATCAAACTGTAAAAAAAAAGGTTTCTGTGATTGAAACGCAGCACAAGAAGGACGGTTCCCTCAGCGCTGGGGTTTATAGGTTTCCAATAGTTTCCAATGACAACATGAGTGGTTTATTTCAATCATCACACTTCTACGAATGTAACTTTCTGTTGGCACACAAACCATTCTAATACATGACCAGGCATATGTTTAAACAACACTTCGCGTGATATCGCCTGCACGTTTTCCGAAATAGATTTGAGTTCAAATTAAAATGAACGCAGGATTGCAAAGGTGCATTCAATTTGTGCAAAAACGAATGTCAATATACTAAACCAGCGTAATATCAGGAAATTGAACGATGACTCTATACGATTGAATGCACCCTCCTTGAGATTGAATTTGTATTTGTAAATATAGAAAGGGGGATTTAAATGTTCGTTAATTTCGCTCAAAAACGAATGGTGCTATTACTAATTCATTTAAACATTTCAGAAATTGGCTGGGAAAACCTTTAGTTCAGTTTGCTTACCGGTCGATACTCAAAGGCTGCATCCGAATTTGTTGTCTAGAGCTACGTCTAGGTCTTCGCTCCATTGGAAATGCATGGAGACCCATAGACAGTAGACCTAGCCGTAGCTCTGGAAGCACGTTTCGGACACAGAGTTTGCCGCAATACGGGTGATTCACAATAGTGTGCCTCCAAGAGCTTGCAACGCATTGGCCTATCACGATGCGCGAAAACTGTCGACCCTTTCCAAACGCGCATATTTGGGTCGACAGCTGTCGTGCGTTATGATAGGCTAGTGCGTTGCAAACTCTTGGAGGCGCACTATTGTGAAACAAGTGACCCATTTTCTACGCCGTTTTACAATCTCCAGACAAAAGGTTGGAGGGAAAGGAGCATCACTCCAAGTTTCAAACTGGCTCCCTCACACATGCATCAACAATATGTAAACCATGACAGTCCTACACGAACTATTAAAGTCTTTGTTTTTGTCGTTCTGTTAATTGATGCAGTTTTCCTATTGGTGCTAGTTCTCACGTGCTGTGGACAGGATGGCGGTAAGTTTCTAATAAGCCTTTGTAAGTTAAAATAATTTGTATAAAATCTGGTACACTGTGCTATCTTATTGCACATAAACATAATAATTTGAATTCCCAGACTAAAGTCACTGTTGCTATACCTCGTGATTTGGTGCAGGTTTTTGCATAGCGACCACCATCTTTGGAATGAACTGCTTTCTTTGTGCCGTTCGTCTTTGTTGAAAACAGTGTATTGGTGCAAAGCATTTCATATGTAATTAAATAAAAGATTGCTCCGAATCACAAGGTATACCAACAATGTCTTTTGTATGGAAATTCCAATTGTCATGTTCACGTTAATTAAAGAACTCAGTGTACCAGATTTTATTCAAACGTTACTCGCAATTGGTTTAACGATATTGCTCGTATTAATTTTGGTTATGATGCATACGAGTTGCTTGGCATTCATTGATCCCTTGTCAAATTAGACTTCTTCCCAATAATACACTGTATTGACCCTATGCGTGGAGTTTATGAAAAGTGGGACTTTAGCCGTTATAAATCATACTAATTGTTTGTGTACTTGTGCTGAAAATACAGAACAATTTTCCTGCTGCACGCCTCATGTACAGATAAATAGATCTACAATCTAAACATTCCCGGGTCAGATTGACTCGGAATTGGGTCCTATTCGGCGTGACCCTTTTCGGGGTCAAAATATGATGCCCTTTCAAGTCATGTTTGACCCTTTCTGGGTCACAATTTGACCCGGAAAGGGTCACGCCGAATGGGACCCAATTCTGGGTCAATATGACCCAGGAGTTTTCAGACTGTATCTAGATCTGCATAACGCTTTCCACATAGGCCTACCTCACTCGCCTCTTGACCTCATTTGCTTTTGTGCACAAAAATTGGAGCAGATCGACAAGTGCGAACTCTGGGGATGTCACAGTACTGGTCGCGACGTTGCATGTCCCACGGGTGCATATACTAATGGTCATGCAGCTTAAATTTCATGCAAACAATTCTCCGGCCAAATTACCTGAGCTGACCATACCAGTGCCGAAAAGCCTCAGTCAGGCGATGCATTGAGGCTTTTTATTCGCATTATCGTGAAGTAACAGAAAAACAATCTGATTTTGGCAGCAGACATAACCACAATAGGCCTACGGTTTGTTTCGCCTGGGAGATTACTTTCACGGTTGTATGGAAGCACGACTCATCAGTTCCCCATATCGCGATTGAATTTATCCGGTCAAACTGAAAATAAATTGTGAAAACAAAACCTGCCTTAAGAGATTTGGTGGCTGGAGTACTCTGCAATACAGTCAATAAGGTCAGTCATCATCTGTCTGTTAAAAGTGAGATGCGAATTTAGGGACAGTCAATGTTATTTTAGGCCTACAGGGTTTTATTTTGCGTGATTCGCTGTGTAATGCGAAGATACAAACCGCTTTCGCTGGAATTCAGTGGATGTGGTGGGATTGACACGCTCGCGTATATGCATCCTCTAACCTATATAAGAAAATTGTATACTAGACCCCATAAACGATTTATTTTTGACTGCTCAGTAATGTAATTTTTCAGACATCGTTCGGAAGGCTTTCGTAGCGACACTGCTTATTCAAATTCTTACAACAATGTATATTCCCGAAAGGGAACGCTGATATGTGTTAGGCAGGAATTGGTATAATAGGCTACGGTAAATGCCTACCATTAAACCACCCGTGACATCAATTTAGAGAAGCCACGATTATTTTGAAGATAACAAAGTAAAATTCCATTTCTTAAAAAGAACATAAAGTTAACTGTACTAAAACAAAACAAAACAAAACAAAAACAAAACAAGAAAAAACCGACGAAACGACAAAAATCGATTCAAGCGGCAGACACAGAAATTGCAATTGCGGTGTATATTACAACCTCAGGCAGGACCAGAAAATCAATGCTCTTGACATTTCCGTACTCTGTTCTGGGCGTCCAGTTTCCTTTTTTTCAATTTGCCCTGCAATAACAGTTTCATGTTCATGTTCAATGGTCATTACAGATTTTCACTTAAAGTGAAACAGTGTTTTTCTCATTTTATATCATTAAAAAAATATTTTATTCATCTCTAATCTTTTTATTTGATTTTTATAATGGTATTCAGATTTCTTCACTGTTCCTTTATTGGTTGTAACTCGGTCTCTATCGTTCATTTTTTCCTTGTGTTTTTCTCGTTTTTTTTTTTTTACTGAATTTCACTCTCACATCTTCTATGTTCACGTCTAATAGCCGCCATCAGTTCTCTGATATATATGAAAGTACAATCCCGCATTGTTTTAAACAAGCAATGACAATCCGTGTAACGTTTAAAAAAGTGGGCTCCATTGCTAGAAGCTTACCCATCAATAGTTCTCAGATGATGTCCCGAGTTCCTGTTTGCAAAACAAAATGATTTCCTGCGGTGCGTGCATTCAACGTGTGGTCAAGGAACAAATTCCAAAGTCGGGTCCCGTGGTCTCCATTTGAATAGACGGTCAATGCCTCCAAAAGTGTAGTCGTTTGCCACACCAGCTTATGGCTGGTGAGAGAAATCCTTGATTCCATACAGACATATCGATAGCGTTCATATTCGAATCCAGTGTGTTTCGGTGATGAAATTAATTTGCATTTGTGAGGTAATACAGAGAATATAAAGTGTAAGTCGTACAGTCCAACATGGTTGCTACATGTCTATAGCGTGGCTTTCCGTTTCTGGACAATGTCATGTACATGTACAGTATATGGCGCATTGTAATGAAACAGAAGTTGTCCAACCATGCGTCCGTCGAGTTAGTAACATCCACTGAAGGGTCAGTCGCATACCCATTGAGTTCATCTCAAAGCCTAAAATTCCACACTTTATGCTTCCTTGTACATTGGACAGAGTGGTCGCAGGAATGTGGTTTGCCTAAGTCGTAGAAAGAACTAAAAAATGTAGATTCTTTGATCATCGGACGCTTTGCGTTCCCGCTTATTCACACCAAGGAATCTCTATCTTTTCATCTCTCTCCATAACGAATTTCATTGTAACATCAAACTGCTTTTTTGTCTCACTGTCACTCATTGGCAATGAAAAGAGTTTTCGTAGTACCCCTATTATCAAATTTCTATGTCGAATTCTTTTCAGCGGATGACGGCCCTCGTCAAATCTTCCCGTACCCCGGAGAGTACGACTCGGCCACGTATTGCGAATATGTCTTTGATGCTCAGTATCTCATGTACTACGACAATTACTTCGTCGGCGATCCTTTTAGCCCATTCCTGTACTCACCCCAGATGCAGTGCCTATTCTTTTTTGAAGGTAATTTCTCTGTCGACTAGTGTTCTTTTTTTTGGCGGTGCCATGTGCAACTATCGGACTTCTCTGAAATTGAGTATTTCTTTCCATGGGCTCCTGGCGTCATTATTAAGCACTCTGGTCAAGTTACGGTAAGAAATTCCCTTACTACATGTATATATATTCCCATCTCAAGTGACACCGGCACAAATGAAATAACCACCCAATTCTCTCTTTTTTATCTTTGTCTGATTACTTTAAAAAAAGTTTATAATGTTTACAGACACAAAAAATGTTTACAAAGACTCCCTTGGTTTGGGAATTCAATTTCAAGAAACCTTTAGAGGGGGCACCAACACCCAGAATCCTATTGCACGTATCATTATCAGAGCCTATACCGCTGTCATTGCTGCGGCTGGGTGGTGGCGTTTTACCATTGTCACCGGCATTGTCTTTACAATGTAGGCCTAATAATTTGCTTAGCAAAGCCACTAGTAGCTTTGCATTGTTACCACTATAGATATACTCAAAATGTGTACTTTTAATTCTACTGCGTGTATTTACGGCAGAGCTCCCTGGGAAACTCTGAGCTCGAGTGGCGTATTCTCTGCATTCATTGATCAATGGCATCACGTGCCAACATGTTCCTTTGTAACTTCCCGCCAAAGAATATACTGCCATGTTATGTCCAAAGTGGGCGTTGTTGTCAACGGCTTCGCCAATGGCAAAAAGCCATAGCCATGTAACCAATTTCCGGCTAGACTTAAGTACGTTTCACAAATTTTCAGCGTTCCAACTTAATGGAAATACAGTTATTATTAATTTGGGAACTTTTACATAATCTCAGCGGGAGAGAACGAGGTTGTGGAAGTGACGTTTGATCCAGACTTCGAGATCGAGCTTAGCGATGATTGCAAGTACGATTACTTGGAGATACGAGACGGGCGGTTTGGCTTCTCGCCGCTGATCGGCCGGATATGTGGGAATCAGTCCCCGGGCAAAATCACCTCGAGTGGCCGCTACCTCTGGATGTTGTTCGAGACAGACGACGAGCTGGAATATAGCGGATTTTACGCAACATTTAGGTTTATTCCAGGTGAGCAACTGCCTTTCATAAATTAATTTTCTTTACAGAAAACACTAGACGGATCTACATTATGATCTAAAGAACAATTTTCTTTGTTTGAGCGATAAGAAAACTCCTTGGAAATTTGTAACTCTTTCCAACTTTTGGATCCATAAATGACGTTGGCAGAGGCACTATATACCTGAAAAATCAATTTCAGCAAAAGAGCAGAAAATTTGCTGAGATCTTCAAATTCATAATAGCCATCAGCACAGCATTAAAACATGCTCATCTGCACACATTCTTCTTGTATGTCCTTGGCTGCGTGCGCATGTTCTCTCAATACTTGCAGTTTCAAGTGAAGAAAAACACGTTGCACAAACACTAACCCCGGATCACATCACACGAACAAACACCGTTTACCTTTCTGCCATCTTGAAATAACCGGCCTGACTTGAGAGGGTATGCTCCTGCTACCCGCAGCCTCTCAACTTGGTTTGAACTCGACCTTGGGCGAACCCATCTGGGTTTTTGATACCCCACGTTCAACCAGGCGTTGTTTCACTCTTTGTTGAGTTTGCTAACTTCATGCTGTGCGTCGGCACCGGGAGTATACCCGTGCTAACCCAGTCGAGTAACGCTCGCAAACGCTGCCCCCGGCGCGACTTTCCAGGCCTCATAAGAATGACCATGCGTCAAAGTGACTGCAGATTGGACGGGCTACAAAGGTTGCTTTTGGATGGGTTTTGGATGGGTCTGCGTGGGGTTACTCGACTACATTTCTTTGTTCCGGTGAGGCGCATTCTGTTGAAAATTCTAATCACAAATTAAATGACCAAGAATTGGTCTCCATTAAAAAAGCATTTAACTACAAAATGGATAAACAGCTGAGGCGTATGCCTGACTAAACAGGACATGTTTTTCATTTCACACTCTAAAAACTCCCGGGTCAAATTGACCAAGAATTGGGTCCCATTCGGCGTGACCCTTTTCTGGGTCGAAAAGTGACCCCCCCCCCTTTTCCGGTCGTATTTGACCCTTTCTGGGTCATAATTTGACCCGGAAAAGGGTCACGCCGAATGGGACCCAATTCTGGGTCAATCTGCCCCGGGAGTTTTTAGAGTGTTATCATTGTCACTACGTGATGATATTTTATATTTTGCATGATTTTGTGACATGTTGTTTCTTGTTGAAACCACCTTTGTGGTCTGATTAAATTTTTATGTTGCATTCTACCGAAGCGTATAGCTCATAAGTTTAAGGGACATGCTGTCTTTCATTTTTCAGCTCCGACGCGATCAACTCCAGAACCTCAAGGTGAGTGGTTACTCTCATTTACAATGCAAAAGAAATTGTAAAGGTATTCAGGGAGTTCATGTTGCTGTCACCAAAGCTTCTTGTGTCAGTGGTTTTGGCCGTGCAATGTGTTTCGGGAAATGGTAATGGAAGGCCGTGAAATAGCCTTTAGAAAATAGCCTTTATCTTTGTCTTATTTCACATTGCCGCTTTTTAAAGTCTTTATTTAGAAAAACTCTACTTGCTTGTTACTGATTTAGAGTGTTTCTTCCATCTGTCTGGTTCATATGACGGAGAGTTTACCATCAAAATGGGCACCGACTTGGTACGAAAGGAAGACGCGCATGCCCCTATGGACTGCACATGGCAGATCGACATGCCCGAGGATAACAAGGTTTCACCATACGCTTAATTTGTCATAACTCAGTGGAAAGCGTCGACGTTATAGAAACAGTATACTTGAGAGGAGGGTATTCTTTCATGGATGAAAAAAATTGGATAGTCGTTTGACAGTTTGGGCAAGGATGGCAAAAAAATAAAACTGTGCACTCTTTTGGAGATCAGTTGTTTTCAGGTGTGTGGGGGACATTCAAAGAAACTCTTCGATTTGGTGGTGAAAAAAGAAATTGGAAACTTAAAAAGACCCTGGAAAAAATCCTGGGACTTCGTTCCATTGAAAGAGTCAAATTTTCAATGTTTAATAAAGAAGAGGCGGGGCAACCTTATTGAAGGCAGAAAGAGAGATAAGCGCCCTCTGCTTGGTAAATTATATTAGCCAGTTCTTGAACTTAACGTTCCTGGAGGTAAAAAGGGCTAAAATAGTGTTAGGGGTAATAGCCCAACATAATTTTTTTCTCCAATATGGGGCATTTCTTCCCACGAGGACCTAGAAAGCACAGTGCTTATAAACCAAACGTTTGTTGGAGAAGGTTCAAATACCTTTGTTACAGAATTTCACTGATACAGTTGGAAAACTTGCGTGAGAAATGCTTGCAAAATCAAAGCAGAGTCTCAATACATTTTCTCCAGATTTCACAATGGAGTCAAAATAGATTCTCACCCCCCCAAAAAAAAAGTCAGTGCGGTGCTGTTTCCTCATGTTCTGGACACAGCACTTTTTCTGTTTTTACAGATCCTGATCACGTTCCCGCTCTTTGAGTTGAGCAGTGTCAATGATTGCGAGGAAAATCGCCTCATAATTTATGACAAATACAGCACGGCCAAGTGGATGATGCGTGAATACTGCAGCACCAATGCTCCTGCTGCTATGGCCATCAGCAATCGCATGTTCATTCGCTTTATTGCGTCCAATCGCAGCTCCTACAACCAGGTTGAGATGATGTACACTGCATACACAGACAGTAAGTTCTCTTCTTGACATGCAACACCCACCATCCCCCGTGGCTGTAATGACTAGCGTCAGTGACTCGACTTGAGACAGAATTATGGCAGACTCAATTTGAGTCCTGATTGGAAAGGGACTGACTCAACTCGACTGCTCACTGTGACGCCATGCGACCTTCATGACCTAATAACTCAACTCGAAACGAGTCACACAGTTCATTGTCTCTAACTACTCAGCCCTTCCCCTTTATGACCCCCTCTCTCGCATTTTTACAGAACTCTGAACTAAAACTTGCAGAAACTCTGTGGAGTAAATCTCTCTTGTGAATGGGGGAGGCTCTAAGAAGAGACTGTGGGGTTACTCAACGTTTTGGATAGTGTACTCTGTCCATCATCATGGGACAGATATTTTCAGAATTCTATCATTATCATTCAGACTCTCAGATCTTGGCTTGTTTTCACAGCGTATATTCTTCTAAAGAATTCTGGACGAACACCGAAACACCTCAGAATTCACTTGTGGCTCACAACTTTGTTAAAAAATCTCTTCAATCTATCATGGCTGGATGTTGAAAAATAACAGGGGGGGTCACTATATCTCATAAAAAACACACCTAAAACTCGATTGAACCAACCCCACATTAGCCTCCAAAAATATCTCCATAAAATCTTATCCAGCAGAAGAAGGGAATCTCTCATATTTTGGAATGTTCCTGTTCCCATTGATATCCTCCTGTTCGAATGCTATGAGTTCTAGGTGGGAATATGCCGCAATTTTCTAACAGAGATGGCTAATCCCCGAGTAACACGTGCTAAAAATATGTTACTCAATCCCCTTAGGGAACATGCTTTTGTTCCAAGTTGGAACAGGGGTGCTCCCGACAAAATATGACCTACAGCATTCCCTAACTTTGTAGCTGCTCCTTCAAAAAAATTCTCAGGCTACCTCTACATTGCTTGATAATCGCCTCTTTTTTCTTCTTTGGACAACCAGAACCATGCCTTGAAGAGGGTATGATTGTCTGCGGACCTTATATGTGCTTGAACAAGTCGCTGAAGTGCAATGGAAGACAGAACTGCTGGAATTATCCATTTGATGAAGAGGGATGCAGTAAGAGAAGTCATGCTACGGGTTTACATGGGGGTGTCAATGTGCTGGCACTGAGATGATTGATTGTTGGTTTTCAAACTGCCCCATATTTCCTAAAGTTTCTCAAATTTTGTTTATACTTTCCCACAACCTCTAAGTCAATTCCTTAAATTAATTACTGTATAAATTCCAGATAATGACCAAAAGGGTAGCACAAAAACGGTGAACACAGCGCTGGCCGTCACCATGGGGATCATTCTGACTGTCACCCTGATCGTGGTCGTCGTGACCTGTCGGCATTCCTGTCTCAGAACGCGCGAGAAGGCCAAGGCCATGGCTAGCCGACGCAAGATGCTCAACCAGCAAGTGCAGATCCTGATGGACGGCGAGAACGTGGAGATGAACTCTCTTGGTGAAAGGCAAAGCAGTGCAAACGGCAAGTACCCCGGCTCCAGGACGGGCAGTATCGCTGATGGAGTCCCACGCACAACCCGGTTGTCCAGCTCCAGCCACGAATTCCCCATGACGGCCTCCCAGCTCAAAGACTATGAGAGGATCATGGATAGTGAGCTGGGCTTTGAGCCCCGCCAGAAGAGGACTAGTCTAATGGAACCAGAATCTCCCTGGGTGCGGGCTAACCAGTACAATGAGTCCTTTCGCCGGAGCTCAGCCAACCCCCTGCATCCCGGCAAGGAAGTCAAGGTCCAGTTTTGACCGTGGTTGGAGGCTCACCCCACCAAGGGTGACAAAATAAACTTGGCTGAGTGATGCTGAGACTGCACTCCCAGCAAAGACACAGTGAGCTTGTGCATTTTCAGACAAAAGCGTGATGTGTGATTTCTGTGCCATAATGCCGGCAAACAAGAGTGTGCCCATGGTGTGCTGGTGCCCATGAAACATCATTGTTACGTGCTACAGCACCCTCGGAGTTTGTAAACACCACTTTTATAAAGTCACAAGTAAAGACTTGGGCCACGTTACATAGCATGAACGCAGAGTCCTTCGTAGACTTTGTACATCAGTGTGTAGTATATTTTGTTATGTTGGAACGGTAATGATTACTACTACCTACACTGTTGTACAATCTATTACTCAATATTAATCTGAAATGTCTCTTCCCATGTGGTTTGATAAAATATGACCGGTCACAGTGTGACAGCATTGAAGACGGCAGGCAATGACTTTCATCTGAAGCCATAAGGTTCTTAACTAGTTAGGGCAAAGAGTAAGAATGCCATGAATGTAGATAGGTCAACATGTACTCCATGCCAATGATTTTTACTCTTCAAGACCATCTGGCTGTTCAAGCAGGGTCAGGTTTTGGCATAGCCAAGTGGAATAAACAGGTGCAATGAGGCATGAAGACAAACATTGGTTCCACAATCAGACACATTTCATCATGCAGCAGAGAAGAGGATAAGATAGTGACATCACTGGATCCATATTAGTTGAGTCACGAAGACCCAGCGAAATGTGGCAAATTTACTTGAGGAAACTGGCCGACATTTACTATACTATCCAGGTTTGATGGCAACATACGATTGGCTTTGCTCCAGGGTAAGATGAGCCTCAACTCCCAGCCCCAGGCAGTGATACTACTTGGCAGCCCATGTGGCAAGACTTAAAGGGTGGCTGCAATTAATTTTTCTTAGACACAATTTTTAAGTAGCTTCGTACTCTTCTTCAATGTATGAACTCTCTTTTACACTTTCATTAGATTAAACGCACTGAAAAGTGCAATTTTTAAAACACTTCAAATTATCCATGCTTTCCCGGAACAACTGAGGGAGCTGTTGCTGTGTCATCCAGGGAAGACATAGTTCAATGCATAGGCTTATCTATTGAAATCGTGAACCCAGAATTTACTTACTGAAAGCACTGGTGCTCACTTATTGCTATGCACATAAAAAACAATGAATCAGCAAAGAAGAAAAAATTAGTCCAGCAAAATCTACAAAACTGCATGACATTTTTTTGTGTACAAACCAATGTAAGATTTAAGGCTTTCTTCCTGTGATGACATCACAGTTTTGCTCATGAATATGGAAATATTCATTAGCATAATATCAAAACAGCTGCAAAATACTCTTTGACACAGTGAAACAAAAGTTGAAAAGAAGGCTGAGACACAAAGGAGTATTTTAAAGGTTTGTTTTAAAACAGATTGATTGCAGCTACCCTTTACTTCAATACCACAATCTCTGTTTCACCTGCTAAATTTTTCTCCCTGCAAAAGACCATTTGAAGCAAAATACATGAAAGGTAAAATGGAAAAACAAATAACTGAAACTGTTGGAAAGATGACATTGCTTATGGGGGGGTAGCCCTCTGCTGGTAAGACAACCCTAAATCAATTACCAGTAGCTGGTAAGCGAGTCCTCAATTAATTGCCAGTTGACTGCACTCACTTCGTGAGTTGACCTACATGTGTGTTACACAAATGAAGAATCAGTTCATATGAAAACACATGTCTAATCAGCAGAAGGGCACTTTGTTGGGACTGTGTCAAGAGACATGATCATCTTACCATCCTCTAGAGCATCAAGAAAAAACGGCAGTGCTTATCGAATGAACCATCCCTGTCACCTTAAGTTAAGCCACAAGAGAGGCAATTCCACCTCCTCACCATAATTGTCTCGGGGCTCAATTGCAAATTCAGATTCAATGTGGTGCGTCAAGGCTTAAACACAGCCGACTGTATCCTGTGAGCCCGTTGATTTATGTGTACAGATATAGCTGAGTTTGATGTCAGGAGAAATGGGGCATGCTATGCATCGGCCAGATGCCATTCCAAATGCACGTACTCGGTTGAATGATCAGCAATATATGCATAAAGCCTTTAATAGCTGTACTGAGGGCATGACTGCTTGGAGACTGTAAGATGGTCACCAACTATTGGCTTGTACCCGTACAACCTTTGATTAAAAAAAAAAATTGCTTTTCGTCCCTAAATTTCATTTAAATGACACATTTATCCAGAAAACATATTTTTCATCATTAAAATACTTTCAAATAGAACACTGTCAACTAGGTCAACTAGGTCCCTGTGAAGCTCAGGGTTTTAAACAATTGTTAGCTTCTGATCCTTGATCAAATGTGTGGTGAAAATATCCATGGTGGAGGTACAATGTTGAACTAGTGCATTTACGTCTCCATGTACTTGCCACATCTTCAAGCAGTGTTGCTGGACTATTCTTTTAGACTGAAACATAAGAAGTTTTGATGGGATTGTTTGTTGCTTCTGTCTGATGTCAGTGGTGTGCTGAAGGTTGGTGGAGGAGGGGCCTTCATTAACCATAAAAAATTCCCCATTCTTCCACTGACTGCTACATGTGTTTTAGGCTTACACTGTAAAAAGGTTGGTCAATTTTGGGTTTGACATATGGCCCAATGTTGGTAAAAATATCAACTTTGCAACCTTTGGGCAAATTCTTCCCAATATTTGGTCAATGTTTGACCAACAGTGACGAAAAACTGACCAACAATGTGGTAGCTTTAACCAAGGTTGGGCAAATAACAAATGCCCAACACCGTTTTGACCAACATTTTTTTCAGTGTACAAGCATGACAATACCCATCCTCCAGTATATTGTATAACCTCCCTCCCCAAACCACAACGTTATGGGGGGGGGGGCTGAATCACTCCGAGCCCCTATGCCACTATTTATCATTGTAGTGTTTAATGACCATTGCCAAACTCTAGAGCATGTGCATATCAGCATATGGGGTGGGTAATGCAGGCAGATTATTCAGTGAAGGCCAAGTCATCCCGAATTAGATATGGCAGCTACATATATGATAATGTAATGTACCAACTCCTCCAACAAAATATGCATATGCATGATTTGTTATCAAAGAGCTTCCATTATATTTACTGGTAGCTTACAAGTACGTGTACTCTGACAGTTGCATATGTATAGATATGCAAAGACGTATGTGCATTAGTAGCTAGAGAGTAATTATCTTGGAATGATTTAAGAAAGTTCCTGAAAATGGATGTGCATATTGACTGACAAGACAATATCAACAATATGTATTGTGCTAGGTACCAGCATCTGCAAATTACTGCCAAGTAGTTTTGCCTTTTGTAATTAATAAGGCACAAGATGTACATGTACGTTGTTTCTGAATAGCTGATGTGAGAACTAATGGAATTGTTTGAGCCAACAACATAAATGTAATCTAAATGTATTCAACAAAATAAAATCTACTGAGTTTTGCAAGTGTTCAGTCACATATAACATGGTGCACAAGCACATATGTACATATTTAATGACGAGCTATAACATTCGTTGATGAGATCTCTATAACGCTCAGGTTTGTAAAACAGTGAGAGTGACAATGCAGTCAGCAAATTTGGAATGACAGTTGTTACACTTGCAAGGATTTGTGAGGTTGGGATTTTTAAAAAAGTTTACCCTTTAAAAGTAAACAGGAGTTTCAGCTCTGTGTCTTTTTACAATATATTTTTAAACTAACACTGTGCATAGTATCAGTCTATATTACGATAGACCTTTGTCCACATATTAGTTTTTACGGTTTTAGGTACTGGTATATATCAGAAACACTTGGACTGCTTTAGGCACATTTTGCCAATTTTATTTCTTAACCTGCCCCCTTAAAAAATAGCATTTTCACAGTGCAGAATGTTCACCTGGCAACACAAATGTGATAATGTTGAAGGTTAAACCCTTTAACACTTGGAGTTTTTACTTTTTGAGTGAAACGAAAATGTATATTTATGGCACATAAAGGACAGAAAATAGAAGAATCATTTAGATTAATATTATATTATACAAAACTAACTCGTTTTACATTAATGTAGTATGCTAGACATATGATCCCATGGTTTATGTAGATTACAAAAGTTTCAATGTCAAGGGTTGTAAGACTATACAGAAATTAGTACATAAAACTTGAATTTTTTTAAACTATAAACTAAAATACCAATGAATTTGTTTTCTGGTATAGAATGTTCCTTACATTGCCTTAACTCCTGTGACCTCTCGACCCCCAGAAAAAAACTCACAAATTCTGTGCCATGTAGTAAACTAGCATGGTTTAAAATGAACAAGTCCTGTAGCATTATCTTACTGTACAGAAAATTTGCTAATCCACCCTGAGTTGAAGTGCACCCTCACTGGCGACAGAAAGAGAGATGGTACTAAGTTTTTGAACTAGGTTCTTGCACACGATTGGTGTGCGCGGGAAGACAATACATTCCAGAATAAATTCATTGTGCGTACTCAGCATGCCCCGCGTCAAATGCGCATAAACCAAGAAAAAAAGGTTTTTTTTTGTTCATTTCATCTCCTTTCATTTCAAAAGTGTGTAAAAAGTCCATTAATGTAGGAGAGGCCATAGAAAGTTACATGATATATTTCCAAAATCTTTTAGCCCCTCTACAAAAAAAAAACCCAAACAAGTTTTTGAAATGAAATTGGATTGGAAGTCAGTTTGATACCTACCTGTAGTTATTCACATACTGGCAATGAATAAAAAGTGCTATGCAGCCATAAAATGTTACACGTGTATTAATCGCTGCTGAGACATCTTTATAGTTGTAGTGGAAGCACACACTCCAAAAACATGAAGTCCAGAAAAGGGCTATGAATACTGAAACAAGTCACTGAGCGATTCGATATCACTGCACGGAAAAATATTACATCCAGCCTGATAGCAGGTGCCTCAGGCAGTTGGCTCAAGTTCTATACGCCTGGAAGCTGAACTCGGGATGATGGCACATTTGCCCAGAAAAGGCAGCAAGTTCAGTGCCAGCTATGCATGTGCACATGCGTATATTCAGAAGAAATGTAATTTCACTTTTTCTTTACAAGGGGAGATTGTCTTTTGCTAGTTTCTGCTCTCAAGCGCTTGCTTCATTCTTTTCAGACAGAAATTAATACCGAGATGAACAAACACGTGCACAAACGCTTTCTAGTTTTGGACCGCTCATCCTTCGCAAATGCTGGGTCTGCCCTCTGGCCATGAATCAAACTAGTCTTTCTTTAAGGAGAGCTGTAGCCAACAGTGCAATGTCACCGGCACCCACTGGAATCAACCAGGCAAGAATGCCGCCATCACTCAGTGTTCCCGGACTAAAATGCATGCACGCTCTGCACCTTCAACCCTCTAGTGACTTAGCCTCTGATAAATTGAATGTCCTTTACATTCTGGAAGCATTTACATGTACCATACACTGCTGGGAATAAGGTCATACAGTACATATTGCAAATGCCTAGCAATCCATCCAGCTATCCATCATTTACAAATCGACTGATGCTGACGCAGCACAGTCACATCACACAATGGACCTCCTCCTTTTTGTCCTCTTGAGAATGGGGTTCCCAAAACATGTCAACAAATGGAATCTTACACCTTGAAATAAGTACTGACCAAACAAAAATTTGAATTTGGTGATCCAGGACAACTTTCCTGAAGACTGAGTAACTTGATGTACAAATGTATGCAAACTAGAATGGAAAACTGGGCACATTATTACTTTAATACCAAGGTATAAATTTTACAAGATAGAAAAAATCTACACTCTTCTCATGAAACAGCTTTGAAGTATCAAAATATCTCAAGTACGCTGTACCTGTGGGTGTGAACATTTCAGGACCAAATCAGACAAGACATGTAAGAGAGTGGGTAGCACACAAAATACACTCGGGCAAAGTATCTTTAGAGACATCTAAAATCAAAGAAAACTCCAGGAATGATAGATAATTACTTAACACTTGATACCATAGTATAGAGTACCAAAGTGTGATGTCATTTTGAACCAGGAAGTGCAACACAAACAAATGGAGTACGGGTGCGTATTGGTCCACACGCTGGTTCTCGCGCTAATGCCTTTTACACACATAATTGCGAGTGTCACGTGTTCACTTCGGTACTCTACAGAATCTGCCCTTTTTAACATCACAGTCTAAAGTTTTGCTGACCAGTGGCTGGTAAAACTATGGCTGGACGTCAGCACAAAAGCCAAAGAGTAATTCAATAAAACTCAAAACGGCAAATAATAAACACTCCTACTAAATACTAAAGGAAAAGAAAACCTTCTGTGAGAGTAAGGGGACAAATGCACACTTTGGCTGCCCATACGAATAGCATATCAATATTGACTCCTTGGACTGGTGTAATTAAACCAGCCTCTTGAGGTGAGCCATGGACTATTTGATAAAAATCCCAAGACAAAGCAGAGGGAAACTAGAATGCTCAATGAATCACCTTGAGAGGTTAGAAAGTTTTACTACATCACAAGATTAAAAAGTCATCAGTTGTTTTATAACGCCTCTCACAGAGATTTTGCTTTATTTATTAAGTGATAACTAATTGATTTGATTTCAGTACCTACGAAAGGCATCTCTATTTGAATAAGAATTGTTTTGAAAATTTAGCAGCACTTTTCCACACTGCCGATAAGGCAATGTTTGAACCCAGCAGTGTAGTGCTACCACTTCAGAATGCGTGCAATGCGCAGCACTTACACATCATTATGCATTTGTACACAGTGCTGGTGGTCATGTGTATCATTCTTTGGTTGCTATGGGTATAGTACTCTGGTTGCTACGGGTACAGTTCCTTTGGCTGTGACAAGAAAGACAGCAAAAATCGTCTCATGCTACATGTACGTGACTGGCTCTTGGCCAATGAAGATACAAAATCTGTGCGTGAGGTGTTATAATAGCAGTGAGAGCAATCTGTATGTTTCACTGCTTGAGGCAAGTGAGCTAGACTCATGCACAGAAACCTTGTGATTGTGCACGTTACTTACTTCTCAGAAAGACAGGGTCACTGATTTTGAACTTGAAATGTTATTGAAAGCAATTTTGTGATTTACTGGGAAGCTCACCCAGATGATGATATTAGTGGGGCCAGCTGCACTTGTAGGGGTGAGACTTGGGGATTGGAAGACACTCTCCTAGCTTCTCACAGCCAGGTGGGGCCCAGTTCTGCATCAAAGGGGACAACAGGAAAATACGTTAAGTCACAATGCACTTAAGCCATGAAGGAATAACATGGATGATGCCTTTTTTTGCCAGGACACTTTGGTACAGATGCACTTCTATCATTTGTCACATCTGTACAGCATTCAATCTAATGGGCACCAGCAAAGCACTGCTGTAGAATTGGGGAAAGGGTTTATGTCTAACCCAGCTACATCTGTCCACCTGTCCTGAGGACAGGCAAAGTTAATTGTGATGGGCAGTTTTATTTCTGTACAAAATTGACAAAAATTCAGACTTATGGCATAATCATCAACATACATTAAATCCTTAGACTTCCATCGAGAGAATTGGATACAGTTCACTTGACAAGCATACAGCAGTTTTAACCCCAACCCCCTTGGGTGTATGTAAAATCCTACTGAAATTGGAGGATTTAAGCAAATTCTACCCAAGGCTAGTACTAGATATCGAGGCCTGCGTAAGTTGAAAAGCAGTCAGATATGGCAATGCACGCCGAACGGACCTGTCTGTCAGCGTGATGGAGAGTATGCCTCAAGCACGAGGCAAGTACCGACATGCCGAGAGTGAAAATGTACTGTACTGGTGTCAAGACATCCCGGAGACAGATGAGGCTTACTGAATAAGGTATGTGTATGTACACATACATGTACGCCGGACTAAACATCGCAGGCAGAACAGCAGTGGACGGCTGTGCCCACATACTGGTATTTGCGCTCATGTTTACCAGTACGTGACCCAGATACCTGCGCAAATTTAATTCTTGACCAAGTTGAGTCGAAAATCAAAATACAGCCAGGTAGACAGAACGGGAGGCCATGCCAATTCAAGGATTGCTCATCATCAATTTCCCCAAACTCATGTTCACCTGCCCCAGTTTTTTCCCCCTCTTTGACTGCTTACGGCTGAGGGGGAAAAGTTCTTTCAGCAGTTAATTGACCTGTGGGCCAATTCAAGCAGGACAACGTGCTTCATTTTACCGAAAATCAAAAGCCCAGAACATCAAAGGCAAACAGTAGTCTCATATTACGGTTACCCATGCTGTTTTTTCCCTACAAAATGCAATATTTCATAATAAGTCAGACCTGGGTCTGCATCCCTCCATGTCAATGCCCAATTGCATGCAGCTAGTGAGCAGAAAACATGGCTATCAGCAAAAATCCAGTCACAGTGCAAATCTTCTTTTTTGCCTGGTAACCCGCCTAGTTGCTTTGAATTTGTTTTTCATACAGAATAAATTTTTGCTTCTAGCAGCCCTACAGAATTGGAACAAACACCGATCATGCTGAAACTTGATGAATTACACAAACATTGTTGCAGGTTGGCCGATATTTATACGTAAATGTGCAATCTTGAGAAAGATTCTGCTAGGACCGAAACGTCAGGCTCTCCATATTTTGTGAGTTACATGCATTCATCTAAAAAAGTGTTGCTTACAAATATTTAAGCAAAATGTCCATCTCCTTACTTTTCAGAGATCTATCAAATGGATTGACACACTGCAACAAAATTATTCATAGTAAAATTCGAAAGCACTGAAAATGTTAGCAGAAAAGCCACACACAGACATCAGTTACATGTAAATGTATTGACAGGTTACATTTCAAGCTACTCATTAAACAACTATCAACTCACTGGAAACACTGAACAACTGTCAACTCGCTTGAAAATGCAAATTCTACTTTAAACAGTATCAGTGAGTGTTCATGTGTATATAAATGTGTTCCTGCTAAAAATGCTAGCTACCCGGTGCCTGTATGCCTGAAAGAATAAAAAAAAATGCTCACTGAAAGTAAATGTTTCACAATTATGAACATATGCGATGACAACACATTAACTCTAGCCATGTTTAATTCAAGAAGATTCTTTGAATCTCGGGGGCGAGCCCCTTGCCGAGGGAGGAGCCCCCCCGGTGGAAAGCTGGCCCCCATCATGCCCATTGGTTAAAAGCTGATACCGTGACCCCCTTGATGCATTTAATGCACAAAGCTGGTGATGGGGCTACTTGGGGGATGGGGTTGATCAGTTTTTAGGGTCATGGGAAAAATGAAACTGATTAACAATTAGCATTTAAAACTGTTGCACTCTATAATCACGTTGAAATTCTGGAAAATGATGGACTGGGTATTCAGGAGAAAGCGAAAGGTATACATGTACTTGCTGTGAAACTAATGCAAAACGTCACATGGTGCTCTGTGAAAAAATCAATTAATTACCACCACCGGCATCTTGATATAGAAATTGGCACCGCCAAACATTCCAGACTTGACTCAGAGCTACGTGTAAAAGCAAAACGTCAGGCTATTTTTGTTCTTGATTAATGTGGAACATCTGACAGGTGGAAACCGGTGAGAAAGCTCAGGGGAACAAGGGAATGAACCTGCAAGTTAACCGTGTAAGACTGGGAGGGTGGACTTGAAAAATAATTTCCGTTTGCCCCCGTAGTATTTTCACGGTTAAATATCACCTGCCAGATGAAAGAAGAAAAAAATACTCTGGACAATTCTGACCATAAACTATGTTTTAATTGAAGGCAAGGGTTGGTATAAAATGGGACATTCCACGGAAGGACAACAATAACGGATGAGATGGGAAGATACCGGGAAAGGCTTGGCACTCACGGGGATGGGATGATTTGTTTTTTTGAATCCATGCATGCAAACTGAAATAGTGCATGGCATTTTTCTTGCAGCAATTTGATGGTATCAAGTACCAATTTCAAAGAGCCACCGGTACTGATTGGCACAGAAATATATTAAGCACAGAATATGCATGCTTAAGGGCTAGATCACACATTCCCTAAGTACTGCTACATACACGTCTACACCAATCTGTCCCAAATGAAAATTCTTGATAGCATCAGGAGAATTATTAGGCCTGATTCTCTGTTTGTAAGGGGAATAAATGGAGAATAATAAAGAACTAGGTATGAATGGACAGCCAAATCAGATGAATTGATTTAGTGTAGAATAAAACCAAATTGTAGTGATTTTGTAAAGATTAATTAATGACTAACTCCGGGATCATCCAGAATGACCAGAATTACGCGGATTTCAAATGAATTTAATAAGAACAAAGACCAAATAGGCCGTAAAACCAAGACTTGAAATTTGTTCCTGAATAACCCTGATAATTTTCAAAACATCCGAAAGTGTTGGGGTGCTTTCTGACCTCTAACAATCTTTCATCCACCTACTATAACAATCCTGAGGCAGTCAAGAATCATTCCCTGATTTTGCTTCCCTCGGCAATTTGGCTCTGAAATTGGTAATGTGTAAACTCAGCTTCAGTAAAAGTGGTCCCTGACTCGATCGTGGTTGTCTCTTCTACTTGTTTTTCTAGTCAAATCTGTCACACGAGATTTTCCTCTTACCAGCTCCAAATGTTGGGCCCTGATCAACACTTAACAGGAACATTTTGATCATAAGATATCTGTACACATTACAGCAAGTGCCTCAAAAAAGCTTTGGTTCAAAAGTCACAAGCACTTTGTTAGTTTTGCCAAGCCATTCCGTTATATTTGGCGTATTAGCAACAGGGGCTGTTTGCCACATTCTGAGCCATTCAGCCCACACTGCAATGACTGAAAAGTTTGACATTCTGCAGGTTAATTCAGTTCTAATTCTGAAAGTATATCCCCCAGTTCCACCACGATGTGATTGAAAAATCAATTCAGAAATACGTGCAAGAAACTATGAACTTCAGCTCTGACTTGCCACACAGACATTATGCCTGCACATTTTACAATACCATACTCACGTTCAAATTGACATGTTTGAGAGGAAGAAGAAATTTAAAAAATGGTCCACTCTGTGCCCTGGCAACTATCTGCCTTTCCCGAGAAGGCCGTTCACAGACTATTAAACCATCTGCTCGTTTTATAGCTCTGTGATTCAACATACATGTACATGTACCCTCAGGATATGAAGTGCCATCACATTTCCTGGTGGTGAGAAGCACGCACAGAGAATGCTACTTACTATTTAACTACAATTTCCACACTGTCTGAACGGCACCCAACTTGTCAGAGCTGTGAAAAAGAAATGTTGCACCATTTTCAAGACTCATTTTTACATAGGCTTTCTCTTAACTTGCTGGTAATGCCTACCTGCACTGCCCAGTCACACATGTTGAGCTGTGGCTGACCGGGAACGAGCTTCTCCTTGTGGTTGCCGACGACCCTCATGATCATGGGCATCACCTCCTTGTATTCCTGAGTAGTTTGCCTGAATTCCACAGAAAAAAGGGTGTCCAGCCATTAACTCAAAAGCTTGGTATTTTGTCACTTTGCTGCAAAGGAACCTTATTCTGTCTCCAGCTTATTTGTATTCAGCTGACAATACCAGTCATACATGAGAGACAGACTTAGCAAGCTGGTGGTTTAGACTCAGCAAGCTGGTGGTTTGGACTTAGCACGCTGGTGGTTTAGACTCAGCAAGCTGGTGGTTTAGACTTAGCAAGCTGGTGGTTTAGACTTAGCAAGCTGGTGGTTTGGACTTAGCACGCTGGTGGTTTAGACTCAGCAAGCTGGTGGTTTAGACTTAGCAAGCTGGTGGTTTAGACTCAGCAAGCTGGTGATTTAGACTCAGCAAGCTGGTGGTTTAGACCTAGCAAGCTGGTGGTTTGGACTTTGCAAGCTGGTAGTTTTTATTACTTGTATATACTATACACCCATCTTATATTGCTTACTACTTGTATGGGCAGCTAAAATTAGCAGAATGCTCACCCTTGGGTTAGTTAGTCACTGGTTTGGTCATTCAGAGGAACTGTTGATCATTTTGGTCAAAGAGGATGTAGTCAGGTTGGAGTTGTGACTCTTTCCTCACCTTCCACCTCTGTGACCTGGGTTCGAATCCCACCTAGGTCAGCATGTGGATTGGGTTTTCAGTCCGTGCCTGACTCTGTGGGTTTTCCATTGAATATTAATTCCGAGTTTTCCTTCTACCTCTAAAATCTGAATATTTCTTCATTATCTTCTTAATTATCATTTCATCCTGTAATTGGCGCTAAATGCGCTGTTGGATGAACTAAATAAACAAACACTAGTAAAAAAATAGGTTTCATTTGATAATTAGCAGTAGTATTTATTACTTGTTTTGATGGATGCATGAAACTTCTTAAGACTTTTTAAAGTTTATAACCTCTGGCAGGTAAAAATGATTGAGACACAGCAAGGGAATGGTAAGTGGGAAAAGGACTTAGTCAGATTTATGGCTTCTTTCACAGTTGCATGTATCATTACATACTGTAGTCAAGAAATTCAGAAAAAAACTTCAACTGTATGATATTGAAGCCAAAACTGGGAGTCTACTCTATTTGATTTGAACATAAAAGACCCACAAAATGTTTCAGGGCTGTAGAAAAAAAACCTAAACTATTGGCAGAAATGGGAAAATTAAAAATGGCTCAACCTTTGGCATTTCACTGAAAACTCAGAACGATTTACTGGTACTGCATGAAAACGGACTCAGTTTTGAAGCTATTCAGAAAAATCTCCAAAGTGAAGTGAGAAGAGAATTTAAGTACTGCAGGAAGCTGTCAAGCCAGTCGATCAAGGGGCAATGAAGCATCAAATCATGCCCTGAGGGTTCATCATGATAATACAAGCAACACAGTGACATGCAGGATTGCTGAGCTTGACACAGAGACTCACACACATGCTTACTCGATGGGGTACTTTTCCCCGGGATCACGCCCAAGATGGAACAGCAGTGGGGCATCCGTATGGTTTGTCTGTTGGTGGGTCATAACTCCAGTGACATTCTCCCCTCGACAAAAATTAACACCCTGAGAGAAATTGTAGAAGATAAAGGCAGATCAAAGTACAGAAATGACTTTTTTAGAGATGGAATGGATTCAACATTAATGTGACATGAATATGCAACATTTGTTGTCTATTAATTATGATTATACGAACGGAACTTTGTCTAGAATGAGCAAACTGCTTGAAATACCAGGCCACCTTGAAAGCTTCAAGCATGAAATGCTTGTATTGCACAGGGTAGTAAACCATTAGATATAAATGTGGAATGACAGGCTGCCTCTTTTGTCTGAGAATACATCTGATTACAGCTGAGCATAACCTCACAAACTCCATCATTACCCCTAATCGTGCACATTCCCCAAAATATATCATGAAATCAAAATTGCATACCTAGAAGTATAGGGCTACCGACATCAAGTGCTAGATATACAGATGGATGTTATTTTGGAACTGTGTCAGATTGCAAAAGATTCATTATTAAACTGCACTTCTAAAATCCACCTTTGAAATCTATGGTTTGCTTAGGTAAACTGCATTCAAAAATTTGCGGTACTATAGTAATATCTGAAATTAAAAGCTTGAAGTGAGGTTTTAACAATCCTGTTACTTTTTCAAATTCTTGAAGGGAGTTGGTCCAGGTCCAGTAGTGGGCCTTGTACAAGCCTATGCGAATTGCCATCATTTCGTTGCCACGGTAATAGAAAATCGGCTTGGCGCTATCAATGGTGCCATTGACGAGATTAGGGAGCAGGTCAGTGCCATCAACGATGCGATCCGATGGCGGTGAAAGTCCTGCAATTTTGAGGGCTGTGGTGAACAGATCCATAATACTGCCCAGCTGATGGGACACCTATTCGGAATAATGTAAAAAAAAGGGGTTATCTCTGTTGACAAAGAGCAGTCTCTGGTAAAGCTTTATCGTGTCAGGTTTCAATCACAGTAGAATGTGAGAAATTCCAATATACATACATAATGAAAATTACTGTACAACTTGATGATAGATATCGTAACATGCAATTTTGACTTGAACAATAACGGTAAATGGTAAATGAAGTGTTTTCATGTACAAGTAGGCCTGAATGGCCTTTGATGAGGATGCGAATCGTGCATGTAGGATGCTCACCACTGATATTCACAAATGCAGGACATGTGGTGTGAAAAATGTTAATTTTTCAATATTTGCATATTTTAAAAATGGTACAGAGACACCGGAAAAAACACTGTTTACATCACAAACTACTCCCTAAAGGTGATCACTGGTTTTAGTCTACGTGTAGTTTCAATTTGCAGTTTACCTGGCCTGGTTTGATGGTACCCGGCCACCAGGCAATAGCTGGTTCTCGCATACCCCCTTCAAAAGTTGTCTCTTTGCCACACAGGAAAGGTCCATTGCTTCCACCTGTTTGTTTAAAAAAGCATTACAGCTATGATATTCCTGAAAATTGCTAGAACTACAGTTGAGTACAGCCAACAGGTGAATTTATCCAACTGAAGGCCAGCCCACAAATACATCAGTGTATCATTTACATAAATCCCTTGATAACATGTGATTTTCTGTGTCAACTGGGGAAACACTGAAGACTCACAGCATGCACAAATTCATTAAAACACACATGACGAACAAATCATTCCATCCATACACAGTTTGTTGAAAACACAAAACGCAATGAGTAACAGAGGGATTTTAATTAACACTGCAAAAAGCACATGGCTGGCAACAATTCTGGCTGCATAAAAACAAATTGCTGATGTTGGTCGAATTTTTCTGTCACTGAAAAACTCACACAACTGATTCCAAAATGAACTCTGATGGCAGATTTTAAAAGCTGCATTTTCAACCTGAACTGTCGCCTGGAAAGACATGCCAAACCAGCAGCAGCATTTAAAAGCAAGGTTAATGAGTGACCCGCTCTGGTAAGAAAACATGCGATGATGTAAACTACATGTATATTAATCTTGAAAGACTGACAGGATTTGGAAATCTTGGAAAGATGATGAGCTTGAGAAAGGGAAACAAAGACCAAATATTTAGTTGATGGATACTTCAGCTGTTCTTTGAATCTGACGAAAGGAAATTTTCTTCCCCAGTTTTCCTTGCTTCTCTTAAATTGTGAACATGCTATTAAAATGGTTAATCCCATACACAGTACATCATATGGAGCCAAACAATGACAATTTCAATCAAGGACCTCCCAACTGAGTCTAGAACTCAATTTGTAAATGACTAAATGTTTAATGACGTACAAATTTATGTAGGCCATCTCACCAACCTGAGCAGGTCGCACACATGGTGGTGGACAAGTGCAATGAAACGGTGTAGTATGGGCAGTTAGAAACGGAAACAGGATGGGTGAAGATGTTACAGACAAAAATGGGTGAAGATACTGGTACACGTATTACAGATGGAAGTTGAGGTTTAGACTTGGTGAAACAATAAAGCATGGATACCGTAAGAACAAAACTTGGATGTTTGGTGATGAACAGCAGGTGTTTTTATGACTAATACGCTGCAAAGGTCCCTGGGTTTTACTTTGTACATGTATCTGTGAGCAGTGGGAACACAGGTCTACTACACATGTGCACAGGTACACGTCTATGTATGGCATGTGTGAGTGGAGGCAGTAACTTGTGCCCTAGTCATGTTGGAAGGTGTTTAAAGGTCATAACAGCAAACCAAGATTCACTATACATGCCGTCACCGTTTTCACAGAGACATGTGGGCCCCAAATCATGATATTTTTAAATTTCTGTGTTTGGGCAAAATCAACTAGGCTATGGAATGCCTACAACTTGGTGTAATGATTTTTTACCAAATCTACTGAAATCAGCCAAACATGATGATCTATCTGGGGCAAATTTCAACTTTTCCGCATTTTGCGTTTTCACAAAGAGGCAAATCTTTCTTCCATAAATATATGTAGCATTAGCTACGAAGGACAAAACCGTTCATGGGCAAACTCATTTTGCCGTTTTCATCAAGAGGTCAATTTGATGCCAAAAATGTATACAAAAGTGACAATTTTGCACCTAGCACATGCTATAGCAAAACAGCACATGAAAAGACTGTGAAAGTCACATGAATGTGAGCATTTTCACAAAGAGGTGAATTTATTTGTTTATAAAATAAACAATTGATTTCTATGCATATCATTTGGTAGGTTTTGTCGTTTAAGATCCTGTCTTTCATGAAGTCTTATTGGTTACGTTAAAGGCATGCTGAATGCTTGGGAAATAAGTGTTTGAAAAAGGGACCAACTTTTAAATGCGATTTTCTCAAAACCTACATGTAGGTTTTACTCTGTCGTGAGAAATTTGTGCGCCGATGTACATGTATGTGCTAGGTGTAGACAGAACCTGCTCTGTTTCTAAAGTCTGTTTCTGTTTTTGTCAACCTTACATGTATGTTGGCCATGGTAAGATGTGCAGAAGCCACTACATGTTAATTTTTCACACTGCTTTGTAACTTAAGAGAGCAAAAACAATATAAAGTAAGCACAGGGAGCAAGTGAGTTTATACACAACCAATGGACCATGCCCTAACCAGAAACAGCTTCTGTGTAATCACGAAGATGTGTATTCAAGGTTGTTGGCAATAACATGTCATTTTGGGACGTAAAATTTATCCCATCAATATGTCTAAGCACATACTGTAGCAATGAATAGCAGGTGGATCTAGCTGTACAGTCTTTGATAAGAAAGTCTCAGTGTTGTTTTGGGGTATCCGATTTTCAGGAATCAACGCTTTGGAAAAAATCGGCTGCCAGAGGTGTCGAATGGCCAACTTACCTTGCTTTGTTTCTGCTTGACTGATACACGTGCCATGTTGTGCTGGTATGTGTCTTAGCTGCATCTGTAGGGTGTTTTTATTGCTATCAACATGTTCAACTCTGTCTTGCTGCATTTCTCAGGGGTCATCAATTTTGCGCTACGACGGTATTTACACCACAGTTTATTTGAAAGTGTATACGTGTCAGTAATATGCCACAGGGTCATTTCTCCACCAACAAAACACAATGTCATTAACCATGGCAGTGTGCCTTCACTCAACTGACTTTAATACTGTGTACTTGGGTTGATGTACGTGTACAGGCCAAGAGAAGTTTTGTCAGGACATAAACATTGGGTTTCCAGTCTCTCGATGCATGCATGGCGTTCAGAAGTAGACTTTATGCTTAATGTTCTAAATCAATGCTGGAGACAGCAAGGAAGGCAAAATAAAAAAAGCTGAGCACAAGAAGACTTAGAATTTAACTGAATTAGGCATGCTGTCTTGAAGACATTATCAGCTGGGAATAATGTTCATGAACATGGAGAAATAAGACTAAGTATCTTTTCACAATGTCATCACACAGTTGAAAATCATGATTATACATGCAGTTATCGTGAATGATGAATGGTTCTTCACACACAAGACACTTGAACATTTCCTGAAAAAAAGCCAATATCTTAGACTGCCTGATACATGTACGCAGTAACAAACATAAACATGAAATGGCTAGAAAACAAACTCCCTTCAGAAGCCTCCAAAAAAACCACTCTCCTGCACGTGTATTCAACCTACCGTCAGCTTTCGCATTGAGAGGTGCACCGTTATCCGAAGTGAAAAACACAAAGGAGTTTCTTTCGATCCCGAGATGCTGCAAATGTGAGAGGATCTGGCCAACTCCGTCGTCCAATTCCCGGACCACATCTCCGTACAGACCCCGCTGGCTAGTGCCCAGGTAATGCTTAGAGGCATAGTGGGGCTGGTGGGCCGAATCTGGGACCCAGTACAAGAAAAAGGGGCTGGCCAGCTGGGTTTCCACCGTTATGAAATCTAAGGCTTCCTACACGTACATGACGAAACAAAGTAATTACACTTGTTGGAAGAGCAGCTCCAATCCTCACTGCCTTCCGAAACAAAATAATGTGAGACTTCATGAAAGTGGATGGATTATAATAATCACACAATCAGTGCAGTTAGATCACTGGAAGGCATTCTCCTTTGAAACGTGGGCATGCAACCCTAAACTACTTTTGTTCAACTAGAATGTACAGCACTGTCAGTTCTCTCTGGATCACAGCACTGAACAGAACCATTCATGGAGAGAACTCTGGAGGCCTTTTTCAATGATGTAACACGCCATCACTGATCTCCAGCCATACGTTGAAGTAATGTCCAGCAACTCTCTCTTGTTGACATACGAGTCAAACGCTCATCTCTAAAAATCCGGAAATCAACACAATGCACGAATCACACTCTGGTTTTCTTTTCCTTTTCCATTTTCGTAAACAATATCACAGATAGTTCATCTCATGTCTACTTCAACGGCTTAAGAGCATGAACAAAACCAGCAGAAAAAATTACTGTTCGGTATTAGTCCACATGGCATAAACACCCCCGACAAAAATTCTGGAAATGAACTGGTGAAAAACCTGTAAAGACCGTAACTTGAATTTCAAGGCGTATCTCAAAGTGAGGAAGGTGCCAGCAAACCGGTCTGACTACTACTGACAACATGCAGCAAAGCAGTTACACTGAAACATCCTTGCTTTGGGACAAAAGTTGACAGTTCCTCACCAGTCTGAGGACGCGGAGGACAAATATGAGAGCACCATACCAGTCTACCAACAAGCAAGTTACTTCACAAGTAAACCCATACAAGTGAAAGGGATGAAAACTGATGCACTAAACAGTGCTTCTGCTACCATGTATTCTCTGAAATGTATTCTGTGAAATTCTCTGAGAAATTGCCCAAGGGTTGTGCTCATTCAAAGGAAACTTCCTTGTGCCAATTCTGTGTCATGTTCAAGTATCCGAAGCTGTCTGTGTATGTGTACGTGTAATATCTTCCAAACACTGGTCCTTGTGACTGATTACATGGTACTATAAATGTACCAAATACTGCTGAGGTAACTTCTTATGTGGAGGTCATAAGAACTAAACATGCGTCCGGAACCAGAAAAATGTCTTGTCGATGTACCCCTTGATCAAATCAAGGTACATGTACCAGTACTCTTAAAATTCTTCATTACTAAAAGTTCAAATGCACCCTTGGTGGAAATAGCGAATGTTTGTTTCACAAATAAAAACAAACATTGGATTATCTTCAATCTTGGTGGGAATGTGTTGTAAATATATTGTTGTTTTGCATTGCAAATATGTAATGACATCATAATGAGGTCATCAATTGATTTCGTATTATTTTTTATTATTCATTTTTCCTACTGTATTCTTCTACTAGGAACTGTTGACGCAATTCCAAGTGAAATTTTCCTTCTTTGGTACATGTAATTGTTTTCTATGTTAAACTGTAAATAAGTCCACCTCCAGGTAACCCAGTTGCAACTATGCTTGACTTTTTAAATTTTGCTTGGAAATGGAAAGGAATTTTTAACACTTGTTAACCATTTTAGAAATGAAAGTCACAGAAACGGCATGCTGATGCGGGGGGGGGTTGGGACAATTTTGAACTCTGCATGTTGAAGCATTCTCAGAAGCTGACAGAAATGCAGCAATTTTGCATGTACATGTAAATGCACAATGCCAAAGGAATGCATAATGCACATTGGCACGGTTTATCTGCGAGAAAGTTACAGCGAGATGCATAGCCATAACCTCACCGTTAAATTTTGAGACTAAAGCGCCGCCATTGTCTGACGTGAAAAACGCAAAAGTGTCCTCTGCGATACCGAGCTCCTTGAGCTTGCTGAGAATGTGACCGACTCCGTCGTCCAGCTCTCGGACCGCGTCGCCATACAGACCACGCTGACTGATGCCGTGGTAGGCATGCGAGGCATACAGTGGTGTGTGGGTCGCGTCTGGTACCAAGTACAACAGGAATGGGTTGCTGGCTTTGTGCTGGTTCTCAATGAAAGTTACTGCCTCCTAATGAAGACATAGTGTGATGGACAAAAATGATGAGGATAGTACGAGCGGTGGAAGGACACAGGGGCTTGGGTTAAGGGTGCCTCTGGGTTACAAACTGAGACAGAATGGCCAGACTCAATCTATAACATGTATGTACACACACCCAAGAACAAGATGGAAACTATATGTATACACCAAACACACTGAACAGGCCATGATTAGATCAAGCTGTTGATTTCAATTTCCATATCCACTGCTCATTTTTAAAAACCTTTATCTCTTAGCCAAACCAATTCAGTGGTGGAAATCTCACGTTTTATTTAACACCTTTTTAACAAGGAAGCACACTATGAGATTAATAATGCATACAACGATACAGTAATGGGAAGCATAATTTCATTGACCAGTGTTGGTGTTGATGGTTTGAAAGGGTTTTTTCACTGTGAGATAGACCAGTGCAAACACAAGTAAACATGTGGGATACAGGCCTGTGCAAGTGTGCAGGTGTATTAGCCAAAATGTTCTCTGCACTCCGACAATAGCCTCACCATTCTCCCTCTCAAACACAGCACCCCCATTGTCTGAGGTGAAGAATGCAAACGTGTTCTGCGCGATCCCAAGCCGCTTGACCAGGCCCATGATCTGGCCCACGCCGTCGTCAAGTTCCCTGACGGCGTCGCCGTACAGCCCCCGCTGGCTTGTGCCATGGTAGGCCAGCGAGGCGAACAGGGGCGTGTGGGTGGCGTCGGGCACCCAGTACAGAAGGAAGGGATTGTTGGCTTTCTGCTGGGCCTCAATGAAGGTGGTCGCTTCCTGCACATGATTTGATGGATTCAATGTGAGATGAAGCACAGAATGTGCGGGCGGTGGAAAGTTGGAGTAAGAACAGCATGCATTTGTGGGTTTTGATGGCATGCCTCAGGCAGCTGTGCATTTATGTGCAAAACAATTACAGGCATATCAATTATCATCTCAAGCCCTTGCCATTTTCAAAATCTTAGCTGCAGTTATGTGGATTCGGTTTCGTCTCTGACTAAGAATTATTTTCAAAGATAAACTGTTGGCATCTCAAATGAAAATGCTCAACAGTAGGGTTTTAATTAAGACAAGTTGATAGTTCAGGAACTGACCAAATGCAGCTGAATTCACCAAACTGAAACCTGAAGCCAAATTCAGGAGAGGAAGCCGAGATTTGGAAAAAAAATAAAAAACTCACTCTAGCCTCACCCTTCTCTCTGGCATAAACAGCGCCCCCATTGTCAGACATGAAAAAGGCAAAAGTGCTATTTGTGATGCCCAGCTGCCTGACCTTGTTCAGAATCTGCCCAATGCCATCATCAAGTTCTCTGACCGCGTCACCGTACAGTACTCGCTGGCTTGTACCGTGATACGGCTCCGAGGCATACAAGGGGGTGTGGGTTGCGTCAGGCACCCAGTATAGGAGAAAGGGGTTACCGGCTTTGTGCTGGTTTGCAATGAATGCCACTGCCTCCTATACGCACCAGGTGACAGATTTTTGAAGTACAGTGTGCGTGACAATGCTGTGACAAATACGGGCCCAAGTACAGAACAGCTGCTCAATAGAAAATATCTCTTCACAAAATTGCTACGTGTAGTATACACGGATATTACCTGAGAACCAGCCACACGAAATAAACATGCACATCGTTTGGTTGGTAACCTATGTTTGCCGAGTAAGCATCTACTGTTCAGCTTGGCAACCACACAAACTAGCAGCACGAAATTGCTACTCTGATGAGATGCTTTCAGCGTGCATTACAAACAACACCTTAATATGGGCGATTCACAATAGTGCACCTCCAAGATTTTGCAACGCATTGGGCAATCACAGTGCGGGAAATTTGACAACCCAATGCACGTTTGGAAAAGTTCGACAAATTTCGTGCTTTGGAGGCGCACTTTTGTGAATCGCCCGTATTAATGTAAGTACAGTGCCAGGAAAGCATCAGAGAGCACAATACTCGAAAAACACCTCTGAAAAGCTGGAGTTTACAATGTGCAGAACTGTTATAAAAGCTGGAATGTGGGCATGTGGCCACAATGGTTGACGGCTTGAATCCTGCTGGTTGCATATTTGGATTGACCTTGGGCCAGTCATGTTACCCCTACTTGCCCCTCTCCATCCAGGAGAATAAATGCTGTTCTCCACCCAGGAGTATATTTGAGTACCTGTGAGGGAGGAGGCTGAACGTGCGCTGATTTTGGCTTCTGAAATCGGTCTTGTGGCCTGACGAACAGGAGGTATTGATGAAAATAGCGTACTGAGCAGCAATGCAGCTGGAAATGTGCGTGGCTTTATAACTATCCTCTTCTCTCACCCTCCAATATCGTGGGACATCAAACAGGAGATCTGGGGAGGACTTTTTCACGCTTCAAGGTAAGACTCCAACCAATATCACTTTTAATGGGGCCGGGCGTGGTGCCATTTGAACATGTTGAAAGCTGAAATACAGTACTAGAGTGAACCACTGTGGACAATTTGGGAAGAAAGTTCTTCAGAGTAAAAATGAGCAAAGCCGTTTGGGTAAATGTTTGTCAAAGAGTGTTTTTCAGAGTTATAATTTGAGCCAACATATGCATATTTTGTAGAAAGATTTTGCCTTCTCAACATTTCGACCCTTAAGATCTCAACTACAGTGTGTAAATTTACAAGCAAGTTTTGGAGGATGAATTCTTGTCGATTTCTAAAGCTTCCTCTTGTGGCAGAAAAATATGTGTAGAGTACAAAGTGGCATGCAGATGCATTTCATCAAATGGCTTGAGCTGATATATTTGCTGTGGGAGGAAAATAGAGGTTAATTCTTGTTTATTACCTGAATGTAAAGCTGTGTCAAGTTAGACTCTCCCGTTTTTGTGATAACAAAGTCTTCGTAGTAACGACCGGCCATCTCACCATCCCTGTACACAGGAATGTTGGGAGTCCCCTTGTCGTTGTATGGGCCAAAGTGGCAATGGGGTGAGCCGAAGAACTCGTCAAAGCCATGCTGGAGTGGGAGATATTGAGGCTGATGGCCTAAATGCCTAGAAAGAATTGGTAAAAGTCAAAGGTCAAAGCTTGAATCTGGTGCAACACTGTCAGACACACTGGGGTTTGGGAGATTAAGAAAGTTATGAGTTGACAGGAAAAAGATACTAAAACTACTTGATAAATGATGCTTGGGAACACAGAGATGTGTACATGTACATGCAGTTCATAAGAGTAACATGTGTTGCTCTTATGGAACAAATTTGAGTTTTAGAGATGTGGGAAAAGGTTTTCAGAGTTAAAAAACAGTGTGAAAAATATAAATCTCAGCTAGTGTTGGTCTTTGACATACATGTGACACTGTAATTCCTTCACTACTTTATTGCCATGAGAATTTCAACTTGAAGGTAATCTGTGACAGCTAAATGATGATTTTTAAAACAAAGTTATCTACCATTTTCCAATAATCTTGCTCTTGTAGCCAGCTTTTTTCAGAAGTTCCGGAAGAAGGATTTCATAGTCTTGGATACCGCCGACAACAAACTGGGGAGCATAAGCGTTGCGGGCATGCTGGTTGGTCGTGTAGAAGCCATTGCGGATTGGCAGTCTGCCAGTCAAGAGAGCCGCTCGTGCTACCGGAAGAAAAGGATGCGAAGACACTTACACACTTTGGGGCAGTGGTGTAACTATGCAACTTTACATACATACACATGTATGTTCAAGCCATGGCTCACTGCATTTAAAGTTATCTGTTGAAAAAAATGTGTGCACCCCGAGTGTCGCCTTGAAAATATGCCACTGATTTCAGGTAGCACAGAAGGCTGAACGTGTAGATACGGCCGTTTCCGAATCATTTGGCTGCGGCTTGAAATTACACACAAGTCTATTGTAGTGGCCGTGGCCAGCTCCCATAGAGTTGTCAACTGGTTGTGTGTGATCTCCTGCCATAGCCAAGTGATTTGGACATGGTCTTCTATGATGAACTATTTCCAAAGGATTACAGTCACATTTGCCTTTAATTTAAATGCTGTTGGCTCCATATCTGGCTCTGGTCCTGATTGAGTGAGGCTTCATGAAGATCAGAAACAACAACCATGCATCAATCTTGATGTCAATCTTGATGTCAATTGGAATGTTGCAGCATTTTAATGTGAGGTTACAGATTAAGGTACATGTATATGTATTTCTATGGTTTTGTAAATGGAAATGTTTGGACCACAAGATCGTAGCTTCGATTCCTATGGTCGATTTCGTCATTTTTTCTTCGGCAAAATTTAAAGTAATTCTCAGTGAAATGAATATTTTACTATGTTTTGGCTTCTTGTGATTTTGAAAGATTTCTTTCCAAGGGCAGTTAAGTCTGAGAACGAATACCCAACAATTAGTGTGAGTTGCTGCTGGTTAAGAAGTCTCGTGAAATTGGGAGCTGGACTGAAGCCTCTGCCTAATTTAAACCTAGATGAAGCAGCCACTTCCGTTCTTCCTCTGCTGCATGCATGTACATGTACATGTAGTTCGGATCAATGCTGGTCAACTCATATCCGTTCCAACTGGTACTTGCCAACTCGTAAATTGACCAATTCATATACTGACCAACATGTGCGCCAAATTGTATCCTTTGTACAGCACGTGTGAGGACGTGTGCTAATGTGCTGCCTTTGCCCTCTGTATGCTGTACTTTTCTCCCAACTTGTCACTACCCAGTCCGGTAGAAAACAATGTTTTTTATCATTTAACTTATGAATGACAAGCCGCTACGGTAAAATAAGTTGCTCTGCCCTAGTAATTACATGTATCTATATCTTGACCATTGCTTTGTGAAATTCTAATTATTAACACTACATGTTTTCTTTGAAAATGGAACAATTTTAATTTGTCGTTCTCGAAAGAACAATTCTTAATGTACTCAAATGGTTATACAGTCAAGAAGCACAGTTTTCCAGTCATTCGACATCCTGAATGGCCGACTTTACTAGCAATGTACAAGTTGGTTGGTGCACGAATTGATCAGTGAACGAGTTGGCCTGCATATGGGTTGACCTGTTCCCCTTCATACAGTGATTGACTACTCACCAGGTGAGCACAGTGGATTGGCAGAGTAGAAGTCAGTCATCAGCACCCCTTCTGCAGCCATCTGGTCGAGGTTGGGCGTTTCCTTAGCAGGATGACCAAAGATGCCTAAATCACCCCAGCCCATCTAAAAGTGTACAAAAACCAGTCGAAATGCACCCAACACTGAGTAACTCCAGACAACTTTAGAATGCACCAACTGTAGCTCAAGTAACTCAATGCCCAATGATCATGACATCTAAAAAATCGCAAACCTGAAAATCAGGTCTGAGATTTGTCCCCCTCGAATTATCCACCCCAACAAGCCCAACAAAATGCACCCAATATTGCCGGTCGACGTTCAGGAATGAACAATCTCCTAAAAGTGTAACAAATTTCATGTCAACACAGGCAAAAACTGGGATTTTTCTGCCCAACTCCCAGGCTATTGCTGTAGAACCGCCATCTTTCAAAATGAAGAAACACCATGAGGTCACTGATTTTAATGTCATGTGTAGTCAGTATGTTGCGTGCATGTGCATGAAACAGTGTCCTGCAGTGCAACCACGTAACAAAGTCAGTGCGACGAGCAGAAATCACAGACCAAAAAGGGAAGACTAGCTGATATTCTTGATATGTACCTGTATAGAAAGGCATACTGGGCTCAGGCACTAATTTCCAATAAATTTCCAGATGTCACAAACTTTTACATGGCTTGAATTACATGTACTGTACTGCATGACTAAGCGATCAGTAACCGCGGCAATTAAATCGATAGATAGTGCCACAGACATGATGGAAAGTACGTCCAAGTGTGTTTCTGACCTGGGAAATGTACTTTTCCATAGTTTAGGATAGTAAATTTTTTGTACACACACAAAAATATAAACAGGCTTGGGCTATTTTGCAGATCAACTATGCATTGTGTGTGCCCAACATGATCACTGCCAAAAAACATACCAATGACAGATGCAAGTTCCAACAGTAACCATCAGGGTATGAAAAAACCTTTTCAATGTTCACAGAGCATTACGGGGTTCGAAGGACAAAAATAGGCTCATTACATAATATATAAAAGAACAAATAATTATTAGAAGATCAATTAGAGAAGAGATGGCAAAACCTATATGTACAAACAAAATTGATTGCTTTCCTTACAAACTTTTCAAAATTAGTGGTTTTTTTTAATTGTTTCTTGTGAAACACATCCCGGCAAAATAACTTCGAAAAACTTTTGCCGTCGCCAGCAAAAATACACTTCCTTCTTTATTTAGTCCAATTTCATTATCATGATTATCAAATCCATATTACGTGTGACGTGGTGTAAATCCATGGAACACACAAGAAAGGTGTGGCCCACCTTCAAACACATTAAACATGTTCAACTTCAAGCATGTCAAGCAAAGCTGGGCATGCTGGGGCGAAGTGGAAAAAGGGTGAAGTGACGGCCGGGCGATGTGGTGACGGGGCGAAGCTTGGGGTGGGGTGAAACGGAAATGGGGCGAAGTTGTTATGGGCGAAATGACGTGGGGTGAAATGGAAAAGGGGCAAAGTTACCGTAACCGTTCTAGACTAGGCGTACACAGGGCAACATGTGGAAGCGGTTTTGGACGATGAACCGTCATGACCGTGAACGCGGTGAAGTGACGGTGACGTTTACGACGGTTCAATTGTCCAATTCAAGTCCGTTCAGTTTCTTAGAAACAAATTTGAATAAATACTTACGTCGTCCATCATCATTATGATGATGTTTGGCTTTCCAGATATTGGCCGTACACCGGAAAAGAAAATTAAAACCACCGAAAAAATGAGATATCTTGCCATTATTAACCATGTACATGTATGAACTATGATGTAAACCATGGAGGTAGGAAAACAATGCTCATCATGTGATCGAGATCACCTGACATTGACCTGGGATTATTTCAATTTTTACATAAAATTTAAAAAGTATTCGAAGAAAAAAAAGTGCATTATTTCTGATTTGAAGTTAATTTGGGAAGTTTTTAAACACAATCTTTATTGTTGCTTTTTTAAAATAAGGAATGGAAGAAAAGTATAAATATGAATATGCATAGTGTACCGGCATCCCAGTGACCAATCAGCGCCAACAGTTTTGGTTTCGAATTTAAAAGGTACACACAGTGCACGGCGATCACTCGGTTCATTCACAGGATTCAGGAAACTTTGAAAGGAACCAGCAACGTGTGATCATCAAATTCCACAATTTTATCCTTATTTGGTAAGAATTTATGGTTGTTGACGACATTTTATAGAAATTTTACATAAAATGACGATTGTAATTTCAGAATTTGTTTGTGTCGTTTCCTGAAAATGAAATGCCAGGATTTTGTCATGTTTGTGTATTCGGCCGGGCAATGTCGGGTGCATGCATACAGACGTTATGTCGGTCGTGATTAAGATTTGTCACTGATGGTCGGAGCGCGAATTTCTTTGATTTTTTTAGTTTGGAACATTTTGGGTCACGATTCTTCTATTCAAACAACGATATTTCGGTGACCATGATGATATTAAAGGACGGAAATTAGTGTTAGTTTATGGCGGATTAATTAAAATGTTGGTCAGTTGGTCACGGGTTAAATTCTCAGTCCATGGCCATTTAATGTATAAAGTAACATAACCCTGATCCACCTTTTCCCCTCTTTTCTCAGTTCATTTTCCAAACTGATCCTGATTTCAACCAAGGAGAGCCAGTCAATGATGGCATACAAGCCAGATTCCAAGGTGGGTGGGTAAAGACGGAATGATGTGGATTGTGGTCCATCAAGTTGCCAGTTCTGCCACAGTGCATCTGACCTGTATTAAGACTGTCACTGAAACTTTATAAAACTTGTTCCCCCAAAACTGTGACAGTAGGTTGCAGGTTGGTTGGTCAGCCATAACCCTCCCAGATGTGCCAGATCCTTGAATATGCCAGAATGTTTTTAGCGGGTTTGGTAGGATTAAAGATAATAAACCCAGCAGCTACATGTATGTGTATGACAAGATTACATGTACATGTATTGCTCTGCATGGGCCTTGATGTTCCTGAGACATGTCAGAAGGTCACTTACAGTAGTCCAAATACTGTATGTGCCATTGGTTTTCTCCACCTTGCATGATTCTGAAGGATTGAGAAAACTTCTTTGCCACGGAGATGATTGCAAAATGAACTGTTCTGTTTGTTGCACAACTTTTAGGACGTTTCTGTCAACTGTCATGTACCTCCACCTTTAATGGTTATCCAGTCCGTGATTTTGCAAACATGTACATGTAGCTGCTGGTGTGATGTTAAAGGGGGAAATAACAGGCACCATGAAACTGTATGGCAGGCACAGAAAATGCCCGAATGTGGACAGCTGTTTCAACAACGATGTTTTAAGGATACAGATGGTGTTTGTGCATCGTTGGTGTGCTCACATGGTGTCAATGTTTACTGTGATAACAAGACGGATTGTATACGAGAAAGACTCTTCACATTGTATTCAGGTGTCTTTTGCCGAAATCTATGGAGCACATCAACTTGTATCTCGACAAATTTAAGTAAGTCTTTGAAAAGTTTGGATGAGCGACTAACATTGTCTAAGTTCCTCGTTTGCTGATGTCCTTCAAGAATCCCCTCTGAAAATAGACAGGCCCCCACAAATTTCATCTGTTATGAATGTATTATATTTGCCTGATTCCAAAACTTGTCGAATGGTTCATAGCAGTTCATGACGCCAACAACGAGCGCACCACACCGCAGCATGGCTCCCAAGCGAGTGCTGCCCGCCGCCTCCCACAGCAAGACCTACACCAGTGTAGGGGGTGGCGTCTCAACCTCTGCCCCAGGCTCTGCTTCCTCCCAGGCCTTGAGAATATTGCAGAATGCTAAGGTGAGCAAGCCGCATACTTTTGTCGGTCCCTCTTCCCCCCCCCCCACCTTTCACGGAGTAGTCAGGTGCATGTCTCTCAAACTAAGTAACCAAATGAACATATACATGTACCCAAGACATTTGAAATGACTTCAATTTTGTAGATTTTTACATTGATCTGGAAAAACCCTTCACATATTGCCTCTAAATTTGAAGATAATGGAAACACTTGTCCTTGAAACTTTTTGGATGATTTGATGTTTTATAGCCATTTTTTCCTTTAATATCTCATTCGTGAAATATTTTATGCAAATTCAGTTTTGCAATTTTAGAGATTGATCGTGACAGCGTAACTTTAGTTACAGACATCCTAGAATCGGGGATGAAACACTTGACAACAGCATAGGGTCTTCATTAAAAACAAAAATTCTCAAATTTTTCAATGTGCCTTCTTCCGCCCAGACTAATATGGCTATGGCAAGTATGCATGAAAATAGAATGGCCCAAGCCGAAAGACAGGCCCCGCCCACTTCCCACCCGGCCATGGTGCAGAAGCCTGCAGCGAGAGTTGCCCCCAACAACGAGAACAGACCGGACCCAGCAAGGTGCCAGCAGCAACTCCAACAGCAGAAGCCGGCCGGACACGATCGAGTTCTTAAGGAGTCTCAGGCAGAGAATGCTCCGGCATCAGCAGCAACTTCAACTCAGTCATCAAAAGAGGCGTAAGTTTTCAATAATACTTGTGCACCAGATGCTTTCCCATTGCTACCTGACAGTCCTGACAAGTCAACCCTAACCCTCCCAGATCTTTTAAAATCTGAGAGGAGGATTTCAAGGATTTTGAAGGATTGAGAAAGGTTGAGCCAATTTGCTGTTACCTGATGTAAGGCTTGATTGATGAGTCTCTACAGTGGAATAATAAAAGAAAATCTGTGTGGTTTCCAACACAATGCAGGATTGTACAGAGGTCAGAAAGCTTCCTGTTAAAAATGACAGGAAATATGAGTGAAAGATTGGCAATATAAGATGAAAAAAATTGACTGCCTCACTTGACTTGAAATTGTATATTTAGAGGTGCTACATTATAACTGACATTTATACCTGTGTTATGTGTAATTGTTTGTGTTGGTGTTAATTAAAAGCAAGTTACGGTTTAAAGCAACCTGTCTGTTTACCCAGTACTACACAGTACATTGAGTCTGCATCATGCCCTAGATAAAATTATCAAGTCAATGCATTACTCTGGTGGTGTGAAATGTGAAGATTCTTGTGTTTGTCGATCCACAGATGCAGATGGAGCCTTGCCAACTTTGACATTGGCAGGCCCCTGGGCAAAGGCAAATTTGGCAATGTGTATTTGGCCCGGGAGAAGAAGTCCAAATTCATCGTCGCCCTCAAGGTCCTGTTCAAATCTCAGCTCCAGAAGGCCAACGTGGAGCATCAGCTGAGACGAGAGATTGAGATCCAGTCACATCTCAGGTAATGTCAGTACGGAATACCCACGTTAGTTGAACCGCGACATGAAGCTGTTGCGCACACCGTTGCTCACGTGTTGCCAGTTTCTCTGTTGACCAAACGGAAATCGTCAGAGAAACAGTCAGGAGCAATGAACAACCTGTCTCTTCAGAAATACTATGCAAGTTGTTTGCTGTAGCCTGGTCTTTGCGCAGATTTTACATATATGAGATACTTTGACCATTCTTGCAAAAATGCCAGTTGACTTACATGTACCGTACTTGTATTTTGCACGGTAACCTCATTTTTGCCATGAGCCAAAATTTTGGCAGTTTTCTGTGCAATGGATGCAGCTCCTGTGATACTGAGAAATCTTGCTGGCTTAGTTGCATGTTGACAGCTTTTGACAATTGTGCACTTCATCGCTGTTCCCTTATAGTTGCCTTGTTTGTGACAAAAGCTACATGTACAACATCCCGGGCAGAGCAGATGTGTACCAAGAGGATTTAAGAAATCTCTTCAAAGAAAGTGACGCACCTCAAATGTAGAAAGGAAATTCTGCCATCAGCATTAGCTTTGGTTGGATAGAGTTGAAAATCCCCAGTCTTTCTTGTACACATGGAAGAGTGATGTTTTACATTGTTGTCAGGAACAAATAAATACCATTTGTTTGTTCATGTACCTGCTGTTATAGACATGACCATATCTTGCGCCTCTACGGATACTTCTACGACGAAAACCGAGTCTATCTCATCTTGGAGTATGCGGCCAGGGGAGAGTTGTACAAGGAGATGCAAGCCCAGAAATCGGGCCACTTTGACGAAGAGAGGTCGGCCCTGGTAAGTTGTTTACAGTTCCTCAGGTTCTGCATTGCCTCTAGTCATTAGCTGAATATTTTTCGTTAGCACGACTATGATCCAATAGAAACCTTCATTATATGCAAGGGCATCAGAGTCCAACTAACTCCACCCAGCATAATTTCTGTACTCTTGGATTAGGTGTCGCCAAAAAAAGCCAGAAAAAAAGATGCCACTTTTTAACATTTGACATGTATAAAGATATTACCAGTGCATGTACATGCATTTTCAGATATGCACAGCATGCGTGTTGCGGACGAAAAACAGGAAAGGATAAAAGATTTTAAAGCTTGTAAGCAAAGAAATAGAATTGAACAAGCGATAAGAGATGAGAAGAGGTTTGAAAGGAATACCATCGTCATAGATCATGTGAATAGCTTCTCATGACTCAACACTGGATGACTTGTGGCTGACTTGTGAGTACTCGATGACGACTCTAGTGGTGTCTCATGGTCTCACAATGAGTGTTGAAACATGCTCTTGTCATGTGGTCTTCTCAATGCAGTACATCTACCAACTAGCCAAGGCGCTACGCTATTGCCACGAGAAGAAGGTCATCCACAGAGACATCAAACCAGAGAACCTGCTGCTCACCTTGAAAGGCGACCTCAAGATTGCCGACTTTGGATGGTCTGTCCACGCCCCGTCATCCAGGTTAGTTGTGTACTGAGATTGGGTGAAGTTTGCAGCAACATTTAAAGAAGGCAGACTGTGTGCCTATTGCAGAATTGAAAAAGGAAATTTTCCTGTGAAGCCAACTCGTTGACTTACACGAACTGCAGACACGAATCAACCTTCAAAATCCACCACTGTCGTGGACCTTTCAGGGTTGTGGTAGATCTCAGCAACTGTTACTTCAAACAGCGTACATTTGTTATGGCACATGATGCCGCTCGAAATTTCAGTAATGAAGATGTGCCAGTGGTTTTGAAGTTGTACAGTTTCGAGAATTCAAGGAAATTCCCAGCAATATTTATTGAGTTGAGATTTCCAACTCGGCCCGGCCTACAGTCAGTGACGGATTCCTCTTGCGTCCTGTTACAGACGAGCCACCCTCTGCGGCACCCTGGACTACCTGCCCCCTGAGATGATCGAAGGAAAGACCCACGACGAGAAGGTCGACCTCTGGAGTCTAGGGGTGTTATGCTACGAGTTCTTAGTCGGCAAGCCGCCTTTCGAATCCCAAGGAAACACGGAAACCTACAGAAAAATTACCAAAGTAAGTAGTGCTTGGACGGCTGTGTCTCAACATGCCTTCAATTTAACTTACTGAGATGGGAAAGTTCTTTGCACGTTACTTGAGAACGGTTCAGCAAATGTCTTTTTGCAAGCAACGAAATATTATTTATTTCATACTTGACTTACCTTTAAGCAGAATATTTTATGTTTGGCATTCACTGTGTTGCATCTTTCAATTTTTACGACACACAGTGCTTATTCGTTCATTATTTGGTCTTCCCACAGAAGATGTGTCTGTCTGCCTACCAACATCTTTACATTTCCAAACTATTACCAGACTACAGTAGTAATCCTTGTTCAGTCACTGCTAAGTGAACATATCCATTTTCATCGATTCTTTCCCAAAAACTTTTTTTCCAAACAGGTGGATTTCACCTTTCCAAATCATGTTTCTCCTGGAGCACGAAACTTGATATCCAAGGTGTGTAGAATTAAAATGTTTTTCTTGAAGAAAAAACTTTTTAACTAATGCCAAAATTGTACCAGAAGTGCATTGCCTTACATTTGCCTCTATGCCGCAGGCCCCTAAAACCCGAGAAAAATCGATAGTGGTACCATCCCAAAGTTTTGACAAACACCTGCTGTATGTGTAGGATTTATTGGCAAACATTCTTCTTCCAGGCCAGTAATGCTTGTACTAGGTATGTATGTACGTACATGTACATGTGTTGCTCAGTGCTAATAAACAGTTTGTACTTCCATACCAGAGCCGAAAAGTTTTTAACATTTCTACTGCCCTTTTTTCCTCATCTGCACAGCTTTTGAAGCACAACCCTTCCCATCGTTTGCCTCTGGAGAGTGTCATCACCCACCCGTGGATCCAGGAGAAGATCGGCCAGAGGTCATGACCTCCACAGTCTGCCGGGATGCAGCTGTTTAGCCCTTGGCCCCTGTGTGGTGCTGGTGTACATATGTAGATTTCATCATCGTCAGGACCCAAAAATTCAACTGCAATAATGAGATTGGGCAGGTGTAAGCTACTAATTAGTGGACGAGTCGATTGTATTCATATTTCTGGGTACATGTATCTGTAACATACGGATTTCTGGGATTGCACCGACTTTGTTGCACTCATCGGCAGTCATCCATCAGATCGTCCACATGTCTAACAGAAGCAGCACTTACAATGGTTCTTCATTGGAGCATAGTGCACCGCAACCTTTGTACATCACTTGCAGGCAGGGGACATACAGTACCACGATTTCTTTCTGCTGCGCTCAGTTGCAGTATAATTCACTTGTGTCACGGCTTGTAAAGGAGTAGTGTGAAAGATTTACGGGAGCCAAGTTGACCTTTGATAGCATTTCATGCATGTACACTGAGCAACTTAAGCTGGCCAGATTTCAGTTCTGCAGCGACAGCAACCTAATGCAGCCAGTATCTACATATTCTTATCAGCATCAGACGCCCCGTTGCACATGCACCGGTTTGTGCACAGGGGTTAGCCATAGAAAATATACACCTTTTGAAATGAAATTGTAAATACATGTAACTTCTCGGCTTTACTGAAAAGTAAACCTCAGGTCCACACACAAGTCAGTTCAACAGTGTCTCCCAATTTTACCGTTTCCAAGTTCTGACGGGCATGGACATATGAACCTTCTTTTCTTTAAGCAATCTGAATTACACACTGTACATGTACATTATGTGGACCATGCCATCTGGAAATGTAACAATATATTGTACATTTTGTATTAAATCTAAGCAGTTTCGTTCCTGCCCGACAGGTGTATTAAGCAGTACATTATGGTGAATGGGAGGTGCATTTTAAAAAATTGCTGAACACCCTTGTGCCGGGCACACAATAAAGTATCTTGTATTTTATCAAGTTCAATCCCCAAAGATCCAGCAACTGCAATAAGAAAAAGCACAGATAACATGCATACCTAGAATACAACGGGTTTTAGGTTTTGTAGCTTGTTCATTTTCTAAACACATATGCAGAGTTCAGAACAGTAGCTGATGCACTTTCACTATTTCTGCGTACAAATGGTGATGAAACTTTGAAACTGCTCGTTGAGGAATTTTCTGTTCATCTGAATCATAATAGTCGGCAAAGCCTCGTCACACCAACTTGAGGGTTTGTTTGGGGCGTGGAGCTAGACTTGTCTTCGGTAGCTTATTTACAAGCACTAAACGATTTAAAAAGTAGGTGCTGAATATGCATATATTCTGGATAGAACAAGTTTCAAGAAAGCTTTGACCTTTCCTGTCTACGTCACTAGCATGATGAAACCAAGCATTGGTTAAATTGTGCACTACTTACATGTAAGTTACACAAAAGACTATTTCTAGTTGATGTTTCACTGACGGTGCATGCAAGACAGGGTGGTAAAGTCGATAGATAATTCATCTTGAACAATTCAAAGATCTCGACCTTTGCAAAGTGAGCATGATACACGATAACACAGATAAAGCTTGTTGGCTCCAAACCCAGGACTGCTGGTAAAATTATAATGCCACTCTATTTCAAATATAGAATAATTTCAATTTAATATCAACGGTTTCCTTTTTAACTTTTGTGATTGTGTTTATGCCTGTCTGTGATAAAGTGTGACATGATATTTTGATTTTAAAGAATTGAAACTTCAGTTATATAATGTAAAATTTAGAAAAGATTTGTGTTATGTATAATGTATGCTCTTAAAATGGGAAAGGGTTTAAGCAACAGGGAACATAAACACTTGATAAACTACATATTAATTTATTTCTTTCTGAGTAATTTGCAACTTTGTTCAAATTTCACATCTGAAAATGTTTCTTTTAGTATATATAAAAAACAGGCTTGACTTAAATGTGCAAGGAAACTGTCCGGGAAAACATAACACGTGCCCTTAAAGCTTAAATAGTTACAAAAGCAAGAAAAGCGCTCTTTAATTTTGAAAGAAAAAGACCAAGAGCAAAAGATTCTGAAGGCACATATTAAATAACTCTCTTCAAACGGTACACTAGTGGCGAGTACACATTAGTTGTAGAAATTCTTGTTCCCGGTAATGTAGTGTCCAATGTATGTATGTTATCATTGCAGGAATTAATTATTTTCCGAGTACCATGTTCACTGTAGCATCAGCGCAAAGTTTCCGATCAGTATGTGTAAATTGGTTCAATAAATCTTTGATATTTGTTCTGTAAAGATCACGATCTCTTTGGCTGCAGAATCTGTCCCCGTGGGGCTACATAAGTAGAATATTTGGAGCCGAAAATATTGGTAGGGTTGTTTTGCTGATGAAAAAGGTTGAAATGTTATAACTTTTCTCTCAAAGCCCAATAATTCATATGTGCATGTACAATTTTGTTTCTTCTCCATTTGTTAAATGAATCACATTAACTCACAGGGAGGCATGTATAAAACTGCCTCATAATGAAGTTGAAAATATCGATCAAGTGTTTTCATTCCTTGATCACAGCTGTTTGTGAAAGTACAATTTTCTTAACCTCGGATGACAGACAAGATCAGGGAATGCATGCATAAATCTCTACTTGATCTCAAATCTGTACATTATCCCAATGCTTTACAATGTGGCTTTATTTACAATTACAATTAAATGTCCCTGCATACAGGCAGAGTTTACTTTCTTTCTGCTGATCTTTATACAGGTACATGAAGTTACATCTTGAAATGCCCTGATCATAAAAAGGCAAGATGTATTTACTCTCGCTTGATATTATAATGTATCTACTGGAGGATTATTGACAGGTGTATCTGCTGCATTCAGATTCAAGCTGTTCTTTACACATGGTTAATAAATGTGCTTTGTATTATTGAAACTGCAAAGTGGCTAAAACTTGTTTTTGGTGCTATACCTGTAACTTCACCTTGGATGATAAATTTCAGTGTAAATCAAAGTTCACTAGTTACAACTGTGACCTTCGCTTCAGTGTTTTTACTCTACACTTTCAGGCCTATTTGCATGTAAAGAGGAATTCTTCTTGAAGTGCAATGCACAAGTTTGTAGGCAATGACCTCGTGCAAGATCAATGCAACATATCTCACCAATGCTAGTCAATTAAGGACAAGATGGAACACTGACCACCTCCTGGGAATTCAAAAATAGCAGGGTTCCAACTTTTACAGCGCAGAAGTCGCTGGATTCAGTTATTTCAAAAATGATTATTGGCACCTCAAATTAACCCACAGAAACATTGTAGCATCTTTAAAGATTGTGCTTGGCATTGAATTCACAACTATTTTGTTAAAGTTGTCAAATCAAAGCACTGTACATGTACATGTGTTCCTCAGAAAGCTCACTTATCCAGGATATACGTGTATGTACATGTATAAGTATTTCTCAGGAACACAATAATCCATCCAAGCTGGACTGGACTCCTGAACCAATAAGCCAAAACACGACTGGTTCTACCAAAAACAATCCACCGTGCAAACTTTTTTCAGTCTGACAATAAAACTTGGTTGATCTCTAAGTTTAAAGACAAAGCATATTACATGTACTACAAACAAAACATAACCAAGAAAAAAAGTTGATATTTGGCCCTATAAACCCATTGCAGCTGGTACTCGGTAAAGGTTTCTTTAACATGGCAAGCAACCATTGAAAAAACATGAAGTGCAATCCCTCCATTAAAATTCACTACGTGGTAAACTATCAACAATTTACTGAACACCACAAAATTAAAATCAAGATGTTGTCATTCCCTTCCCCTGATTTTCCAAAAATCTGGCTTATGCATCCATCTTTTTCTGCTCCGAGTGGAACAAAAGAGGGCGTGCTTTTTTGGTACTCACCAAATAGGCACGCCATGAGGTGCGCAACTACATTCGCGGAGCATGCTGAGTGCTCGTAAGACATTTATTCTGGAATGTATGGTCTTCGCGCATACGCAAAACACGTGCAAGAACCCGCTTATTACTACCTGTCTCTTTCACCAATTGGGGGTGCACTTCAGCTTGGGGTGGATTTTACACGTATCGGTACATGTATCTACAAAAATGCTTTTCTAAGACACACAATCCCATGTGGACAGATTTTCAAATGCCAACATTCAAACTTGTAAAATACATGTACTTGCTTTCAATTGTGCCACTGCTGAGTAAGATGCACATTATCCGGAAAATATATACAGCAAAAAACAAAAGAAAGAAAGAAAAACATCCAGAAGTTCTCCTTTATTTACCAAGTGTAACCGGTTTCACCTTCAAGATGCCAACACCACGCAGGTAGCGTACAATGAACGGCGTGCAAGTCAGGGTGACGGCGATCCGGGCTGGGGCAAACAGCTTGTGAACGCCATAGGCCATCAGGAATGTGCTGGTGCCAGTGGCAATGCGAGAAGCGACGAGTTCTGAGCTGAACCCGATGGTAGTCAAGAGAGCCGGTACATCTAGGCCGCTGTGGGGTGGCGGGCGGGGTGTGAAATAAAGTCAACAAAAATCTGAGGAGCAAATATGCTTTCAAAGGTAGCCTCGTAACAGTACAGTCAGACCTCGTTAATGAGAGCTCTATTCTGCTTATAACAGGGAAATTTTTGGTCCCAATCGTTTGTCCTTACATTGTTTTCACTCCCGTTAATGCAAGTTTCTTACAAAAGGATGTTCATAAACTCACCTGGAGACGGCAAGATAAAATCCTCCAAGTGACATCAGTGAGATGCAGACATGAAAGACGATGACAGTTGAGCCATAGTCCTTTACAGCACGCTTCAGCCGCTGTCGCTGTGTGAGCTGGGCACTGGCATCGGGTGAGGGGTTACCATTGGACGAAGGCTGGGTGCTGTAGGACCGACGTGGCACCCCTTGCATGACGTCCACCAACTCCAGGGAGCCAAACATGGACTTGGTGCGGCAGTAGCGGGTGCTGCCGGGCAGGCAGGTGCCCTGCAGGATACACGCAATCTCATCATTCCACAGCTCTCGGGGGAGTCCGGACTTCATGCGCACATTCACAGGAGTGCCATCTCCTTTGTGGGCATTCTTCAGGGGCATCGCTTGAGGTTTAACGCATGATGGGGCGGCCAACGTGTGGACTCCGCGGAAATGCGGAGCCGCTGCCAGGCCCAAGGTGGACATCAGACGCACCTTAGAGCCTAATGTTCCCTGCATAACGTCCCCCTGTTCCAGTTTTCCAAACATGGACTTGGTCCGGCAGTACTTGGTACTGCCGGGGAGGCAAGTGCCTTGCAATATGCAGGCCATATCATCAGACCACTCTTCATAGGCATCCCCAAACAGTGCCTTGCCACTGGCCGGGTAGCGTCCACCCGTGTGAAACTGCTCTCGCTGGACACCCTGGGAGATAGTTTGGAGGTGGTCCAGGTGACGCGCCTTCGGGTCTGGCTGTTTCTTGAGCTGCTGGAAGGCCTTCTCCACAACCTTCTTGGCGTCTTCCGTGCGAAGCCTGTTGGCCACTCGCTGGTGACCTTGGATAACAACTGGAAGCCTGTACATGATGATGCTACGAAGTGGTGTTCATGTCACTTATCATCGGTCAACAAAATCTGCTATAGACGTGAACACGCTATACAAAGAAGGAGAAACAGTCCCGTTTTCATAAAAAATAATGGTCATGCAAAGCAAGAAAAAATACACAGTATTTTGCAGTTACAAAAGTGTTCTCAAATCAGTTATTTTGTAACTACATGTACATGTAACCTGAACAGAATGAGAGCTCCCTCTTGGGCAAGAGTTCTACAAGTCTACCCAGCCACCACACACTGAAGAGCTCCCTCTTGGGCAAGAGTTCTACAAGTCTACCCAGCCACCACACACTGAAGAGCTCCCTCTTGGGCAAGAGTTCTACAAGTCTACCCTGCCACCACATACTGTAGAGCTCCCTCTTGGGCAAGAGTTCTACAAGTCTACCAGCCACCACATACATGTACTGTGCATGACATGTTGTATTCATCCCAATGAGTTCCATATCTGGACATCATTTGCTACCCTGTGTACAACCTCTATGGGACTGATCTGCAAATTTCTGTATTCTAAGTCAATGGTTTAACATTTTCAGTGCTAACTTTGACTTTTTGGGAATCTCATCACTCTCTGATGGCTAATAAACTACTGCAAGGGGAAACTGGTGATGTCTCTACATGTTGAACTCTTATCCATAATAAACTTCACCTCACTTTGTTTTTTCTTTGAATTCAAATTCAATCAGCATGAGAAATTGAACCAGAAAATGTCCCAGGCAAGTTGTTTCACAATGGAATGGAAAAGTGCTTAGGTACTTAATTGTATTAAGCACTTAAGCAATGCAGTTGTTACTATTATTAATATTTTAAGGCCACATTAAATAAAATAGTAGGTGATCATCCCCCCCTGTGGCTAAGACATGCATGTACATACAATTACCCCTAATTTAAAAAATTATTTTTTGAAATAAATTTCTAATGTTATTTTATGTTTATTGAAAAAAAAAATCCAAAAAACAGCCTTTTTGACGATCCCACATTCAAATTTAGTGACCTTCTGTTACGTGCTTTGGAAATGACTACTCCCGAACATCTACCATAAATTTTGGAATATAAGCCGTGTGTGCCATGCCATGTGCAGCATGCATGCAACACAAGCAGTTCCAATGTGATCACTCAAACCAAGGTCTCGCGGCAGATTTTTCATTGTTGAAGCGATTTTTTTGGCGGTGTTTTAAAGATCAGCATCACAAAATCCTTGAGATTACCGTATGTACATGTTTTGTGGACAGTTGCAGAGGTATTTTAAAAGCCGATTATTTTGGTAAGAAATAGTCAAGTCACGAGATGAAACGATTTTTCGACTTGACTGATTTAGCTCTTCATGTACATCTAGCAAGATTTTATTGTACATGTACATCCTGACTGCATGACTTTTGCTGGCTGCTGGAAACCAGGGAAGAGCTGATGCTGGGCCCATGCAAGACCACCATCCACATCCAGCCCACCAACAAATATTAAATTGGAGAACTTAAAATTCACTTTTTATGGTGACACTCGTTGGCTTTTTGCTTTATACTTTTATTAGGATTGCACGTGTATTGGAACCATTTAATTAACATACATGTACTATACATGCTGTATTGGTGCTTCAGCTACGGACGTATATAAAACAATCTGGACTCCCAATGCCCTTAATCAGCTTAAAAATAGAGATCATTGAATCCACTTGCGGCTATTTTACTTAGCCGAATACAAAGCTTGCCCGGCAATGCCCGCCTTTGTTCTCCCTGGCGTCAACAGAAGCAAGCCAACCCTTGCATTTGCATTCAGCTTGATAAAATGGCCGCTGGTTGGCTTCTATTTCATACAAACGCATTGCAAGTCCAGGTTTTTTTATATCCGTCAGTGGCTTCAGCACGATGACCTTCGTGGTTAGTTTTTCAGTGCTGTGGTTCGGCTTGCGAGTCAGTGCACCTTATACGCAGTGCTGACTTTAAGTTTTAATTTGCTGATTTTTGTGTGAAGTGGCTTATACTTGTACACTGGGCATGCTGGGCGGCTTATATTCCAAAAATTACAGTACATGTACATGTACGAGTGTAGAGTCACCAAACCTTGACTCTAAAGTATTGTGGTGCAAGATCGAGCTCATGGGAACGAGGTTGAGGTTCACTTAACCATTAGTGTGTTTGTGAAAGCTGCATCCAAATTATTAGCTGCGGCTGCGGCAGCATGCATACACCTACATGTATGGAAACTAGAGCAGCTGGTGAGGCGGCAACCACAACAGCTTTGTACAATGCGGTCACAGCCACAGCCATTAATTTGGATGCGACCTTTTTTTTTTTTTACAAGTGGACCATGTAATGAGTTTTAATCACAATGCTTGAAGGTTTGCTTACCGGATCTACAATAATAAGGTAGGACTAGGAGGTTTGTGGAGACACTATGTGGAATTATCTCTGTCCATCGTCAGGAGACCGCTGGAAATTGGAATCCAGCAGTCTCCTAACGATGGACATGATGGACAGAGCACTTACATGTGCTGTCCAAAACGACTACCGGTAGAGCACCAGTTCTTTCCAGAACCACACATAATCACTAAAGAGATAATTAAATTATTATAAATATTACCATGGAGGTAGAATCAGTCCATGTTATTACGAAAACAAAATACGTACGGTGCGGCGCAACAATTAGTCCATTCCTAAACGATCTGATGAACAGTCAGAACACCAGCTGATGTGTTCAGTTGTAATGACCAGGCTTTACACTCACCTGCTGTGACTAGATGTAGACGTTATTTTCGACCAGACAGCAGGTGTGGACCGGTACAACGGACGGCTCACTGCAACACGTCCACGTACGGTCTGCGTACTGTGAAAATACGGACATTGCATGCTCTTTTTATTTTCATTATTGCGTCTCATCAGTCATGCACCTAGCGCCTGACTTTGTTATGTCAAGGTCTTCAAAGGCCAAAGTGCAACACAGGAATTTTTGCTTCGTCATAGCATTTTCAGACAGTCACTGTCAGGTGCAGCATCTGGTCACAGACAGCGTATTAATTTTTAGTCGTCATGAAATGACAGAGGGCGGCAGATCGAAAGACCGGTCCATGTGTGGCTGTGTGTTGAACATGGGTGCACTAAACCAATTCAAGCTCCATCGAAAATAGTGTAAATCAACAAAGTTTGGAGCCTCGTGGCAGGCAACTGAAGTCCCCGAGGCCTCTCAAATAAAATACAATGTGTTGTTTGGTCCTTAAAATTTCATTTGATTTTCAATTTTTTGTAAGTTAACTAATGAATTTTTTAATTATCCGCCCAAAAACAAAGTCACCCCCCCCCAAAGTGAATGTTCCCACGTCTTCTCAGCAGTCATTTTTCAAATGACATTCCTCACCTTTCGGACGTTCTTCTGACAAATTTTCAACAACTTTTTTGTTTTCTTTGCCCCCAGACGGGTGCCTTAAATCTACAGAGATGATCTTGGGCCATACTTACCCAATCCCACAATTTCTTGGCCCAAACATGCAGACCCCTCTCTTCGAAAGAATCTGCAGGGGTACTTTTAAGCGCCTCCTCCTACGGAGAATTTTCCTTAAATTGGGACACTGCACGGACCACGTGCGGCAACCTCTCCAACGAGGCCAATTTAGAGACAAATTTGTTTAAGCGTGAAAAAAGGGAAGTCAGAAAAAGGGAAAAGAAATCCCATCACAAACAAAAGCGTAACATCTGTGCTAAAATGACAAAAATAAGCAGATTCCCCCCTTGCTGAAGTTGGCTGGGAAAACTTGTCAGTGATTACAAAAAAAATTAATAATTAAACTATTCAAAATCAACGTTCTAACCCTCTGAAAATAAGTGATCCTGAGGCTACATCTCCTGACTCGGGAGCGACAGGCTGTGAAATCGAATGCCAACTTTTAAAAATATTGAATAATCATTTTCTCAACGAATCTTTATAATTCTTCAAAAGATTTTAATCCTTTGAAAATAGTTAACTCGTTTACTTGTATTTAATCCTGTAATTAACAGGCAGAAATGACCCAAAATACATTTCTTTTTAGTCCAGGTCCAACTCCGCTTTCAGCTCAGGCGCCCTCTGTTTTTCCAAATGCCAGGAACCAACCCCGCCCCTTTGTAAATGCTGCAACCATCACTGATTTTACCAAACATTAAAAACAATGAAAATACCAAGTTCAATAATAGCATTTCTGGACGATGGTCTTGCATTAGCACAAATAAACACACAGGCAAATGAAACTGAATTCCAAAATAAGGAAATTGAAATTGTTTAACTTATTAATTCAACCTGCTGCCATTTATTTGACTGTTCACTTGAAATAATGCATTCCTTTACCTAATAACGGAGAGGTCTAATGAGTTGCCCAGAAGCACTTACAAATAACAGCTTGAATGAATAAATATGATTACTGTGTTGATTTATGGATACAAAAATACGCAGCAGTTGTATGCACCATATAATAATGTTGTCCAACCAAACCATCACTTTGGAGGTCAGCATACACAAATGCAAAGCAAACTGGACGTCATTAAATATTTGCAGCAAAATGCACTCCAGTTGAAATGTGTGTATAACTTTTGTAAATACGCAGCATAAAAAAGTCTGGTTTGGCAGTGTTACGACTTCGCGTTCGTGGATCGCTTTTGAGCCAAGAACTAACAGGCCTTGAAGCTGTATTCCTAGCCTTAAGTTCTGAAAACATAACTTGACGTCGACGAGACCAAATTATCCCTGCCCGGAACCAATACAAAAGACAATTTTGTCCAAATATACAATGTTTAAAGCCATACAAGGTAAATAGAAATATATATATCTGGGGAATATATACATGTAAAAACAGTAAAATGAAGCAGAAAAAAAAATCTTTAAAACGATTCAAGTTCTCAAACAAAATAATACATATACATGTACAGCGAAGGTGCATTACTGGCTCAACAAATTCCCGTGTTCAATGAAAGTCAAAGAAGCAGCCATCTGGATGAATTAAAATACACTAGGCTTACCCTCTGAAAACAGCAATGAAGCTGGTTTGACGGAAAAAAAACACACCTCATGCATGTACTCTGAAAATACCCTGCTTTCAGGATAGGAAGAGTAGCACGGTATTATTTCTGGAATTCCAAGCAGGACACTCCTACGTTGTGACTCCGGCTCGGCATGGAAACTGTTGCTTCCGAGATGCTAGAAAAATAGCAATTACATTTTGGGAATTTACTTTTTTAGGATGCCACGCATACAGTTATTTTAAATGCCCTGTGTGGGACTTTTGTTTGCTTTCCAGTTGTAAAGAAAACTCGGTGAAAATACCTACACTGGATTTTTCTTCCATCGTGAAGTTGAACATTACCATAAACTGAATTTTACTGATGCTTTTCGGGACTGTTCCTCTTCATCTTGCAACAGATAAAACCTCTTTTCCAGAGGTTTTAAAACCTGACGTGGATATGGGCAAGTCCACAAAACATCTTCACTTCCTGGAAGTGTGTACGTACAGACCCACACACACACTTCTTTCACATACCTAAAGGTGACATTTCTTTGATCTCCTATCGTTAAGAAAAACTCAGGGTAAATGCTCCTTTTTCTCCAACTATGATGGCTCCTTTGAGCTGAATTTTTTGACGATTCCCTGAGGTATTCTACTTCACGTTGATAACTTCAAGTTGATGTTGATGAGCCATTTTCAGAGGGGGAAAAACACTGTGTGGATGTGTGTGACTCCACACGTCTTCTAACCCCACATTATGTGGACTTCTTTGGTTCAGAGCTCGCCCACAAAACTCAGACCATTCAAAATGGAGACAAACCAACTTGACGCAGAAACACACATGACAGACAACTTTAACCAAAGCGGAGATTTCCATGTGCATAAAAGATTGGAGGCACATGTGTCAGCAGTTTTAGAGTACTACAATTGAAGTCAGGAAAATACCATACTACCTTATCCTCATGAATACAATCTGACAATTTTTAAAAATGGCACAGACTAAAGAATATTTTAAAGACTTTGGCAAGGTGTCATGCAACCTGTCACGCAAAAACCAAGAAGCAGTTGAAAATACTTGATCGCCTATAATCAGTCGACTTTTCTGGACAAGCTTATTTATCATTTTTCAGGGGTGCATTATTGATTGAACAAACAATTCCGATACTTAAAAGCTGCACTGTGACACCAGAATGAGTTATTAAATAGAATTTCCATCATAATTCCACATTGGCAATGTGGCTTTAGCAAGCACTCTGTAGTTGGCAACACAAGCAAGGTCAAAGAGTCACCAGTCAGGTTCAGGCCAAGATTGCAAGACAGTGCATAATATTGGCTCACGGCATGTACATTTTATAATGTAGCCGTAGTGAACGCAACTTTGTTTTTCATTGCACTTCATTTCAAAGCTTCATTTTACGATTTTTAGCATCACTTTGGTGGCTTAACTTTTACCCTTATGCAGATGTGCAAATTTCTAACCGGACGTGACAGAGCCATTTCAACACTAAACTCTGTGTATGTACTATCTGGATACTTGACTGAATTAAATTTTCCTTTTGTTTTGATTTGGCATCAAATGCATGACCACAGGCCAGTGAGCAACAAATCTCATAGTTTCAATAAGCAAATGAACTACGCCTTCCTGAGATGACATCACAGTCCAGACACCCTATTTGCCACAAAAAGCATAGATAACTTCTTGTGTTTTATTAAAAAATTTTTTCATGATTTTTTTTCAATAAGGCTAACTGAAAAGGGCCACCGAATAGTTTTCATACGTTTTAAAAGAGTACTTAGAAAGTTACACAAGATGTGGATCTCTGAGATATTCATCCCTCTTAAACCACATGCTGCCGGGTGCTTTTCAAAATGTAGTTTACACATCCGGACGATTTTCAAGATTTTCAGTTTACAAAATTCTTCAAAAATTCATCATTTCATTTAATGGACGTTAGCGCCCACACAAATGACTGTTTGGTGGCTACTCTAAGCGGACAGGCAACCTTCCTTGACTCCTGAGTATTTCAGCCAGGCCTGCCGCCCTGTAAAGAGAGCCCAGAATTGTGAGGTGTTGCGTAATTTCTTTGTCCCCAGTGAATGCGAGTGGCGTCTTTTCAAACGCAGCTGGATTAGCATGCAGAGGTACTGTGTCACTCATCAATGGGGCCCTGGAGCACTTTTGTCTGCGGTGCTAATCGGCAGTCGCGCAATGCCCAAAACAGTGGTATATCGTTTAAAAACAGTGACAGATTACCTTCGAAAAATGCAAGCAGAAAAATGATGGCAATTCCTAGCAGCAGGTCTTTTGTTCAGAGTACGGTCTTTTGTTACACAGACAAGCTCTTTTGTCCCATTTTGGGCACCCTCGCTCTGCTTATAAACCCATGGTGCTCAAAACAGGGTTCCCCGGCAGCAAGTGGTTAAGCAGTTTCGTGCCCCATCTCAGACGTTTTCCAGACGTGTTCAAAATAATGAACGCTTCATCTTGCCTGTTGTGACTGTGCTATGCAGACCTGACCTGCTAAGACACCAGCCCTGCAGCCTGGCCTCAAGACTGGAGAGAGGCAGTCAGCTGCTCCTCGGCCTCCGTGGACATCCAGCCCAGGATGCGGAGGACGCGGGCCATGTAGATGTAGACCAAGTTGGTGAGGTATGTCCCGCTGCGGAGAAGGAAAGCAAAAAAGCATTGGGGAAATTCTTGCCATGGTGAAGGGAATAGATCCAAGCCTGGTGGAAAGACAGCTGTTGCTCTAATACTTAAGTATCTAAAAAACAATACAAGAAACTCAAAATTTTTACAATTTGTTTTTTTTGGGGGGGGGTTACTCATACATTTTTGGTTGAACCTGAAAGTGGAAAGTCAAATTTTTTCTTGTGTGCTCACCAAAGTCTTAATTCCAAGACGATTTGACGGTAGTAACCTTTAACCCTGCCAAATAGGCGACCCTGTTGTGACAGGCTTGACGACGACTGCCTAGCAGCACTGCAGATGTACGACACCAAACATACAACAAGATTCATATCAATCATGCTGAAACTGATCATGAAATTAACAGGTTTTTAAAGGCACAACACAACACAACACAACACAACACAACACAACACAACACAACACAACACAACACAACACAACACAACACAACACAACACAACTGCTGAGCCAGCAGTTACAAGTAGACATGTCTGTGACTGCAGCCACTAGAGTTGCGATGGGTGACGCACTGAACAGAAGACAAGTCTTTTGACACAAATAGTCCAAGCACCGCCTTCATTATGGGTCTCATGAGTGAACATGAGATGGTGTGCTTTAGGGTAGCAGAGTACACCTGAACACTTTGAAGTTCAAAGGTCGTACAGTGCAGTACACACCCGACCATTGGCCTTTCTCTATCTTTATCTGTGCACAAAACAGATGTCATTCAGATATAGGGTGAGAGGAAATCAAGCATATCACACACTCTGTCAAACCTTTGGAAGATGCCACAGAATAAGTCGTAAGGCCATTAAAATTTTTTTTTTTTAAATTTGCATAATAAAGAGCATCTCTTTTATCACTCCATTTGAAATCCTGATAAATATGGGCATCATCTACATGAGAAATATTGAGGGCTCCCACTGACTCCCACTCAAAAATGCCTCTGGGTAACTCATCCTGCCAAGTTGGGTCACAAAAGCCACTGCATTACAAGTGAGAGCGTATTTGAGAACGAGGCTGGCCCACCTACAGGGAAGGCAGCGTCGTCAGGCCGCACAGCGGCCAGAACGATTTCGGACACTTAAAGGAGGCTGGACGTCCTCATGTATGACACGAGGGCAGGCCAGTCCAACTCACCATCTAGCCATCACTGTGTACCTATCCACAGACATGCCAAGCTCCTGGTTTATTGCACGCACCGTGTTCAAGTTCCTGTAGATCAAGATAAAATCATCTCATCACCGAGCGAGAAAATCAAAATGACCTGTGTGGGGGGCTCTACTTGCCTAGTAAAATTTCCTCATCCTTCAAACCTTACAGAGAGATTTTTGAGAGGCTAAGGCCTTATTTTAATGCATTGGATGAGACTGCATTGTATGAAGATACATCAGCCTGCTCTTTGGGGCCCTTGGCCAACGGATGCATGGCACAAGTTTACTGATATGACAACTTTGCTGATGAAAACCACCCCCAAACCCTGTCTAGTGACAACACCAGAACAAGTAAGAGCGACACAGGTATTCATGGTCGGCAAAACAACATTTGGCGCATTTTAATTCTCCCCACCTGATGACGAGGAGTAAGGAATGAGGCATCTGCCTCAGTACGGTCATGATTTTGTCAAAGTCCTGCTGGGCCATGTACTCTTTCTCCGTCAACCTGGAGCTCAGCTTGTAGGGCCGCTGGGTCATTATCTCTGCCAGTGTCTTGATATCTGCAACAACGGACAAATAACACAGTTATGATTGGGGTTCAGCAATGCTATTTTCCAGACTTGTCTCGTGCGTTGTGGAGGGAGAGTTGGGGTGGGTTAGAAGTTGTGGGTAACCTTTTAAAAAATTGTATTTGACAAAATGTTTGAATAGGGGCGAGTGCAGCTGTTTAGTCCAAACTGCATCTCTGTGTTTCAGGCATAGCCAGAGAGTAACGGCAATGTATGTCACTGTGCTTATGACCTCCGATACATAACCCGTTGAAGTTTATGCCAAATAGACACAAATGAGCACTGCATTTCATATATGCACATAATACAATAATCAGATTACAAGGAAGAAAGAGCCGTGACATTTCAGCTTTGGTTAGACCGCGGACCTTAAACGGGGAGGCTTGTTAATTTACCGCTGAGGCTCTAGCCTTTGCAGGCCCATGTCACCCCTCTTCCTCGCCGACTTTTGAGGAGAGATTAATGCTCCCGTGCTTTGCCATCTGATCTTTATGGTCAGCCAGAGTTCCAGATCGGTGCATGCCCCACATGCTATGTGTTGGTACCCCAGAGACGGATCAATATTTTCTCATGTTCAGAGATGCCGGTGACAAATGGAACAAGATGTAGACTGTATTACTGACGAACATCTTCCTTCACCTTCAGTGCAAGGTTTTAAGATTTCAAAGATCGTGAAACCGCATGTTGAGAGTGGTTGGCGTCGGGTGTGTCTGAAAATTGGACGCAAATATACTTCTACCTTGGACTCCAAGTTTGGCAGCGTTGACAGCCATGCCTTCCTCATCCTGGCCAATGAGGCATCTCCAAAAGTCACATAACGCCATTCGATGACTGGTAAGTAATGGAAAAAAAAAACACAAATGTGATAAGCGGTGGAAAACATTATTAGAGAATTCCAAGAACTGCTTCTTCTGTGCATTCGTGAACAAACAACTAGACACTCACAGAGCGTTTTCAAAACGAGTGGATTTGGTTTAGACTACGGTTTCGCTGGTTCCAGGCAGAGCTTGAACATGTGGTTTCGAATGCTACTTCAAAATGGCTGTAACTAGTGAAACCAAAGTCTAAGCCGAATCCACTCCATTTAAAAAATGCAAACAGTTGAAGAAGCTGTCACAATTCCATCTCACAGATATAATGAAGTTGTCCTGTTCTGATGGTGTCTTTGACAGACGTGACCTGTTCCATGCCTATGGACAACTATGGACAATTTATTTGGCAAAACTCCTGCTGTTACCTGTCGTCTAGCTTCTGGTACAGTCCATGGTCCAAGAAGACAAGCTTGGCTCTACCGTCATCACCTTTCTGCACAAACACTGGGGGGGAGGGGAGAGCATAGCGGACAGGATGTCAATTCAGGGAAGACAATCGACCGAGCTCAGCGTGACATTACTGTGTATTCATGACAAGACCCCGATGATGGCGAGCGCACTGCCAAGAACTGCCTTGTGCTTGGCACTCATTCTGAGCAACAAGGGTATGTTTTTGGAAACGGAAAGCAGTAACCAGGAATACCATCATCACTCAGGCACAAAAGATGGTGTTGAAATATCCTACAAAACAGTAGCGTAAAGTAACTTCAGAAGCAGATTACATTGTTGACAAATGTCATTATCAATCAACCTTTGACATGTTTGCCACCACTGTAACCTCTTCCAAGAAGATAGTATCCCTTTTGGTTCACTCCATGCAGCAAGAAATTGAGGCATTCATATTTCACTTATATTAGCGGAAAAAAAATTAACGGCCAATGAACCAATTGCAACCGCCAACTCTCATTTGGTCGGGGAAAAAAAATGTCACAAAGACAGAACTTAGGCCACAAAAAAAAAGCCCAATTGATGACCAATACAGAAAAATACAGACATATATTCCTTGTCACAGTGCCTTTGCTTGGATTCTGAGTTTTTATAGCACTGTAGCTTAGGTATTGGAACATCATATTCAAGTCGAGTCCACAGTGCAGAAGGAAAGACACTCAAAAAGGCAGTTCAGGGTGTCTGTTGTCAAAGCAAGATTTGACAATCAGTGTTTCAATTGGAAAAGTGACTTGAAATGGTCTCAACAAGGCCATGGTGAAATTCACACCACTACAAAATGCATTTCAACTTGAGGTTCAATGTTTATAGTTGACTCGGTTTGTCCCCAACATATTAATGAGTAACAAGATCTCAGAAGGTCTATGCAGGTCTTAAATACCACAATGCTTGGATTCGTCCACTGAAACATAATTAACAATAATTTTACTTGCCACATAAGACACTGCATTAAGTTGGGGGTACCAACCCTCTTCAGCATGTTCATCACTTTTAAGTCTAGAAATTAAGACAACCCCCCCAAACAATTGAAAGACCGGAAAACTGCCGACAGAAGGCCAGTGAGCTCAGTTGGTCAAGCACTGGCATTACATCATAGGGGTCACAGGTTCATGTCTCACTCTGTCAATTTTGTTATCATTTGAAAGTCAGTCTTTTCCGTTAATGTAGTTCATGATATAATGTATGATTTTTGCTTATAATGATGTGTGCTTTAGATTATCGAACAAAAGTGAGCCATGCAAGCATGTAATTTTTCAAGCTGACCGGTACTTTCTAAAATGTCCAAATATAAAACATGCTCTTGTCTGCAGGCAATAAACCGCACCAAAATCTGCCGCAAAATTGGTGGTCTTTCAGGTGGAATAGCTGAGCACACGCCACGCACAAGCCAAAGATTTCAGAGTAGCCATGCAAAGCATGAAAGATGAACTACAGAAAAATAAAACTTGTCACCATCCAATCTTTGTGAGAACAATCGCACTTCAAAAACCTCAACCCCAAAAAACCAAGAAGAGGAAGAAAAAGGCAAGCTATATCTCAAGGCACTGCACGTTATTTTCTAAGGGGCTCAAGCAAGGGTAACTTGTGCTAGCACGTAGTCCACTCACTGCATAGTGAACTGGAGCTGAATGACAGGGGAGCGATAAACTCATGGGCTGTTAAAGGATGCGGCCTTGATAAAATGTAAACAAGTTAGACAATTAAAAAGGGCCGACTTTAATTTCTGGTCAAATGCTATAAAAGAGAATGCACACAGAACTACAAAGCACACACTGCTGACATTGATCGACAATTGTTTTAAATACCAATGAATTCGATTTTAAGGTCACAAAAACAGTGCACTCACTACCGGTATTTTAAAACTTTCACTAAGCTTCCAGTATTGTTACCACAGGTGGCTGTCTTGTCAGTGCACACAGACAATTTACTAACCGTTTCCTGGGTGAGGGTCGCCATGCACAAAGCCTGAATGGAATATCTGTTCGCAGAAGCCTCTGATAAGCTTTGAATTGACCTACATATTTGGAGATGCAAACACTTGTTTATCTACAGAATGAATGGCATAAAAGAATTTGCCTTTCCCCCAAAGAATAAAAACCAAAACAACTTTTTTTTACATAAATGAAGTAAGTTAATTACATATATTTACATGTATATATGCATTACTAGCATTTATGTTAACGGTTAGCAAAGTAACGTTCATGCTATGAGTAGCAAAATTACATGTATTTCTTTAAACAGACATTGCTTATCTGCAGTTTTCTTTCAAAAACATTATTTTCCACTGAAAGTGGAACAGTGGAATGCTCAGTGCAACACAGAACACTTCACTTATCAATTTTCAAAAAGAAAACTTTGTGCTGGAAATGCATTTTTTGAACAAGTCACAGTACATTTGCAGACCTCTGCAGGGAAAACAACTGTTGGGCTGGTTGTAATGTATTCTGTGTATGTTCTCTCAACACAGCTGTGTGAGGTTGGACTAGCACCATAGTCCAGATTTCTGAGGAATTGTATCACCGGGGGGAGTGAGGTATCCTCCCCCGCAATTTTGGCCTTTCCGTATCTCATTTTGTTGAAACTTGGCACGCCTGTTAAGTCATTGATTATGGGTAAATCTGTTCAATTTGAATGTAATTCAAGAGTTTTGTTTGTCAACGCCATTCACAGTTCACAGCTCCATGCATGGTAAGCCACACGCATAGAGCACAAACATAAACTCGGTGTCAAAAATGGTCACATAAAGGCGATCATGGAAAACTCCAGAAAACTAGATAAAATTTAAAAAATGGTCTTGTAACAATATCAGAGAAAATGAAAAAAGGAGGAAGGCAGATTCTCCCAGCTGTTTTAGAATTATACTTGTAACATTTCCAGCCTTCGAACCCAAATAGACATTGATAAATGGGATAAGATTGTGTCAAACACGATGGTCATGCAGTAAAGCTTGATGAAGAGGTCTATCCCGGTACGTGCAACAAATGAATGTGCATCAGGGGGAGACTGGAATGATGCAGAAATATAATGAAAAATATAAAGAAATTATTTCATTCCTATTTGGGCCATTCGATGAATTATGGGTCCAATGTGTGGCACATTTTTGTCCCTGCTACACCTGATCTGTGTAATTTGACAAGGAGAGGATAGGTGCAATTGACTTCAAGCCTTTTTTATTAGTTTGAGAGGTAATTTGCATTCTTGGAAATTAAAGAATGCATTCTAAATTTACAAAATTACAAGTCAGGTGTAACAGGGAGAGGAAAGAATTGGTCCACAAATTTATACGACTTTTCTAAAACAATGGAAATCAAATGTGAATATGAGATTGCGAGCAGTTTCATGCAGTGGTGGAATCAAACAGCAAAAGTGTGAGGATGCTGGTTTCTTTACAAGAAATGAAGTGAAACATTTCCAACTTACATCAGCAGGTGACAAGCCCATCCCAATTATTCCTTCCTTGTCGTTGACTTTGCAACCCTGCACAAATTCAGATGTTAAAACCCTCTGCCAAGAATTTCAAAAACAAAAAAACATGGACGTGGGTATTAACTTTTCTGCTTCATCACATTCCTGATGGATAGAGTTGATGTGAGACAATGAAGACAGTTGATAACAACTATCATAATAACTTGTCAAGTGCTTTGACAAAGCTTATGAGTGAATTCGGACTTTGCCTCGACTTAATGTAGCATGCCGCGCCACTCAAAAAAATCTGCACGACCCACACACATGCTTCCATGCGCATAATGAAATATTACCCCTAGTTATTACAAATATATTTAGCTGAGGTAAGGATCTGATAAAGTGCAAAGACAGTGACAAATTTAAGGTCATGTGACATGTTCTTTGACAAAAAAATAGCAATCTGTGGATGAAACACTGAAATATCATTTTTCTTGGAGTGGAACAGCTGTGAGTGACAGTCAGGATTTTTACTTTTTTGAGTAAGGAGTTCACAAACCTTAGTGGTGTACTTCCACAATATTCTTGGGACTGATACAAATTTGAGGTGCTTGAGGTCTTGTTGGCAGCGTTCTCCGTTCCTTCCCTCGTGCTCAAAGTCTAGCTCACACTTCAAGTCGTCTTTGAGAACCTAACAAAAAAAAATGTGGAATCACACAATGAGCCACATGTATTTGGTAGAGTGGAGTCGATTAGGGAGACTACACATATAAGGCGTGGCAAAGGGTTCTACTTTATTACCTAGTCATGGCATAGCCTAAGTTGTGACTGACTGACTGACTAATATCGACACATGACAGACCCTAAACCAACTCATACCTGAAGTACCCATTTGAAATTGAAGGAGGGGTGCATCCAGCCAATCAGGTCTAGCAGTAACTTCAGTGTCCGTATATCACTGTCGTAACGATCTCTCAGATCAATGTATTGCACCTGTGACAAGCCAAAAAATCTACCTTTCAATTCATCCACTTGAGAATGTTGTATGTGCAAGCGACACATTTCATTCGTTATGAGCCGGCATATTCATTCCACGATGGATGATCCCGCATGACTTTTGAGAGCATACATATAGATACATCAGCCAACTTTTGATATAACGGAGCCCATGCCACAAACACTGATTTGCAACAGTCGTTTGAACTGAATTTCAATGATGTTTTCCTGCAACGTCATATTTTTTAAAGACTCAGAGCCCACCCATCGAGTGATATTTGCTATCACAACAGGCTGTGCGTAGCAATCAACTTCTGGTTCAAGACAGTGTCAGCCTCTGACAAGTGGAGCATGAACATGTTTGGACATCTGCTAGAGGCAAGTTGAGTCATACTTGAAATTTCAACCTGTCGGTCAGCCTTGTGCATAATTACCCAGAGTGTGCTTTCATGTCCACTAGTGCAAGGTGGCTGAATGAACGACAGGGTGTTTCGGTACCATGGAATGATTGTGGGCGGAACCTTTTCGGTGATTTACCTCGGTAAACGAGTTTGTAAAACTGAAACCTGAAGCCACAGACAGAGATGAAACTGCAATTTGAGAAATCCCTTGGTCTGAGAACAGCCAGACTTTCAATGACCATAAACCCTCTGGCATAGACCTCATCTCAATCAAACATCCAACAGAGCAGAAAAGGCATTGAGTTCCATTTGAACACTAACTGTTTTAACCAGGCCAATCTGATAAACAGGCAGGACAGCACTGCCCCTGCTGAGTCCACGTGAGTCTCCGATAAATGGCCAGAAGTAACATCACAATGGTTACCTTCACAGCCACGGTCTGGTTGTCGTGGGTGACTGCCTTGTGCACTTGGGCTAGACTGGCAGCCGCAATCGGCTCCTCATCAAACTCAGCAAAGAGCTTGTCAGGTGTGGTCCCAAAGTCTTCCATGAAGAGCCTGTTCAGCTGTGCACACCACACAAAACACAGTTTAAGGGGTCAGTCACGTTAAACAATGTTTACCCTAGCTGTAGATTTGTACAAGTGTTTCAACGCCAAAATAATTTTCTACTGTAGTTTGAATGAAACAGTGTAGCACTTTATGTTCTTGCAAAGCTGTCATTCCCTTTTCCAGTCAACAATGGACGGAAAAATAAATAGAGATTGATTCATGTTTCCAAATAGAGAACACTTTCTGGTCTAAATCCAGTTATAACCTCCACACGCTGATACACATGAAAAATAGGTTGTGGACTGCTCAAAGCAACTTATTCGCTTATTGGCTAGCTTACTAGGTAACTAACTTGCCCCCTTTACTATGTTTTGCCCTATACATGAAGAACAAACACCGTCAAACAGACAAGCAGGGCACAGCATAAAAGCTCAGACTGTCACTGAATTATTTGGTAGGGGCGAACAACAATGACATGTCTTTGGGAAATTAATTTTAGAGTGCGTTTGATTAGCTCACGCGTGGCAACTCTGACCTGGAGAGGGTGGTGCATGCTGTGTCAAACAAGCGAGATAGTGGGGACGAGGCGGACGCCAATTGAATGCACCCTCACGTGTAGCCCAGCAGGTGGCAAATACACAAATGAAATTTTCAGACGGAAGAGCTCACGGACTCGAAAATAATGTTAGTTTGCTTCAGTGGTTTTCTCTGTTAAAACAATGATTTATAAATGGATCTGCTTTTCGGAAAAACTTTTCTGATCTCAGAAAAAGAAAGATCTGAGAAAAAACGCACACCTCATTGGGACGACGCACCAATGCGCAATCTTCCAGCTCGTGCAGCGTCTCGACGTACTCCTTTGGCAAAATGTGGTTTATCGTGGCCAAGCCCTGGCCCAGCTTGACATACAAGCCACCGCACTTGATGCAGCCATAGAACAGACGGTCGGCGGCCCGCTGGTGGCAGGCGGCCCAGAGGGTGCTGTACTCGGGATGGCCCTCGTCCACTCCCCGCAGTGACCACCAGTAGTCGAGGGAGATCGTCAACCCAACAGATGCTGAACTGTAAATGATGCATAATATTCAATTAATTTGTTCAATTTAGAGTTTTAAATTTTGTACATGGCAAGGAAAGAAATGATATGCGCAACAACTGGTTGGCACAGTGGTGCTTAATTTTGTATGTCTTCTCCTGAACTGAAGTTTGAATCCCACCTAGACAGGATTAGGGTGTCAGTCCCTACAAGATTTGACAAGTTTTCATTGGAGTAGCATTCTGCATTTTTCTTCCCACATTTAAATATCCCAAACACTTCTCGCCCTGTTTTCTTTGTTTTTTTCACGCGTCTTTAGGCTACTGCGTCTCAGGACTTCTTGAGAATCCTCAGTTTTTAAAGAACAGAAAGAGTTCTAATTTCTTTTTATACGCAAATGATTGGAATACTAATCAAGCTGCTTTGTTTAACCTTTGACACTGTTTAACCAAAAAACCTGACCACAAACCATCACAAATGCAGATCAACTTGAGGGGGGCATTACTTCCACTCAGAAAGGCTATAAAAGGTAACAAAAAAACATGTACAAACTTTGGCTCCCAACAAAAAAAAAACAAGTTTGCTCTCCCCAAGAAACTTTGTCCTGGATCTGCCCTTGATCAAATACAGCTGTTGACACTGCAAGGTTTTCTAAGACTCCATCACAAGTCTCACAAGTACCGAAAAGTGCATCACAAGTCGACCACAAGTCATCTAGTTGAGTCACAAGTTTGCTTAGATGAACTGTGACAAAGGGCATCCCTTTGTTGATCTTCTTTCTTTGTTACTTTTGACCTGGGGCCTATTTCAGAGAGCTGCTCAAGCACAAAAAACCTTCCTTAATTAAAAAACAAAGGTTACCAGCTCAAAATCCACGTGATTGTCATACTAACCAAAAGACAGGTGAGTACCATTCCAAACCAATATACACATCACATGGATTTTGGCTGGTAACCTGATTTGTCAAGGATTTGTCATGCTTAAGCAAATTTTGTGCTTAAGCAGCTCTATGAAATTGGCCCCTGGCTTGTGAACTGATGCGTGACTAGACCTAAAATGGACTTGATGGCAACACTAGTATACTTACTACAAGAACCTTCCAATGCCGTTCACCAGAAGGCCAAACCTTCTCCGCTGTCCTGGGTCACTCCTCAAATACGTCACTCCTCCCAAGACAGTGGAGCCCAACACTGCAACCAACCATACCAATCGTCGCCTAGTCTTTAACACTGGTCTGGACACAAACCCTGGCCTAGGTGCCACTGCTGTGCCCGTGTTGGTAGTTTGAGAGCGCTGCCCACGAAATAGAAGGTTTCGGGGGCAGTGGTACCGCAGATCAGGTGCAAGAGCAAAGAGGGGTCTGGTGCCCAGCCCCAATTGGTGGGATCTTGTCGAGGCAGGCCATCCACAGAGGACTGTGGATAGTCTGTGTCCTGCCATTGTACGCAGAGGGGCTAGGGTTCACAACAGCAACATTCAGATGAGCGTAGAATATGGACCCTTCCAAAAACAAACAAAAACATAACAAATGAATGCCTTAAAGATAAAGCAAACATGTTTAACGTCAAGCACTAACAATTTCATATGTGCGTGTGGCTTGAGGGATCATCCCTTTTGATGTATCGATTCATGGGAGAACAAAACTGCTAAACCACTACTGGGGGGCAGGCCCTCCAGAAAGCATGAACATGGCAATCCCACATGTATAAACATTAATATTAGGGCTGGAGTTCCCAAAGGTGGCAGCAAGTCATTTTTTGCAAGTCCAAGTCAAGTCACAAGTCAAAGCTGGTAATTACACGTCAAGTCACAAAAATAGCGAGTCTGGCTCGAGTCCAAGTCACATGACTCGAGTCAGCGACTTTGGGAGTTCCTCAACGTTAACCACAGCCAAAGATTTGAAGTTGCCTTAAACTTATAAATTTCTCCTAAGTGGCATGTTCATCACTTGTTGGACTACATGTAAGTACATGTAAGCCTCTTGTTGCTATTATGATTATGAATGAACATGTTGATCTAATAGCATACATGGATATTTGATCAGTTCAGGTAATGCTTTTGCTGTCGGATCACCATACATGTATATGTACATGTATATATGGTAAATGAACGTACACAGTTAATCTTTTGAGGTGCTTAGAAATTTTACTGCCACAAACCTTTAACCGTACAGGTTTGGTTCTGTGCTTTCACTGCTAATGTCATTCATAATCACAAGATGAAATTCTGACCCTGGCCTAGTGCCATTCCGGACTTTTTTCTCCTGAAAGAATTCTCCAGATCATGCTGGGGATCACAAAAAGAAAAGCATATTATCCTGCCATTTCACTTGACTTAAGATTTGATTTAAAAACCCAAACCTTTTTGGGTAAGGAAAATAGCATACAATTTGTCAGTATGACGTGACCAAGAGATTGAACTAAGATTGAGTGCCTCACCTCAATGGCTATCCGCCTGATTGTATCACACACACCCAATCCTGACAACGCCAATGAGTATAATGGGAACAATGACCCCGAATAGCCTGAAGGTAATTCCAGAAATTAAGGGTTCTAAAAATGTGACATTTTCGTGTCCCTGTTATGTCTGACCTTTGTTTCTTGACATGGAAATATCACCTGAATTGATTTGAAACTATGACTATTTGTTTAACAGGTTTTGCATTAATAAATACATGTAACTCTTGGAAATTAGAAAATGTGTTCTGAACTAACAAAATCATATTTCAGACGTGACAGGGACGTTGAAAAAAATGGACCCCTAAATTCTGGAATTACCCCTATACACATTGCTTAGAAAAATAGTCACTGATTGTATGACTAATATACATGTACATGTCATGCTTGTACCATTTTTCCTGGATATACCATGAGCTGACAATGTCATCACGGTCATGGTTTACCCCACGAACAGTGGAGTTTGTCGTCTGGACGACGAACCCCACAAACACAGTTGACGGGGATGTCATGGTTATGTCTTGTCAACATTAGTCATTAGCACTGCAGCATCTTTGTTAATTGTGTACCACAGAGTTGTTGGGGAAAGTTTATGGATATGGTGAAGAGTTTAGTGCAAGTGCATTGTTGAAGTAATCTGTCATGTCTGTCATTATTTTTCAATCCCAGATTCATGTCATTTCAATATTTAAGTTAAAAGCTCCTCACGCTGTTACTTCTTTTACCCTTTTACTTCCAAAACTAAAAGTTCAGCTGATTAGGCCTGGTAATAACTTAAATAAGGTTTTGACTAGTAAGACACTTGGGCCCTAGGCCTACAGTGTACTTCCTGAACAGTCGAGTCAGGGAGATCAGGTCAACTTGGACCCAAACCAACTCGGACCCATTCCAACTCGGACCCATGCCAACTCGGACCCAGGACCAATTTGGACCCACGCCAACTAGGACCCAATACTAACTCGGACCCACGACCATCTCGGACCCACAACCAACTCAGACCCACACCAACTGGAACCCCCGCCAACTCGGACCCACCTCGAGTCAACTCGGACCCACTGAGTCTTATGGTTGCACTACACCAAATATGCGCCCGTAGACCGAAATAGCGCCAACTCTTGAACCTCGCGAAGAGGTTGGCCTTCATTTTTTTTGCTGGGAAATTCAAATTATGGTCAGATCGATCACTTTTTGTTTAAATTTTAAGAATTTTTTTATTCACCTTTTCTTTTTTTCCCGAAGATACCCCCCTAATAGTAGTAAAACTATGCACTCAGCTCTGAATGTAGCCGCCCGCCTCTTTCGAAAATAGGCCCGCAATGTGGGGGTTTTATGTTGGGTTTTATATAAATAATTCTATGATCCCTCATGATTATGGCACGTCTTATTGTAAAAAAAAAAGTGGGATCAAAAATATTAATAATAAGCTCGCGAGCAGACATACGATGCTTCAAAACTGTCTCCAAGTTTAAGACAATAGGAAATATTTCACATTTTTATTTTAAAATGATTTGATTTGTGTTGTTCGAAATTACCAACATATTTGGACAGTCAGTTTAGGCCTGTATGGATGAATTCCTCCATCTGCCTAAATTGTGCCGGTATTCGGGGGGGGGAGGGGGCGGGGATGGGGCAAGGTGGAGGTGTAAGACTTGCCAGGCCAAAAAAAATTGAAAAGTGAGGTGGGGGATAACACCGTAAGACACTATGAAAGGTCAATGTTCGTGATATTGATGTATATCTGCAGTATGTGTTGTACGCATGCAGCATCTCTTTATACATGTACATCAAAAGGCCTATCTGTGGCTTTTTATTGCGACAAAGACTTTGGGGGCTGTTTAGTGAAAGTTCATTTTATTTCTTCTGTTGATATGGAGTGCCAAAAAAATTCGGAGAAAGGGCGTCAATGATTTGGTACTGTCAATCACTCTCCAAAAGCTGCTCCCATTTTTTGTCCCAAGCTCCAACTCCCGGATCATAGGGTTTCAAGAATGGAAGGGGACAAAATCAGTCTTTGTGGTCAATCACGCTGGTACCTTGGAAGCTAATAGCCGATTAAGATTCCAGATCAAAAGCGGCAAATAAGACATCAAAGGAAATGTGCCTCCATAAAAATACGACGCTTTTCGGTTACTTTATCACTTGTTTCAAGACATCACTGATATCAAATCTAGTCCTGTACGGTTTTTCAACCACCATGCCTGTTCAAACTCGAAAACTGAGAAATTCTGGGAAGCCTGTGCCACTGTTTCCCTGCATTACGTTTATTCAAGAGAGCGTTACATCTCGGCAGCATGCAGTGCAAAAGTGTCATTTACCAAATGCTAAAATGTAAAAGTGGACAAAATCAATTTTCCACAAGTTAATCACGCTCCTGGGGTTGGGTCCCAGTTGACTCGGGGTGGGTCCCAGTTGGTCGTTGGTCCGAGTTAGTTTCGGGTCTGAGTTGGTTGTGGGTCCGAGTTGGTCGTGGGTCCAGGTTAGTATTGGGTCCGAGCTGGCATGGGTCCGAGTTGGTCGTGGGTCCAAGTTGGCATGGGTCCGAGTTGACTCCAAATCGAGTCAGGTACTACTACTAGTGTATGCGAGTACTAGTACCTTACTGTTCAGAAAGTACATGTACTTGGGCCCCTACCATCTAACCACTGCTTTGACATATCAGTACCGGTTCGCCACGGTCGATGTTAAAAGCCACAGGCACAAGTGGAACGCTGGGCTCTAAAGTGAGTAGCCTAATGTAAGTCATAAACCTAGTCGTATTTATTTTGACCGTGGAAGAATGATGAAAATGTTGACCATGTTTTGACCCTGTCTGCTGTCAGGAAAATTACACCCAGAGATTTCATAAATCCTTTTCTTGAAATAGTTAGATTTCAAGGGGGGGGGTTATTTATCTGATATGTAATGAGATGGTGAAATTTACGAGAATTCCACTTACCCTTCCTTAACCCACACGGAAATTACGATTAACCACCAGCTGAAGATGATGGATCAGTGACTCGAGGTTGAAAGGTCATCTTTCGGCATCGTGGCAGTTTGACCAATTACAACGCGGCTCCTATCTTTTTCTTTCTCCCTCGCCGTCAAATGAAAGCCTCGCTATAATTGGTCAAATTGTTGACCCAGCGATCAAATACCACGAAAACATGAAAAGCGTTCGGTTGGGGGAGGGGGGGGGCCTTTTTACGGAGTGAATTTAGAATACTTTGGACATTTGATTTCTATCAAGATTTTGAGTAAAAAGTCTCGCCCGGCACGAAAGAAAAAAATGACTCAGAATGTCTGTATTCATCGTCAAACAAGCAATTTTGTGCAATAATATGTACCAGAAGTGATAATAGGCACAAGACGTTTTCTCAGAAAAATTTGAACAAAAATTTTTCCCAAGGTCTGCGTATGGCTAACTGAAACACGGCTACTATAAAGTATAAGGCCACGAAATTATTATTATATCAATCATTTCTGCTAATGAGACTAAGGATTCCTCAGAAGCACCCTTATGTTGCTCTAATTAAGCCTGGAAGGAACCTGTAGAGAAGAGACAATGAGAAGCTGTTTTTTAGTGGTGGGGAAACCCCGGGAGGAATGCTCTGGGTAAAGCCCACGGAATCAGGTAGGGGCTGAAAACCCAATCCACACGTACGTGGATCATAGAGCTATTATATATAGCTCTATGACGTGAACCGAGCAGAGGATCGAACCCAGCCCGGGTCCGCCGTAGGAACTTAAAGTGAGGGGAGATTACACCAACCGGGTTGTCTACCTTGGGAGGTAATCAGCCTATTTTTTGGCGTCTCATTCGTGTTTGCTTGTGATCTGTGCGTGTTTTATTTGTTTGCAATTGCTTGTTCTGATGTGTAAGTAATTGTCCTCTTTTCTCTTCCTTCCCTGCAGTGACTGGGATGTGCGACTGCCGTGTGGCGAGACGTGAGTGACTTAGGCCCCATTATGCGACTGCTGGTTTATAATTATGGATGTGCATAGTAACTCAAATGTAGCACTGAACTTGTGTCGAGCCAGAAAAGGCACTGAACTTAGGGCTTGCCCCTGACTGGTCACACGAACGATAAGAGAGGCCCTTTACACGCTCCTAAGTACCCAATCTCACCAGGGCTCATCATCTGCTATCAAAATACTTTGTTGCTCGCCTCGATTCAGTTGGAACCCCCTCGTTCGTACAATTAACCCACGCATAGGCACGAGAATCAGGGTGAGCACTCCGCATTTGAACAGATTTTTAAAAGCACTGAGATTTCAGACCAGAAATTTTGCGTTCAGGAATTCACAATTTCCACACCAACAACTTTATAGCAAAAGTAGAGTCCAAAGTGTTGCAATAATAATTTTCTGTACTGCTACTTTGCCAGTGCTCTAGCTCCTTCAAAAAATGTCACGCTGCAGCTGTAGATGGTTCCTGGTGCGCATGTGCATAACGCAACTGGCGTTACATAACGTCACAAAATATGACGCGGGAAAAAGGGCGCGCAGTCACCAAGTCGCATAGTTACGTATTTCATACAATATTAAAATAATTATAATAATTATTTTATTTCTGACAGCCACTCAGCTAAAAGCTAAGCTGCTGTTTCTGTTAAACGATCGTGAGAAATGTTTGGGCCTAAAATGTAAGAGTTAAGTGCAGCAAACCCGGCCTGTTAACGGTCTCAAAATTGAACCTGGGTCTTGGGAAAGTAACTGGGAATAGACGCGTAGGCTCAACTACTCCGTGAAGATGGATCCTGTCAACGAACATGACCCAACTATGGATGCCAGCATTGTGCATGCGGTCAACGTCAACAACAAGAAAGAAGTGGCCGAAATGAAATTTCTCACGAAGTGAGTTTAAAAAAACCCGAAATCTTCTTTCGAAAGAAATGCATGTGTATTAGGCCCAAGTGGCCCACTAAAGGTGCTTCAACAGAAATCAAAAGGATTCTTAGGTTCTTAATGTCCATACTGGATTTCAATCGACAGCGTTCCTGATACGGAAAGTTGTTCGTACTACAAAGATCGCAAGCATGTTCAACCTCGTCAGTTGAACGAACAACCGCTTGTTATGTGAAATGCTGTAATTTCGGGTACACTAATATGCATTACCGGCGCATGTTTTGGCTCCGAAAAGGTTGCTTCTCTTTGCGTGTGTGTATAAATTATGAGAACAGCCTTGACATTGTGACATAGCAAGGACATGTTTATTACCAAAGTAGTCTCAGCGTTTACGTACGTTCACTACCGTATACAGATCGCTGGCCAATGCCCGTCACGTCCAGGAGAGCATTTACCGACAAGAAGAGAAGGACCTGATAAGACAGCTGTGGAAACTGCACCATGAGAAAGAGCGTCGCCACCCGGAGATAGATTATAGTGCCAGGCGTTCCAGCCATGGACTGCAAAGCTTGCCCAGTGACCAGGTAGGTCACGGGATCGGTCTGAGTATTTTTTAATAATTACTTATCAAGGTCATTAGGTCATTTTCACTACGCGGTTTATCCAACGGGTGAGTATTTATTGAAAAAAACGGAAAGTAGATTTTAAATCTGTTTAGTCGCCTGACCTTTTTTCCTTTACAGTATCCGTCTTCAACTGATATTTGGCAAGAGAATAATTTTATGGAAAATGTGTTCGTTACTAATGGTACAGAACTTTGCAATGAACAATTTTGAACAGGAATGTTCCTCAGTATTGGAATGGTTGCAAATGGCGGAATTTAGGTTAACAGTATGTACCAGTTGTGAACAAATTTCCGTTAATTATTGTTAAAACGTGTATAAGAAAATATTTTCCTTTAGCTATTTTTGTGGTGTAAATGGAACAGGATGATTGAGTACACGTCTTGCAGGGCGGATCTAGCTTTTAGGAATGACGAAAAGAAAACTTAACTATAGATGGACAGATGGACGGCACAATTCTTGTCCAGGATTTTTTTGATACTCAATTTCGGTCATTTCACTGGTACTTCCATTTAGTTCGCGGCTGAACGGGGAATTATAAACCCTAACCACCCCCCCATCGGCCTCTGTCCTGAAGCCACTCCCTTCCGCTTCAGCGACGAACGCTTTTAATTTGCTTCATATAGTTCTTCAAGTCACGGATGTTACTGCATCTTGCCACCGAAACATTTTTTTTTGCGGCAAGTACATCACTCTATACTCCCAGGTTATTTACCCAACTCCACTCTCTCCTTGAAGATCAACGGCTCCTTGCACAACGTCTTTCCTCGGGGCAGTGACCACCGCCACTACCCCCACCCTCCTTCCCAGGCTCATCGTCAACGTGCACATGACGACAGGAGCTGGTACAGTGGACATGCTGGAGAAATCTCGCACCCATCTACGAGCTACCATCACCATGTACCGACTGAAGCAGACCTTCATTATCCAGAGAGGGTTCACGGTAAGGGGACCCTTCGGTACCATACGACACCCTTTACCATGTACATGTACCCAATGGTCCAGCTAAGTGCTGTAAGAGCACGGACCCCACACTGCCCTGATCCTGGGCAAAAAGGGTAATAACACAGTAAATTAGGGCACTGATCCAGACACCTGATACTTGGGCCTCCATGGTGCCACTTGACATAACAGGGAGTCAAAGACGGTCTGGTCGAAGAAATATGAAAACTTATTGCACCCTATTTAGGTCCAAGTGTGCCTCTTGAAAAGTAGGTCCACGTTGTACGGCGATGAATGTAAGACTGAATTTAGAATAATGTTTTATTCCATTCTTTTATTTTTCGTTTTTCACAAAGTTGGGCGTTTCAGTATCTAAATAATAAATCTAAACCTACATACAATTTTTGGCCTGGTTGTGCCTCTTTTTTGAACTGAAATGTCTTGAACCATTTTAAAATGTTAAAATAAATTTAAATAATTGATAACTTTTTTTGTTGAATCCAGGTTTTCCTTGGTTGAAATTGTCACCGTTATTAAGAAATGGGAATTTCTCAAAAACCAAAAAATTTTGCCCGGTCTGATATAGAGGTCCCTTCCGTGAAAACATTAGGAAACGGTGGAAGTGACATGAAATTTAATTTACTGTAGTAAACATTATTGTGCTGTAGAACTTGTCTACAAATTACTCATATTGTGAGTCATCTAAACAAATACTTAGCATGTTGTTTCCCATCTATAGGCACAAGCACTCATTTCACTCCTAATGGGGCGAGCAGTCATCACTTCAACCCCGAGTTGTTTGTGCGCCACCACCGGCCGGAGTACTACCCCATGCCCCCCGCTCACCGCCGGCACCCAACATCAGGCTACCAGCCGTCCATGGAAATCCCCGGACTGGTGTCGCAGTCGTCCCGGTTCAACGCGATCGTTCAGCCGGCTGGGTATGGCCGTTCCATTGCCGAACACGCTGCTCACCTTGGGATTCACAGGCATCATCACAGAGGGTAAACAAAATACTCAATAGTCTACAGATTATACCAAAGAATTATTTATGCGGGACTTAATCAATGACAACATAAAATCTTTCTCACACAGATGAATGTTTTGTCCGGATTTTTTATTTTAAATCAGTGGTACAACTCATAACGACCAACACATGAGTATCACGGGTTTGTTTCCTTCAGTAGTTACCAAACAGGGTCATAGTCGGACACTTTTCAGGAATTGTGTCTCATAGGGAACAAGCAGACGAAATATTGAAGGTGGATCATGACCCAAGAGCAAGTACAAACTGTCGATAGTTTTGGGGTTTCATTTTCCTTATTAATATTTAAATCCTATAGAAGAGTGTTGATTGACTGACCCATTAATTAAAGCACTAAAAAACCTTTATGCGATTAAGACCTCGTTACCCCTTTAACCGCAGAATGCCTCACTATGCTGACCGTCACCCTTCTCATGGGCATCCACCGCACCCAACGGACGACATCCACAACATCCAGAGCTATGACAGCCTGGCCCGCTACATCAACCTCCTGGACTATCAGGCAAGCGAGGAGAGCAAGGCCGGCAGGCGTGCTGCCAACAGGGCGCCCCCTCACCAACGGCACGAGGACAAGGCCAACGAGGAGAAGCGTGGGCCAGAAGCTCCTCCCGAGGAGGTCGGGAAGGAGAAGAAGCCGGGGAGAAGGCAGAGTATGGAGGAAGTCATTCAGGTCGTGGAAAACGCGGGCTTGCTCACCGACGACGAGAAAGAAAACAAAGGAAAACTGCACAGCGACGAGAAGGCGACAGAGGATAGCGTTCCCCACGATGAACCGTTATCAACCAAGATAAACGGGGGTACGTTTTCGCTGATTTTGGGTGTGCATTTTAGGAATTTAAAACTAAAATGAGCCCAGTGCACGGTCGGTCAAGTTCTCTCTGGCGTGGGCTGAAGTTGCGCTCAAGCAAAAACATTATCTCCATACAACATGGCCTTTCGTGCCCGTTTCGCTTTGATGTGAAATAAACGGAAACAAGCGAATTGAAGTATGTTATCATCTGTGAGCTTTGAAATGATATGACAGCAGTCTAGTATTGAAAAAAAAAAACAAACGCACAGACGCTGATGTGTTTTTCTTTAATTGCCATGCCATTCATACAGCCAAGCCCAAATCTATCGGATTCATTGGCGACCCTTTGGCCACGCCGTCACCAACGACTCCAGCTACTAAGGCGACTAGCGCAGTCGACGATACAGTCCGCCGCCGGCAACTTCACCCGGGCAAGAGACAGGACAACTTCGGGAGGCAAAGCCATCTCCGCCGGAAGGGAGCAGAGGGGCAGCAGAGGTCCTCGGAAAGAGTAGATCCCAGCAGAAGACCCGACCCCAAGCATGCTGGCGATGAGAAGGGAACAGTCTATTCCGTCGGGGTTGATAAGAAAAGAAGCAGTCGAAAGGGTCTTTATCAGAGTAAGGACATTCGGCTTGGTGAGAGAGTTTCCGTGCTGCCTCGACTCAGCGCTTTTCCTGCGTTAATTTTCATGTAGAACTGTTAATTTGAACCATTTACAGTTTGGTTAGCACACAACCCTCTTTTTAAATCTGTGGCCATTCTATGTTTTAGGAGTCAAGCACACTCCAGACTCCAGTCTTTCTTTTATATATTTAGAAAACCTTCAACTTTGACAGATACCCATCCCAGTCGTAGCGAGATGCTCCCACAAAGCTCCAGCCATCACCAATACATCCCCCGGCGCCCTTCGGTGAAGGCTTCTGCCCATCATCCGCAGCCTCAGCTCACCCATCAGATCTTGACCGACCTTGAAGCCATCGCCTCGCAGCCAGGCCACAACAGTCGCTACCCAGCCCCGTCCACACACCATCCTGACCCTGCTCTCGGCTATCATCAACCTCGCCATCCTGATCACCAGAGTCGGCCGGCTCCACAGACTGCCGCAGAACGTAAGCGGCTCGCCGTGGAGCTTCTTGCGCGCGAGTACCCCGTCCTCCTACGTCACGCACCCACCAAGTTCGACCCGTTGGAAGCCCTCATGTGTCGCTACCTAAGACTGTCCTCCACGAACGTGGAGACCCTGGAGGCTATGTGCAGAGACGCTGGTATCGAGGTTGGAGCACATGCATACCAACAAATCGAAAATCCGAATGAATATGTATTTGGACATGAAAAGTTATAGAGCTTTGCTGCTTTAAATATAAATCAAATAAGATTGTAATGTCATATATTTCAATACTTTCGTTGGTTTAAATGTGCAATAAAAAATTGCTTGCTAACTTTATTTGCATCTAAAACTGTCAGTCAAATTGAATCAGCATACCCAAGCATTTGTGTCGCCGATGAAAAAAATTTGGTATCATCGCCATGTTAAATGAATTCCATCAAAATTCTGTTCTTTTGAGAGGAAAGTTTCAAGTGTAGCAACAATCTGATTGATCGGAGAATCATTCTTTTTAGAAATGTAAAAGAGTTGATTTTTTAGTAAAAAAAAATAGCTAACAAACTTTGTTAAATTATGTGTTGTCGTTCTTAATCACGAAAAATCTAGCAGCGACATATCTTAGGGATCCTATTTTAAGGTGCGGCTTGAGTGTTTACCAGCCCTTTATATGATTTTTTTACAAAACAATTTAACAATTAATTTAACAATTAATCCAAGTCTCGATAATTAGTACATTTATTTTTCTTCATATGCCTTAAAATGAACATGGGGAAATTTAATTGCAAATCGAGAATTCAGACGCAATTTGAAGATGCTATTAACGTTCCCAAACACGCAAAACGTCCCTCAGTTTAGTGCGTGTGTGTGTGTGTGGGCGGGAGTCTGGACAGACAATAAATATCTGATAAAGATAACATATCTAATTCTTGATATATCTGTAAGTGAAAAGCAGCATTGACGCCTTCCAGTCTTCTCGAGATGAATTTGAAGTTAAAAGCAATTATGCATTTAAACGACAAGAAGTTTGAAAATGTACCAGAACCTATACTTACAAGGAAAAGGACGACCCATTGCCTTTCAAATTGGTATCTTTTATGCACGAAATGGACTCATAAAAGCTGTTTGCAACATACACTATTAAGAATGAACAGTTAAGTGAATTATTCTTTAAAATGATTGACACAAGCACTCTTTTGACCTCACTCAATTAAGTGCAAAGACAAATGTATCTAAAAAAATGAGATATTTTTCCTGTGATGTCTTCACATACTGGAACAAGGACCAGCCAGGGATGAAAGTCGTATACGTCAAATTGTCAAGAATTTCTGCCACGGTCAGAATGCTGCCGCCTAGCCACAGTCCAAGGGCGCCACCAATGTCACCTATATAAAAGACGCAAGATCATTCGGGCCCGTGCCTTTTCTTTGTTTTAGATAAAATCCTCCATAATACCCTGAGCCTACTTCCCTTCCTTGAAAAAGTGAGTAAAATGATGCTTCCCCATTCTGGACAGTCTAATGCAGTGTAGTAACGTGTTGCATGTATACCTTAAACGTCACGGCTCGCGTGGTACCGAATACTGTTCCTTACTGCGAACTAATGAAGCTAAACAAAGGTGATTTGTTTTCTCTGTTTTCTCTTGTTTTTGCTTTGACGTGAATCATTCCTTTCTTGGTTTCCAAGTGAAAAACTAGACATGTTGGAATGACGACACATCTTGGAAAATCGGTATTGTTTTTTTGAAATACGTACTCAAAAATTCAAAACTGAAAGGTTTTTGAAAAAGAAAGCAGTGGGATTTCTGTTTTCTATATAATTGATTTTGCCCCTTGTAGTCTACGTTGAGTCTACATGTATTTTATTCTTGGTATCACCACACTTACGCAGGAATCCGAAGGCGGTGTAATCCTATTGCTGCTTGAGACTTTCCACACGCAGCGATTCGAAGTTAAACTTGGATCCTCAACACATTGTATCTTGGGAAGAAAATAAAACGACCCCCAAAGACGGTTGCTTTAAATTCATTGGTCCTTTTGACATCTAAAATGATAGTAGAATGACTGTGTGTTGAACACAATGGAAAATGTAATGTGGTTGTTTTGCGTGTGTGACAGTCACGTGAACGATCTATGGGTTCGTTTTGGCGGTCACAACCAAGAGCCGGTTCAGATGTTTTTCCTGTGTCGATTGCTTCAAGGATCGACTTGAGTACTACATCACCAATTTGTCATTCTTATCCAATCAAAAGCTACCAAAGACAATCTTGGACAAAATACAACGGAACCAGTTTTTGGTGATGACCACCAAGCTACACCCGGTTCAAAAGCGTCCCACCAGTCTGTCTCTGCCCAGCCGATGAGGGTGGAAGTTCTTTCCATGTTACGAAATTGGAACATTCGTCATTGCCATTCAACAGTGGACAAATCCTGAAAAAATCCATACACCAACAGAATAATTTCTCGCCGAATTAATGCAAATGGAGTGGATTAGGCGTCGATGGATCCATTAATTACATGCGGAATTGAATTCACAATAATGCCGTGCAGCAGAGTTCCTCGATCGTTACGAAGAATCAGTCTGGATATGTAATCGACGCCCCATCAACCAGATAATAGTTATATATTCAGAGGTCTTATGGAGACTACCAGAAACTAGGGAACAATACCGTCTTCCTTAAGTTTTTTTTACCTGTTTGTTCATGAACACACGTACATACGTCAATCGGATCGCAGCGAAGTAGTTCACTCGACACTACGTAGAATAAAACCAAAGAGAGAATATCTGAATCCAGCTGTGCATGCTTACTACACAAGAAAATCAAGTAGAGTGTATTAAATGGCTGACATTTCGCGAAAAGAATCTAAGCAAACTTCTCTTCCACAAAAATCACACTTATTGTCATTTCACATCACTCAGCAGGTTCATTTAATGTTCTAAATGTTTTCAAAAAAGTAAAAGTTATGATGTTCCGAGGTAGAAAATAACTCAAGAAGGCAACTTCTTCGTTGCTTAGACAGCCCTAACAATTTGCGAGCGAAACGGTGCACACACCAACCACGTGACGAACAATAAAATATTAGCCTAACGACATTATGATTTTTTAAATGCAGCTGTAATGAATTTTTCTTTGACAGAATGTTACTGCAACAGTACCGGTACTCTTCTTTAAAATACGAAAACTCATACATTCCTTTTGGTTAAATGCATTGAAAAGTGCACTGTTTAAACCACTAAATATTATTATCCACGCTTTCCTGGATAACTGAGGTCGCTGTTGCTTTGATGTCTTCCAGGGAAGACAGTTCAGTGCACAGGTTTCTCTGCTCAAATTGTAAACCGTGAATTTCCTTACTGAAAACATTTCTGAGAAAGGGGTTGATGCTTGATCATTGCTATGCACATAAACAACAATTAATCAGCAAAGAAGAGAAAATTTAGTCCAGCCAGATCTACAAAAGTGCAGGACAATTCTGTGTACAAACCAATGTAATACTGAGGCTTTCTTCCTGGGGTAACATCACAGTTTTGCTCATGAATATTGAAATACTCGTTAGCGCAGTGAAACAAAAGTTAAAAATAATGTCAACCGAGAAAAAAAGCGCACATTGCAGGTTTTTATTCACACAAATTGATTGCAACCACCACGATCAGAAACTTTCATAGCAAGTTTCGAAGTAGACATTACGCTATTTATTACCAAGAAATCCGATTCATACCTGCCATATAGGGTTCCACACACCCGCAAGCATCCAACACGGTATCAATTAAACATTCAAGCCGGCAGGTGTTGGTTGTGTAGGAACTGAAATATTTCAGTTCCTTCGAGTTGCATTCACCGCTTGGATGATGTAGATATTCAACCTTACACAATATAAAAGCAGGATGTTTGGCTTTTGAACAAGGATTCAGTTTTCACAGCATAATGATTTGATGGTATAAAAAATTGTATTAGTGAATAAAACATCTGGAAAGTTTGAATCTGTGTTTCTGTATGTTTTCTATGTACCTTTTTTGCCCGTAAGCCGATTCTAGCCTCCATTCCAGGCGCCACGCCCACACCCATCGACTCTACCTCGTTATGTCCTTCTGGTCGTGCACTGCTACAATGATACCGGCCGACTGTCGATTCATACTCGAGTAGTAATACTCAATTTGCTGGACATCACGTACGACGTCCTGGCCCCAAGTTCTACCTGGAAAAAAGGTTTTCATTGAGCAGTGGGCTCTGAGGGGTTGTCGCGACTTCTGTCGTTGATTTGTCGCAGCTTTCCTTGACAGTTAGTTGGTTGTTTTGACATTTTTGGGAACTACACTCTCAAATCTCACGTACCTGAAGCTGTCTGTTGCAATAGGCTCTCATTGTGCAACCTAGCATTGAACGTATAGCAAACGCTAGAGTCGGTGATGACTCTAGTGAAGTTTTCAGATCCAAGGTCTTCAACGCCACCCTATGTATCTTTTGTAGTAAGGTTCCGAGTTACTGATGGCAATATATCTGAATATCGGTTACTGCGAACTATAATGTTTGGAATTCTTAGTAACGTTGGATAATCACCTAATCCATGTTAGCATTTGACCATCGACACAGCGATGTCTTGTGCGGTAGGAAAAGGAAATCCCTGAAATCAGAAATTATGTTTAAAAAAAACAAGGAAGGGAATCCTAAAGGCTTTGATTTCGACTGTAAGGAAAACTGTACTCGGCTGAGTACTTTTCCGAGTACTTTTGTCCTAAAAAGTTAATTTCAATCAAACAGTGATGGTCTGAAGTCATTATGTTGCTTTGTAATCTTACCTTTATGCATGTACCATCAAATGCCAATGTACTTCAGCTTTGTTCCCTCCAAGCTAAATATTTGGTAGAGAACTTGGTTCTAAAAAAGTACTCGACTACATCACTGTTATATACCCCCATCCTTGCGGGATTTATACCAATGCTAACATTAACCAAAAGCGTATACCCCTCTTTATTTTTAACTCTACTTTCATTTTTTAGAACTTGCTGTTGGGGTATATAGGCCTATGTGTCATTTTCAGGCTATTCAGTGTTGCGAAATCCCACTTCAAATAGTTCCCTGTGATTACAAGTGGTTAGAAAAAAGGAAGAAAGAATTATATTAGAATACTTTCGCAGTTTGTGATGGTGACTGCTGGCTATGTACTTTATACCTGTGAATCCCACGGCATCGGGCACTGTCGACGACCAAGTGGTGGAGAACTCCCTGACGCTGCGCCTACAACACCCGGGGAACTGTTTGTCGTTCGTCAACTGGTCATCTTGCCGGCGTCGCCAGTTTCGGCCGAGTGACACGGTACTTATTTTGTCTTCCGTGGGCTTCACTTTGCTAACCATCGGTATAATTTTGCTTACAGGTTTTTTTTCACCGGACCGTGTGGAACTTGACCAAATCCGAACTGACCCACGCCTGACCTCCATCTGGTTATGTTTCTTCGGCTAACTGCTCATTGCGCAACTCACCGCAACCACACGGATAATTACATGGGACAGATATTTACAATTGATCAGCAGAACAGTCAACAGCAAACATTAATTCACTTTATTCCATAGATACGGGTAAATGATGAAGATGCTCATGCGCAGGGAAAACATCTTGAGACCATCTGTAGGCTACAATTTAACATGGTGGTTGATGACCGAATCGTAAAATAGTTTCAGGCAAACCATCCCTCAACGTAGCCAAAACTTTTTCTCACAATCTTTGTGAGGTTTATTGGCACACTAACTGTTGCTTTTGGTACCTGGATAGAATCAGACGCTAGCCATGCCCGTCACGGACAGAAGGGGGTGACGCACACAGTAGGTACAAATATAAGGGACGCCAAAAGTTGAAGTGAAACCCAGGGCAACGTTGTTGTCACTTTGGGTGAAAAATGTCTGTCTTTACATTTTCTATACAAACATAAGTAGAGAGTAGGAAAACAAAATATCAGGACACAAGGAAAAGGCGTCCCCCCTAAAAATTATAGAGAAAATATGGGGAGGGGTTTGATTGCACTCTAAAATCTGGCGATCAGGTGATCAATTCAATTTAAATAAAACTGATGATATGCATTTCCGGTTTTCCCCAAAGGGCAAATGCACATGCGTGTCCAAGCTATTTGTGACGTCATTCATACACTTGCAAAGGTCTTCAAGACTCCGTTTGCAAAACCCCATACGTCTTTAGTAAATGACTGCGATTCGGAGTTTGGTCGTTATGGTCCTATGACAGATCGGCTGGATTTAATTACCAAAGTCCCGTTGAGGTGTTTTCTATCTGTGCTCCCTGTAAATATTCTTATAATGTTGTGCAAACACTACCCTGTCTTCACCCGAGCAATTTGTTGATGCAACGTGTAATTTGTCTTTATGTACCTTTGTTTTAACTGGAATCATCTACGCATCATCCTTGTTGGTGAAAGCTTTTAGACAATCTAGCAAGGTAAAAAATAACTCAGTGGTGTCAAGCGGAGCGGGGAACAGAGAAGAAAAACTGCGTTTGGGCAAACTCATAACACACTTCGAAAATGCTTTCTCTTCAGGTGGGGACATATATTAAACATTTCTGTTCATGACGAGTATGCATCTTTACTTCCACTTCGACATTGAGATTAACAACGAAATTTGAGTTTTCCTTTTCAGGAATAAAAAAATCTGAACCGATAACTTCCTTTGTGATTTTCAATGTGTTGCTTCCCTTTGCCTGCAGGCTTATGTGTAGAACGGAATGTACAGGATTTCAATCTTAAAGCCAATCAATCATACAGAATATTGCACATAAACAACAATCAGTGTTTTTGAATATTATCAGCAAGAAGAGTTAGGGCCATGTATGTGTAAGTGGACATCAAAATACAGCCTTCTGAGATGGTTGCTATTGTCAATTAGGTCAATTAAAATATGTATATGTAACAATTATAGAAATACGCAATGTTTCCTTGTAGCATTAGCCACGCTGGTTCGAGGTTGAACCAGGAATAACGGTTGTGGAGGTAAAATGGTCCAGAATTTCCACAATAGTCAGAATGCTGCCCCCAAGCCATAGCCCAAGGGCGCCTCCAATGTCACCTATAAAAGAAAGCAAATGAGAGATTTTGGGTATGAAGAATAATTATGCTCGGTCTGACTGGTTCTCCTAAATCCTGTGTCACAGAAAAAAGTTGCTAGATCTGCCCTCTCAGCGCTGCCGGCCATGGGCCAACTAGCACGCGTGCTTTGTCATCGGATGACCTCGCGTTTTTGAGACACATAACTACAATTCTGGCCAAAATTGTCAGGACACGTGTTAATAGCCACACCCTCCCCAGGTTGCACTGACCCTGACCTACAAGACACAACATTGACAGGGGATGGGAGGTTGGAGGCCTGGTCAATGTTTTAAGATTTGGTTGGATTAGTTACAGTTTAATCCATAGCTCTGAATGGACACGTGCCTCTTCCAGGGCTTTTATTGATGATTGTGCTTGAACAATCCCCTATACACTAATTATGAGTAGAAATTCGAATTACTGACCTTGGGTTTGTTAAAGTTAAATGTTTTTGCTTTGTTTTCACAAATGTTCTTGCTTGCGAAGTTTTACAGCCACTCCATGGGACATACTAAAGTAAGTACTGGTGACTTTTTTCCTGTGCCATTTTTGTAACTCGAATCCTGTTATGAAGTTTATGACCACTGAGGTACAGATTACCTATATAAAAATGACAACATTAAGTTTCAGTCAGATCAAAATGAAATGTTACGTAGGTTACCGTGGGGGGGGGAATGGACTACGACTGAGGGACTGAATGGGCCATTCGCTGTGATACAGACGTTGTATACAGCTGCTATTGCGGCGAGAATGGGGTAAACCAAAAGCTTTACTGATTGGACATCCCTTGGGTTCTAGATGTCATATTCTTGTGTTGAAATTCTAACAACTAGGGATTGTTTGTTTGTTTTGAGTTTGTTTCATAATTTTTGAACGTGTACTTTTGGGGCAGCCCTGTCTGGGCAGTTGGGGTGACGCAAGAAGAATAATCCACCAAACTAGTGGGACACATCTTTTGTGAGAATTTCTTTTTGAAAATATCAAATGATTCCGTGGTTGAAAGCAAACAAATTTGTAATTATGACAATAAATAATAAAAGGAGGAGGCGAGTGCCCGTGCCGCCAGACTGTGCCTGGTTCTATTACTGTTAACCCATCAAATATAAACATTCACTTGATATGCCACTTCTTCTGTATTGAGATCACTTGGAAGAAATTGACCCGAACACGATTGGTATCGGTTTCATTGTCGAAAATTTAAGAAATTAAGATTATAAATAGAAATAAATCAGCACCAATCCTTTAAGCTCACTGTATTCAAACCTAGAAAAAGCCTTGCGGGTTACAAGCAGCAATGGTCGTCAACATTACGTGTTCTTCTCCCTGGCAGATGCCTATACATGTCTGAACTCTCCCATAGTGTTATATGAGTGACAGGCCACATTTTCCTCTTTTTTCGGGAGGGGGGGTTCACTAGCCTAAAATGACAGCTAAATAACATGTCATGTTGTGTGGTGGATCTGATCTGCGGATAGTTCTTTATATACATTGCCCTGTGAAGAGAGCCCCTTTGCAACAAATTCCTTCTCTATAAAGATTTAATTGAAATGGCAGCACCGTTCCTGTCATTTTATAATTCATTTTTAACGTGTGGACTTTAAGTTGCCGTATTTTCAATAGTGTGAAATGTTGACGTGAATACATCAGTGCGCTTCTTATTAATACTTTCATTTTCTCATCAGTCACTTTTTTATGCAGTCCAGTGTTATATTGAGGCTTTCTTCCCGGAATAGCATCACAGTTCCACTCATGAATATGGGAAAACTCGTTAGCATGAAAACAAAAAAGGCAATGAAACATCCTTTTAAAACAGTGAAACAAAAGTTGACAGTAACTGAGACAGAAAGGCGCATTTTGAAGGTTTACATGAAAACGAATTGATTGTTGCTATCATTTTAATAAAAAAATTCAGATTGTCAAAATGTGACTTGGATAAAGATGCAAAATGGGTTGTCAATGAATAATCAAATTTTATTTATAAATCAAATGATCATCTCATCGTTCTATGCTATTTCACATATGCTTGTCTTATAACAAGCCAGTATTGGAGCAAAGAATTTGATTCTCGTGGACAAGACTTTGACCCACAAGCCTTAAGACCAAAGGCAAGGCTTAACCCTCAAGGTCAAGGCACGGCAGAATAAAGTTACTACTACATTAGTATACAACATGTGATATCATAACGAATCAGGCTTCAGTGTTGTCGACCCGGGGTTCGGGGCCAAACGAGATTTGGCCAGGATTGTAGCTCACTGAGTCATAAAGAATATGAGGCACATGTAACAGATGACGTACCTCTTTTGGTGACTTAATAATCAAATCCAACGAGCATGGGCTTAAATACCGGAGGATGGGAGTATATATCCCCCAACTTTTTTCTGGGGGTGGGCTATTATTAAATCACCCCCCCACATACACACACCCACACACTTTTTTGATGAGCAAAAAAAATGAAGCAGATTGTGAAGACTTTTCAGGATTTCCCAACGACTAAAATATTTGCAATATCACTAAAAAGGGAAAGCAATTTTTAAAAGCCATAATGAAAAAAAAAATACTCGGTCTCTGGTCAGACCAAAAGTTCCAGAGTTGATGCGGCGATGCGGTTTTTTATTGGGGGGGGGGCGATGTTGATGGCTTTTTAAGACTTGGCAGCGGACACGGAAATGAGTGGCATATTTAATCAAAGAGCAAAGGCTAGTAGTAACACGTCGCACGTCATGCCTCAATTGTTGATCAGCTGGCTGCAACTTTGTAACCTATCCATGGCCGTCTGTTTGTGTTCGACATCAACATTACGCAGCGGGTACGAGCTACCCATGAATTAGTCTAGTTCCTTGAACAAATCGCCCTTCTGACTTGTGGCCGGGAAGCAGTCTACTCGCGAACATTCAGGCGGTGCGGAAATAGACGGCGCTGTTTTTTAAATTTTGAGAAAAAAATGGAAAAAGAATTGACGCGCACGTTCAAAATCGAGCCGACCATTTTTCGTTTGGCCTAAATATACCTTTCTGATGAAACATCCTGCATGAATTTGATACACATTACAGATGTACATCTTTATCATGAAAATTACCCCCCCCCCACACTTTTCAAATTTCCGTGGCCGGGCAAGGCACCCCCACACACATTTCCTCTTCCCCCAAATTTCCCACACAGATTTACGCCACTGACAACGAGAGGCCGTGAAAGAACCTTGTTACTAATCCTCGCTTGGTGGCAGTAGACACAATATTCTTTTCCTCTATCTTATCATTAGTACCAAAGTTGCACATGGTCTCTGTCGAGGTCTTTTAACAGTTGACTCTGTATACCCTGTCCGAAATAAATGGCTATCAGGTAGGCGGCAGTTTGGGGCACTTTGTTTAGCGCTTTGTTTTGTCTCGGCCAAAATGGGGACATGGCTAATGCTAAAGACACATTGCGCCCCCGAGAACTATTTACACGAGGGTCATTTACACATTCGACCTAGCCTGAAACAAAATGCATCGGCGAAAACCGGTGGAAAGCGTGATGGTGTCATCATTTACACAAGGCAGAAACTTTGGCTATGTATAAATGAGATTCGCAGGCATGAACACTCTCTGAGGCACGCCATATGCATGCTTAACGAGACAGCCGATTTGGAAAGAACGTGCAGAAACCTTCTAGTGCTATAAATGGGATCTTAGTATCCGTGTGCAACCGTAGATGAGGCAACTGACCATCGACATCGTTAAACATCCCCAAACACCCCCCAAAAGCCATTGCAAAGTATACCCTGAAACCGTCTATGGACTTACAAAGTAGAGCGAAGAAGGTGTAATCACTGTGCTGTTCACGATGCTCAACCGTTAACTCCTCAAAAAACATCTGGATGATCACAAAGTTTTCCCTGAAAATCGGTGATGACACAAAAAGAGAGAGGGGAGTTCACAACAGTGGAATAACTATACCTCCTTGCTTTCCAGTCTTGACCTGCAGTACGAACCCCTTTTGTGTCCATTTTGGACACAAAATGCATCTCCAATTAGGTCTTTTTTTCACTCTCCTTTACATTTCTCTTGCAATAAAAAAATAAGCAATAGTCCTAATGCATGAAGAAAATTGCACAATGAAGATTTCTCTGGAAATTTAATTAACTTACTGATAAAAATCATGAGGTAACGTAAACTCGTCAGTGCTGAACTGTTCGGCAAGCAACCAACTGTAGAAGTTGCCAGGGAAGAGTGTGTAGGACACGCTGGTGGTGAACTTGACCGTCGAACATGGTAGTGGGCAGTCACACATGTCAACATATCTGCGTTTGTCTGACGTATAAACCGTGCACATGATTTGTGACTCGTTCGGTTACAAAAACAAGGCCGATCTTCCGGGGGACGGCTATTTACAGCAGTGCGCCTCTGAGAGTTTGCAACGCGTTGGCCAATCACGATGTACAAAATCTGTCGACCCAATGTCCGTTTGGAAATGGGTCGAGAGATATCGAGGATTGTGATCTGCCATCGCCAACGCGTTGCAAACTCTTGGAGGCGCACTCTTGTGAATCGCCCGTGTTGCGAAGGTTTGGATGAAATCCTTGAGACCAAATATAGTTTCAACTGCAAAGTTTACAAAGAAGTTCTCACCTGATTGTCCGTGAACACAAACAGATATTTCGATGGGGTCACAGACTCGCATTTCACTGGAAACTGGTGAAGTGAATTAGAAACAATTGAATATGATAAGTACGAAAACGTATTCTACGGAAGTGTATTTACAACATAACCAGAAAAATCTGACACCGTTATTTTGCCTGGGCGGGTTACTTTTTCGCCCCTGGAGGATTAGTATTCGCACTGTTGAATTAGTATGCCGCCTGAGCAAATAAGCCTTTTGCGAGTTAAATTTGAATAAGATCTGGTACACTGAATTATCCGATTGCCCAGGAACATAATTTGAAATTCCCAGACTAATGGCACTGTTGCTATACCTCGTGATTTGGGGCAAGCTTTTGCATAGGGACCACCATCTCTGGAATGGACTGGTTCCTTTGTGCCCACCTTATCCATTGAAAACAGTGTAATAGTGCGAGGCGTCTCTTATGTAACTAGAAGCAAAAGCTTACATTGAATCACGAGGTATCGCAACAGTATTTTTAGAATGGAGAATTTCAAATTCTTGTGTTTGTGTAAATAAGAAGAAAACAGTTTATCCGCTAAAAGCTTATTACTGTGGTTGCCTGGGCTGATCACTGTCAAAACTGTGAAACAAATACGAAATACTAATCCGCCCGGACAAAATACTGGCAGTTTCACATGGTGTTCTAATAACTTAGACTTTAAAATTAATTAATTTACGGAAAAATTTAGAAAAATAACCAGAAACATTGAAGTATTCGTGTATGTTCCTCTAATCTCATTTCCCCGGTTGCCTATGTTGTCCACTGCATTTGGTGTTTTCCCCTAAATGTTTGTGCTCAAAGACCATTAACTACACCACATCAGCTCAGAACAATTAGTTTATGGTTGGTAGAAACTTCCTCGTTACATTCTGCGTGCTGGAACTGAAAGTGGCCTAACCTGTCATGTAAGGTTCAACGCATCCACAGTTCTGTAGGAGCAGGTCAATCACACACTCTCGGAGACACATGCTTTTGGTGTACTTGCTGAAGTATTTAAGTTGTTTCTCGACGCATCCGCCATCTTTCCGTGAAGTCTGACAGGATGAAAAGTGGCATTTTTAAGTTAAAAAAAACGGACAGACGTTACCATTCATGTTATAATACATCTTCCTGTGAAACACTCTTTGGATTTTAAAGAACAATTTATACCAGACTGTAGTTCATGAAAGTTTACGGGATCATTCGATTTATAAAATGAGTGCCAAAGCTTCCCCAAATTTGTTGGAAATGAATTTTTTCCAAAAATGTTTCTTTGGAATCATTCGGATGATTTTGGATTGAAATTGCACTCAATGTCAATTGAAATTTTACTAAACTTTTAAATTTGTAATTCAAGAAAACAAGAATGTCACTTTTTGCTCTATTCGGGCTATAATCAACCCCGCTAAAAATGCTATAGGAAAATCTTTAATAATAAAATCATAAAGAAAAGTAGAGATTATGTTTTCAGAAGGAGCACTTTACAGCTAAATTAAAGCCTGATCAATAACCCTACCATTTTTTTGCCAACACTGACAATGGCGCGCCTGCCTGGTGGTATGCCAATGCCCATCGAGTCCATGTCAGGTATTTCAGTCTGGTCATGCACAGCGACAAGGATGCCGGCTCCTGAGAACTTATACGCGTAGTAGTAGTAATATTGCTCAACATTAAGAAATAAGTAAAGACCGTGTGCTCTACCTGAGAGTTTCAGAAAAAGACGAAAACGAAGAAAGGTACGTCGGGTAAGTCTGACACTGTATAAAACCTCATACCATAATTATATCATGATATTTTTGTAAAGGGAGAGTGAATTTCCAGTGAATTTGAAATCGAAATAAGGATATCAATCGTCAAATGTTTCCATGAAACAAGCGGAATCCAGGGCAGCGGGAGGTTGGATCTGCTATAAGTGCAGCGTAAGCGAAATCTATTAGGTAGAAAGACAGACAAACAGGAAGACACCCGGCCGACAGGCAGCCCGACAGAAGGACATTCCAATCACCACATACCGATGTTTTTTCTTCCCTGTTGGGAAGAGCCCGGCCTCCGTTTTTTTTCACCGGAAATTCAAGATTATGGCTAGAAGATCACTTTTCGTGTCAATTTTATGGCGGTAAGCCACAAACTTTTTTTTCATTCGCCTTTTCTCGAAGATCCCCCCAAACAGTAGTAAAACTATGCACCAGCTGTGAATGTAGCCATCCGCCTCTATCCAAAATAGGCCTGCAATTTGGGTCTTTTTGTGAAAGAAATACCCCGAACTAGTCCTAATTTCAGGATTTGTATAAATATGTCAATGATCCCTCCTGATTATGGCGTGTCTTATTGTAAAAACCTTGTAGGGTCACAAAATATTAATGAGCCCGTGCGCAGAAATACAACGATTAGGTGGAATGCACCCTTCAGGTCATGCGACGAATACGTACTCTATTAGCAACCTCGTTCCCGTAGGTATGATCTTGCCGCGCCATGTTGGTTCCCACCATGCCTTGCACGATCTAACCCCTGGTAATGTATAATTTAAATACCTTACAATTTGGGATATTTAATTTTAGGCCTTTAGTCAGTGGTTTTACGCGCGATGCAGATTAACGCTTGCGTGACGTGCAGAAGAATACGTTGGTGCCAGCGTGCAGCTTTTAAAATACGCAGCGTATTTAATAATTTTATTATAATCTTACAAAATGTTTGGACTTTAAGACTTTGTTCCAATCTTGAGAAATTGTTGGAGTTGTAAATTCTGAAATTTGGAAAACATGTTCACTCTTTACAAATTTATTCAAATCTAGAAAATGTGTTCAGTCTATACAAATTATCTGCTCTTTAAAAAAATTTTGGAATCTGAAAAACATGTATTGCATCTTTAAAATTTTGTTCAGTTTTTAAAAATGCATCCCAAAAGTATAAAATACAATCTTTTAAAAATGGCATTTGTTTTAAAAATATAATCAGTTTTTAAAAACACATTCGATTTTGAAAAAAGGCATTCCTTTTTTTACGAAAACACGTTTGAATCTTTTTGACCTCAATTCGGCTTCGTACATTTTTTGGAGCGAGCATGCGTACCGTGGCCACCCTCAATTCGAAATTCATCACCCCTTGAGAAAATGTGCACTTGTTCAATCTACACTTACGGCGCTGAACAGCTTAGCCGGGAATGGATAAAATTTGAATAAAATCCGGTACCCTGAGTTTTTTTAAATTAACGTTAAGACAGAAATTTGAATTCTCCACACTAAAGACACTGTTGCTATACCTCGTGATTCGGGGCAAGCTTTTGCTTATTCATAAGAGACGCCTTGCACAAATACACTGTTTTCAATTGGTAACAAGGGCACAAAAGAACCAGAGATGGTAGTCACTATGGAAAAGCTTGCTCTGAACCACAATGTACGGCAATGGTGCCTTTAGTGTGGGGAATTCAAATTGTTATATTTATGTGCCATCAGATAAATCAGTGTCCCAGATTTTGTTCCAATTTAACTCAGAAAAAAATCATTGGAGAGCAGGTTTATAATTTTTCTGTGGTGCCAATGCGTCATACCTGGAAAGTTTTGTCCTCTCAGTTCAGTATTCAGTCCAGAATTGAAGGTAAAACAAACTCCTGCGTCAGTCAGGACTCTCCTAAAGTCGGCGGAAGTTATGTTTTTCCCACCCAATGCTCCACTGTACAGTACAAACAAAATCAGGGGAAAGAATGCAGGGTATTTTCGGTAACCTTGTTAAGCTGAGGAGAACCGCATGCAGAAGAATGATTGAGGAGGTGGTGTAAGAAACCGCGAAACTACACTAAAAGTTAGTCGGCAATACGAAAAGCATCGTATACTGTACCGTACGCATCATCTAATGGCGTTCCTGCAAGTGTTTGCATTTATTTCATGTCGTCCTGCCTGTGGGCCTAAAAACATTTAACTTCTAAGTCTCCTCTACCCAAACTCCACAAAACCTCCCATTCACAACTTCTCTGGGAGACACGCACTCATCAGCCCAGCAACACACCACCCCCCAATTTTCCGCCCACATCACTTGTTATCCACGCTCGGTGATGTTCTCTCACACAAGCGAATAAGACGATCAGCACTGGCATGTCTGTAGCGACTGATTTCCATGTCTGTCAATCCCCTTACACTCTTCTATTTAGCAGTACATCTGAATTAACACTTCACGTCACTTGATCTAAGTCCAGCGGCTACCGCTGGCTTTGCCTCCACAGCGCCGACGCTCTTTGACTCTCTTTGACTTCTCCCCCTTACCCTTCAAGACTGTATCAACAAAGTCCAAATTGAATTTTGGCTCATTTCTGACAACCCATAGATCATACATGTAGCAATGGTTTTTTTATATCTGTTGCTGTTGTTCAAGGGAAATTTGTGTTGGGGGTTGGAGACGTTAGGTCTCGACGTATTTAGAACTAGTATAGGCCTATTATCTACAAATTAATTTGCAGAACATCTAAACTGCCACATTATAATCACTCTTTCCTTCACTTAATTGATTGATAAGCACTTGTTCAAAAAGAGAGAACGTCTGTTTATAAAAGAAAAATCACAAATATACACACCGTATGAACATTTGTCCATACTCCATCTGATGGGCGAATTCCAAATACAGCGCTGTGGTGTTGGCCCCGCCTAGTGTTGATGTAAAACCGGTGCCGTTACCTCCGTGGAAGTAAGTGGCAGCAAGAAATTGGCCGAATGGATGCGTTGACAACTGTCCATTTACATCTCTGCTAAAAAAACACCAGATATCCATAACACTCTCATCCCAATCAGAATCAGTCACCAACAAAAGTCATATGCAAGCCCCCCCATCAGGGATGGAGGATTTCTGACAAAGGACCCTTTTTACTGGAGCGTTACATTCCCCTCGAACATTCACATTGTGCAAGTTGCGTTGTTATACCACGGTCAAAGACACTGAATTTTTATTGATAGCGAATTGATCATGTCATATGCTACAAGCGCCCATGTATCATTTACACACTGGAGATACTGGGGGCCGCCAAAATAATGGATAACGGTGATCTTTCCCACAATGGATGTGTCGTGTCCACTGGGTTGTAATTGTGTAATCTTGGGAAAGACGGTGGGTAGCCGTTGTGATGCTACGCGTCAATTATTGCGGAAGATGTGCACTGTGTGGGGGACATTGAAGCACCGTGACGGTCAGACCATACCTTGGGTTTCTTAATTGAAGTAGTTCGTTATAAACCCTAGACTTCCCCCTCCCCCTAAAACACGTCAGTAAAGAACATCACAATCATTTTCCTTGCAATTTAATATTTACTTTGCTGTTCTAGTGTTTCAGTTTATCAAAGCGTTTTAATGTATTTTGCAATGATATGCTACACATAATGACCGTTCCAGTGCCATCTATGACCATGGTTATTATTGCCTGCTGTGACAGGGTCCATGGGTTTGTACACCCTCGGGGGCATATGACCCAATCAGTTTCACCTTGAGTGCCAGGCTCGGGTGTACAAAACACCATGGACCCCTACACCACAGGCAACAATCGTTAAATGTTACCTTACATTTCACAGTTTAGAAATCTCAGCAACAAGCTCTTATAGGCCTTTACTGGAATGGAGCCGGGCTTGTAACATCGCTTGCTCCGACCATGTTAACACACAAGGATGTTGGAAAGGAATGGCCCTTTTTGGTACAGTCGAAATATATTATTGTATTACCAGAATTTGCGCAACAGCTTCAGTAGGCACAGAACAAGGGAAAAAAAGCAAAGTTCGTTGGAGTAGCTTTGTGGGCAGCATACTGTACAGGAAAAGGTTAAAAGACGTGGGTGATCTTTGTTCGACTCACAGCAGGTTTTTTAATGGTTTATCCTGTTGGAAAAGAAGAAGCTTCAGTAGGCACAGAACAAGGAAAAAATAGCAAAGTTCGTTGGAGTAGCTTTGTGGGCAGCATACTGTACAGGAAAAGGTTAAAAGACGTGGGTGATCTTTGTTCGACTCACAGCAGGTTTTTTAATGGTTTATCCTGTTGGAAAAGAAGAATTTCGAAGGTTGTCATATATACCGCCCACCTAGCTTTGAATTTAATTTCACTGAAGGACAAAAGCTCACGTCAACACCTTCTCGACCAGGTTATACCATAATATACTTCGGCCCTGTTCCAAACAGTAGTGTTTATCTGGGTGGTCACATGTACCAAACCTACCTGAATCGGTTGGTGTTACAGAAGGTGACGGCAGGAAAGAGCATTGGTTCCGCGTTCTCGATCACCACATTGACACTCTTGGGGTTACTGAAGAAAAACGTCGCCCTATCGATGACCTGATACGACGCGGCGGCCATGCCGCCAAGCAGTGCCACTGTCCATAATAGCCTGGTAAGTATGACAGGGAGGTTGGATGATCTCTGTTGCGCGATACGACGCCAGGAAAGGCAGGTTTTAAAAGGCAAAAGATGGTTTGCTTGATATAGACCTGTCACCCGATCTGACTACCCACCGCTACTTACAATTGAGGCCTGTGCAGCAAAATAGCCATGCTCTAACTGTGATGCTAATATATTATCGTATGATGCAATACAGTAGGCAAACCTAAAAGTGAGGCTTGTTCGAGCCTTCCGATCACAAATTTTCATGACGCTGACTAGTCTCACTTGAAAGTTTGCCTACTGTATTGCACCATACGAATTAGCATCACAGTTCTTGCAGGCTATTTTGCTGCAATGGCAGAACACTACGACTGTTTGTGGAGCCATATTTCCGGCAACGTTCCAAGTTCAATGACAAAAACCACTGGAAACCACAAACAGAGATAAAACTAACAACCTAGATTCTCTAGCATAGACCTGTGTGTTACCTCTTGGAAAACACAGTTTTAGTGTCATTGTATATATTATACTTGAAAACCTTAGGCATTTTTCTAGGACAACAGAAATGAGTCTGATCAAAATGACTTTGATTGTAAACGTCATCACTCTCACACACAGAATTTGCATTTTAGAAGTTTTGCATGAAAGGGCGTGAGAGGAATGCACGCTGGTGTCAAAGGCGAAGTGAACTAGTTCAACAACCATTTATACTGCAAGAAATCAATTTCTACACCAATAAAACCAACTGAACACACCTTCGGAGAATGTGGAAGTTGCTGCTGACAACGTATCTGATTCCCGGGATTCCAACAGCGTCCGACATCGTGGACGTCCATGTTGTGCAGAACCCACGAACGTGGTTTCTGCACCACCGATTCCTCCTGCCTCCTGTCCCCTTGTCTCGCTTGCCCTCCACTGCCCTCGCCTCTACCACGTTCCCGATGTCGGTCACCCAATTGACATTGTCAAAAGAAACAACGCTTATATCCCCACCCGACGGCTTCACTGCGATTACCATTGCGTTCTGCTGTGCACCAGCACGACTTACTGAATGATGACACTGCTCTCTTAACAGACGTGTTAATAGTAGAGAGACCGCACGTTCCTAGTGAAGCCGGATTTTAGTTTCTTTTGGCAACTGATTGATCGTGTCCTACTTTAATAGAATGTTTATATAAGATCTGAACATGCCATTTAGAGACACTTTAAAACCATTTCATAACCAAAGAGGGAAACACAAATCAAGGCGAGGCTTTTTGCCAACAACATTTTGTAAACAATGAACCAGAAAATGGAGCTGACGTGATACAAATCTGGAAGTTAAACATATTGATTGAGGCATGTTCCATTAAGTGTGAATTATCCTCCCTCTGAAGCGCATTCCTTTTCTGTGAAAAAAATGGTGACCAAACTAGCCTCGGTTTCACTTGAGAGATGAACAGAGTGCCTGTGCTAATTTAATAAACCAACATCGATAAAATGCTATTTGAAGTTGCCATTAACGGGGGAATTTCAATGCTAGACCACTCTCTTAAAGGCCGAGGTTTTGATTTACAGGACTTGAATTGTAATGCGTTCTGATTGGGCGACCATCCATGCTAATGGATCATTAATCAAGACAAAGAGTTTCGCGGAAATGCTCGTATTTAGCATTCTAGATGATCCCAAACCGGGATCAAGGCCGCGCTTTTTGGTCCAACTGAAATAATTCGACCTTTCGTGAATAATTTGGGATGGATAAGAAAGGTTCTTACCCTAAACGATCTTATGATATTTAATTCAAATGTAAAGTTTACACAGTGTGCTTTCACTGGCTTGAGTTTTATCCCCTCAAAAGACTAAGATGCAATAATAATAATTAATAAAGCGTAAACTTGCTGAGTGTATTGTGCCGATTTCCTGAGCCAAAGAGCGTTGAAAGCTATTCATTAACTTGCTGAGTGTATGTGCATATTTCCTAGGCCAAAGAGCGTTAAAAGTTGGTCATTTGTTCCTTTTATACACCATGGATTATTGTACAGAGGTGTACGGGAGGAAACGTGGGAAAGGTGGACCACTGTAACAATGGCGGTGAGGATATTCGTGCGGGAAGTGAAATACGCCAACAGCGGCGAATAAATCTTCCTGTTTTGCAACCCATATGCGGCACATCCATGGCAGAGGACCTCCCATTCTGCATCTTGTATGGTTTATAATCGTGGGCGGAGATCCCGGAGCGATGGGGAATACACGTATAATTATCCTCCCCCTCTTTTTGACCCGGGGCCGGATTACCAATACGACCCCCCCACACACACACTTTTAAAGTCACTGACTATATGTGCACCCGTAGCCTGTACCAGCGACTCGGCACTTTCCGGGGTCACGATCTCACCTGGGATGGAGGCTGTGCTGAGCTTTCAAAAATCATCCCTCAACATGTGACAAGAAATCTCCGCCCAAAGTTTACTTAATTAATTGATATAGGTCATACCGTCAAGAGCACGAAATCAGTTTCAAAATGTGCGGTGCGGTGCGGCGGGCAACGAACCCCAGAGTTGAAGGGATAGGCGGCAACTTCAAAATGACACCAGGATGAATCTTGGATAAATACTGAAGGACTGAGTTATCAGGATTTTAACATGTTAAGGTGAGGATAATACTGTTTTATGAACATTTTGTTTCGCAACTTTATGATATACTACGGTGGAGATTATTGGTGAAGCGAAAAATTAACAAGTTTTATCTTGATGAAAAGGTTAAGATAAAGCGTTAAAAAAGGCGCAAAAACCAGATTTCGAAATCGTAACAGCAATGAAATTTTCTTAGACACAATTTTACTGTAACTAAATATACACGTACTCTTTTTAGAATCTGAAAATTATATGACACCCACTATGATTATGAAAAGTGCACTTGTTTCAACCATTTAAACTTGTCCATGTTTTCCTGAAGGCACTCAGCTGCCGAGATGCCTAAAAAGGCATGGTTCGGTGCAGAAGTTCTCTGTGTAAACCTTGAAACCAGAAAATGCTTATTGAAAAAAATAGCTGAGAAAGGGTTGTGTGTTTTCTTATTGCCGTGTACTTACACAACAGTAATTCACTGAAGAACAAATGTAGGCCTGCAAAATAGTATGAAATTTTCTTTACACGGTCTCTGGACCGGCCTCGCCAGGTGAGTCCGTATCATTTCTCAGGGTTGCAGAGCCCTGAGTCCGTCCTAAAGGTAAATAAATGCTTCAGTGGTTTTCCCCAGCCTCTGCAGCTCTGACAAACCACCAAAAATACATCCCAGTACAGGGGGGGGCGTAATCCCAAGCTATCCCGATGGGGGGGGGGGGCTCGCCATGCGCCAGCCAAGCCATACCACCACCACAACACCACCAACCAAAAGAGCACTTCAAAGACAGCCGAAAGAGGCCTCTGACAAGTTCCAGACAGCTGTCACTGGTAAGGAACATTCCACCGTCTGCCCCAGGCACAGTTTTGTAAATAATCCATTAGATTGTACACAAGGGGCCACTTGGGAATTGGCTGGAGGCTGGCTGGAGGCCGGATGGATTTTGTTGTTTTTTTCTGGCTAGGGGAGGCCGTGGCTGTAAAGTGACGAAACCAGGTTTTTCAGCATGTACAGGGTAGGATATGATAAATAATGGTTGCATTTGGACGAAAAAAAATTACACGTTAATTAGCTAAAAGATGTTTGGATCAACTTTTTGTACATGTAAATTATTTGGATAAATAATTATTCTACACTAGAGTGTAGCTCGGGTTAAAAGGGTCAACTGGGATCCGAATAGGAACATTTGAAACTGCTCCACTTAAAAGTCACCAGTCCCAGTATCAGCCATCAATTTGTCCTAATTTCAACCCCAATAACGGGAAATGAAGCACACGCGGCCATTCTGCAAATTAAAAGGAACACGTCACATGTATAGGCCACAATTCGTTTCCTTTCTACGCCCCCTTGAAAATGATTGCACTACAAACCACGAATAGAAGAAGTACTTCCAAGGGCATTCACGAGAAAAAAATAATAAAATGCATAATTTTTGCAATGCATTTTTCTTTACTGCATACCTTGAAAACACACCATTGAGCTTCAATAAACCTATACTTTCAATTTCGTCTGCTCTTGTAAATGGTCTTGGTTCCTTTTTTATTTTTATGCCAATGCAAATGTTCATATTAAAAACTCCAACGTTCTGCAAGGGAAGGAAATGTCAAGGTTGCAATGGTTTGGGCAAAAAATGTGCATTTAAAAACACATGTAGTATCTATGTTGAACATAGAAAATCTTTGCGATGTCAAAATTTCCTGTCGGCCATATTGAATTCATAGCTAGGTTAACTATTCTGGCACCCGAGACTAGAAATTAAAGCACTGAAATAAAAACTTCATCACAATTAAATGTCAGTTATGCCAATGAAGAATGTGAAATTTATTATTTATATCTACATGCATGTATTTAAACCGCATTAAAAAACATTAAAAAAATAGTTTTGAACCACCCCGTTTAATACATTCCAATGAATAAGTTAAATTCTGTAGCCGTTCAAAAAATGACTTCCCGTGAAAATTTTGAAGCATTTAAACACCAAGAACTTTTCAGACTGGTTTCACAGCATTTCTGCACATGTGTCATGTGTTAAGTTATGTTTTATGTAAATTCACTTAGTTTTAAAAATAAACTCGTCATGAAAACTAATTAGGCAAATTGTTATAATTTCAAAATGCATGCGGAAATGAAAGTGCTCTACAAAATCTTCATTTTTTCAAAGACCTGCGACTTCAGGTTGTCACTTCATAAAATGAATTGATGAGAAGTTAGTTTCTGAAGAAAGCTGTTAATATCTTTTAAATTAAGGTCTGTTGAGATTCCAGAAAAAAACCAGATTGCCTACAAACCTCATTTGCAATTTAAACAATTGACATGCAAGTCAACATACATCTACAGTACTTTAAAAATGACAATAAAGCACGAGTAAGGATACTGTACTTATGGCGAGTAACTACACTCTGCAAGTTATGTCTTTGGTTCAATTTTTACTCGCAGTAAAAATGTTGAAGCAGATCTTCAAAAATAATGAACCATTTAATAAATCAGTATTAAGCGACTCGCACCAATGATCAATCATGCAACAGTATAAAACAAAAACAAAATTTGTTCAAATATTTAAAATGGTTATAACTCGTACAAAAATTGCATTTCTACGCAAAATAAAGGTAATATATATCAATACTTGTTGTAGCTGCAATGCTCATATTACTGCATATAAGCCGTTTCCAGAATTTAGGACAACTGGATTCTGTTCTTGCATATATGGATTCTTACATACTTAGTTATAAAATAAATGCTTCCATGACTCTCCATTTTTATATCATATTTCAATATGTTTGCAACAAAAATAGAAGTGCATTTTCTCTGAAGAAACTTAGAATCTGAGCTATCAGATATCAGACGGAATGAATGAGAGCAATTATTATAGTGACACATATTGTTACTAGTACACAGAAGAAATTAACTTTTAAAAACCAGGAAGTTTTGCTTGTAAAGCCCGAGTATGAGCATTTTGGAAATGTATTTCATAATGCCCGGGCTTTTGATGAAAATGTTGCCCTAAATTTTATGATCCTGAAAAGAAGCACGCCTTTGAGTGCAAACTGAATTGATCGATTTAGAAATTATCCAGGTACATGTATTTCAATACTATCATAACATATGTAAAATAACACGATGTACAAGAAGCACATCGATCATCTCATTCTCTGTATCTGAACTGTGGGATGTCAGCGGCAGCCTGACGTTCAGCGTCACAACTGCTGTACATAACTTCTCTGTGCAAGGCGCTGTGACAGGTGTTTTAAGGCCAGTTCAACCTTTGGTCAAGCCACAGCCGGGCTGAGGGGGGGACTTCCAAGTACGATGATATACAAGTTGGGATTGGCAAATGGTGACACTTATAGCTCGTTGAACTCGTAGCTGAAGAAGCAGTGCCTTTATCTGGGCAATGGTGTGATAGACATATCTTAGAGG